TCGTACGCGCTCGACAGTGACCAGTAACTCCCAGTAAACACATCAACCCATGGATTCACAGATACCCGAAAAACATGTCAACGTTCAACGGAATCGTGCACGAATTCCCCGACATTGCCATTGACTATTTCCGCACTGTCCCAGGCCGTCCTCCACCACTGGCATACTTTCTCAGTCATGTGCACAGTGACCACCTTGTCGGGCTCGAGTCGATCAAGTCTCCCTTTGTCTACTGCTCTGCCGCCACACGCGCCATCCTGCTTGAATTGGAGAAGCGCGCCAACCGTGTTGCTTGCGCAAATGGCCTACGAGAAGCGCCAGTCCGTACATATAAGCATCTCAAGACTGTCGTGAGGCCGATTCCTCTCGAGACGCCAGTCAGTATAGAGCTGCGACCTGGCAATGACATTCAGGTGACCTTGTTTGATGCCAACCATTGCCCTGGAGCTGTCATGTTTTGTAAGTCTCTTCATCGACAAATCAGCCAATCTGACTATTTCAGTGCTCGAAGGACATGGCAAGGCGGTGCTCTACACGGGCGACATCAGAAGCGAGCCGTGGTGGGTCAATAGTATCGCTAGAAATCCAAGTCTAGTGGAATACACGTCAGGACTCAAGACTTTGGATTGCATCTACCTGGACACGTCCATGCTTGATGACCTTGGTCTCCAAACCAAGGCTCAAGGCTTGCAACATCTCCTATCTCAAGTGGGTCGGTATCCCCAGGACACTGTCTTTTGCATGCAAGCATGGACTTATGGATATGAGGAAGTTTGGATTGCCTTGTCAAAGGCTCTTCAATCCAAGGTAAAGCCCCTACTCGATACATTTTCATCAACTCATGTAGTATAGATTCACGTTGATGAGTACAAGATGCGCGTTTATCAATCTCTAGTCAAGGAATCAGGCGACCCAGACTTTCCTTTGCTTTCTCACCACAGCAAGGAAGCCCCATACCTCGTCGGCTTTAGCAGCAACAAGAAGCAGTTTGAGGGTTGTTTGACTCGCGACGAAAACGTCCGCATACATTCGTGTGAAAAAGACACACCCTGTGCCATCATGGCTAGCAAGCCCATTGTTTGGATTCGGCCAATCGTGGCACATTTGCCAAATGGCGAGGATATCAGCGAGGTGGGCTTGGGAGGTGGGGGAGACGATCTAGAGCAGCAAGTAAATGTCGCTCAAATGGCGGCTGACAATATTGACTCGCTCTTGAAAATGCAAGTTGTGATCTCGCATCTGCTGGAGTTTCATCTAACTTGAATAGGATTACGGAATCTCGAGACCTGTCGACCGAGTCAAGGAAGCAAATCAAGTCTCTCTTGATGGCTCTTGTGAATGATAAGCATTCTCTGGATGAATCAATATCCAAAGACGTTGAAAACAAATTCGAGAGCATACTCTGGTCAATGATTCGGCTGGCTGATGAGCGCCGGCGACAAGATGATACAGGCCACCCACAGTCCGCCACATCTCTACCAACAAGAATCACCTTTCCATATGCAAGGCATTCGGCGTATCCTGAACTGCGGCATCTTATTGAGACGTTTCGGCCAAAGGATGTATGGCCCAACACTGTGGACTTGTCCAAATGGGCAGAGAGAGACACATCTATGCGCAGACTCTTCGGGACGTCTTGTTCAGGTACAGAATTTCGGCATGATCTCTTGGTTCATGATGCAATCCAAGAGCTGCGTCAAGAGCTGAGCCAAGAGCATGGCTTTTCCCAAGGCAATTCGGATACTCAGACCACATCCACACAGGGATTTTCAAGTCCATTCAAATCCAATGAACCACATGGAGAAAGTCAATATACAAGAGACTTGGGAGCGCGCCAGTCTGCAGACGTTGACGCGATGCCTGATGCCGACGAAGAGATTCCATTGACGCGAAAGCGCTCACTTGACGCCCTGTACTCGGACGGGGATACAACGCAAAACGACTCTCAATCTCAAGTACAAGGCAATGAGCCTCGCCGTCGGGCATTCCAATCCATGATTCAGAATTTAAACAACGACACATGGCAACCTATTCATTTGATATCAACCACGGATCACCACAGCGAGTTGGAGGCAGAATTGGGTCAACCATGAGCCATGACCACGGCAACAAATGGATTGCCAGTCTCTGATAGAGGTCAGCCTAAATACACGCTAATACATGCTATGAGAATTTCTTTTCAATCTTGACCAGCACAACGCCTTCGCTTGCTACGCCGTGCTGGTTCATGAGCTTGATGAATCGATATCCACTCCTCAGTCTATCAAGACGAATGCATGCCCATGCAGCCAAATCGTCTCTACCAATCTCGTCGTCTTTGAACAAGAAGCGCACAAATGCGAGCTCAGGTGTCACCCCTGGAACCTGCTTGAACTCGAGGACTTCACCCTTGTAATCGGGATCAATGCCCTTCATCGTCTTGGTCTTGGCCTTGTATTCGCCCTCCTTGGCCTTTCCAGACTGGTGAAGTTGAAGAGTATGATGAGGCTCCGTGTGGAGTTCAACCTTGAGATATGGTCTGAGCTTGGCAGGGTTGTGATCATCTTCTGGCAGAGGCAGGTTCTGTGCGGCGAGCACGGTAATATGCAAATCGCAGGTCTTGCCAGATATTTGCGATTGGCTTGGGGCCGTGATTATCTCGCCACTTGTGATGGGGGCAGGCTTTTCGTCGCTTGTTGCCAGTGGCTTTTTGCCACGATAGCCTTCGGGCTTGAGCACATAACCGCCGGTGCCTGCAAACATGCCTTCGTTGATCATCATTCCCTCGTCCCACTTTTGCCAGTTTAATGCGACAATTTGAATACCCTTTCTCCAAAACTCTGGAGGATCAAGATTAGAGGAACCAATACGCATGCCAGAGGGATACGTTCGCATCATGTAATTTTGATTGTGCTTGAACAGATCGGGGGCCTGCTTTTCGTGAACTTCCAGGACGCCATTTTCTGACAGGGAAAATATGTGAGATGGCATTTGCGCTTCCGGTTGACTGAGCGACTTGAACGAGACGCCGCGAGTGTAAATACCAAACTGACTGAGGGCGTCAATAATCTTGGAGGGCTTCTTCTTCTTCTTGGGAGCAGCAGCGCTCGTGGCTTGAGCCTCGGGGGGCAAGCGGGATTCGTCGGGTGCCGTGGTTCCTCCAGTGTGTCCGGGTGGCGCATACTTGACCTTGACCAGAATCTTGTGATGCAAATCACTTGGTGCTGGCAGGATCTTGGCGTCGGCAGGTGGTGGAGCCAGGAGAAAGTCAGACCAAACCTGGTTCATGATATTGACCATGGCTTCTTGCTGCTGTGCAGAACAATGAACCTCGAGACTGACAATGAGTGGCAGACTGGACACGGTAAAAGCATTATCCCGAATAGCCTCGCAGACTGAGCGAAAGGAAACCTCCTTGGTCAACGTATAGCCATGAAGTACCCTGGGCTCGACCGCGACGGCTTGCGGACCAGACACGGTAGGTTTGAGTGACGTGTCGGAGCCCTTGGCCTCGCCTTGTATCGAGACCGAGTCGGTGCTGGCCGTGTCTAGTTGCTTGTCGCTACTGGTATACTTTTCAAGCTTTCTGCCCAGCGATGTATTCTCCAGACGACTAGTGATTGATCCTGGAATCTTCTTGGCCAGCTGTTCCTTGCGACTGGCCTTTTTGATTGCCTTTTTCTCCGTGTACTCCTCATCACTGCTTTCACTGTCAGAAGTCTCAGAGTCAGAGTCGTCACCGTCCCAAACGTCAATCTCTATGCACCGACAGCCGCGAAGAAGAACATTCTTGTAGGCATCTGTACTGGAATCGCTATAGAGCTGGTTGCCCGTCAGATATGTATTGTGGCTTGAGCTGATAAAGTAGCTGCTCAGTGGCCAAGAGAAATCCTCATCCAGGGGCGGGGCCAGCGCGTCTGCGGCGGGAGAGGTCATGTATTGCAGAAACCCATTCAAGTCCAGCTCCTAATGATGAATCAGTATGGTTGGAGCATGAATCGTGATTGGCTTCACGTGAGACTTGTAGAGCAACGAACCTCCTTGGCCGCAATGTCTCCCGAGGGATCGTTGACCCTGTCGGCCTGGACATGGTGCAAAAAGGCAATGACTTGATCCTTGGTCCACGTCTTTCGAGTGCCAGCGTGCCGATTAAAGACCTGCTCGAGGTGTTTGAGCAGAGACGCATTTATATTCTTGATCCGGTGTTGCTCTCCACTAGGTTGACCGCCACCAGCTTGGTGAACAGCAGGAGGGGTAGCGGGGGTAGTGGCGTCAACCATCTTTGCTCGCTGGGAGAGATTCTTTGAGAGAAGATGCAAGTCAATCGCAAAAAAAGGAGTAAAGGGGAAAACAAGAAAAACAAGCTTGCAACGAGAGGACCGAAATCAAGATTCCCGACGCTATATGAACCAGAACCATTTCAAGGGGTCGCTGGCTTGTGTGTAACGCCTGGCGTGACCTATCCTATCCTCAATCGATCAAGCTTCAGGGACCCGCTGGCTGGTGCATATCAGCTGTACCTGGGTACGTACCCAAGCACTGCAAATGACCCACAATGACGAAGCCATCAATTCAGCTCTCAGCTTCAGGGTCGCTTAATGGTAGTTTGGACGCCTGTATGGGTCTCATTGGAGCCGTCATTAGTACTGTAAAAGTCACCACAAATCATTCGCGCACGTTGCTTTGCATTGATACCTACACCCAAGATCAAGTTGGTGTGATTCTGTGACATTTGGACCTCAAAACTGGTACCCATAGAGTCCCGCCAAAGTTGTTTCGTAAATACAGGCTTGGCACGAGCTGCAAATGAACAAGTACAATGTACATGTCGACAGAGAACAGCTTCAAGAAGAATGGCATACGAGCCAAGTAGTTCAGTTGTGCATCACTGTCAAAATATCATGCCAGATTTCTTACAATGCACCGAGATCATCTGGGCATCGCTTTGCGTCGTGGTGCCGCCACTTTTACGTGGCTTGTATCAACTGGACTGGCTGGCGCACAGCCCGTACCCCGCGACTCCAATGTACCAAACTGTCCCTCCACGTGAAAATTCAGGGCCGCCAGCTGATCCGAGACCCGTGGACTTGTGCAGATGGCACAATCTCATCTCACGGAAAAATGGACACGCTTCAATGAGCAGCAATGACGATTGATTCAGAATCAATACCCAGTCGAGTGTCATGCTTGAGCAGCAGTCAGGCCAATGGTTTCCATGCATCGCAACCCATGGCGACACCCAGAGATCTCCTTTTTTTTGTCTCATCTCATCACAATTTGTGCATCTTGAACCTGCCAGCAGACGGATCGATGCTCTCAGGCTTTCATTACCAAACATCCAAGCCGCTAGCCACAAGTCCAAGGTTTGCGCTTCACAAGCACAGCCATCTCCAGGAAGCTTGACAGACAAGTGTTTAGTCCCGGATCTTCAAGATCACTAGTGGTCCAACCATCATGGGCAGTTGATTAGATCCCACCATTTCCAATTTGAAAAACCAACGACGCAAACCTTGGCCGTTCAAAGTGAGATCAAACCCTCGACGGAGCAACATGTCGGTCCAGAGTCTATTCTTGGATCTCACATTTGCACATTACTGATTAGCTTTCTATTCTACCGGCCATTAACAGGCAATTTCGACCGACCGAGAGCATTTGCTCAGCCCTGTATCGAATATTGTATACTATGGCGTGTGTACACCGTGAACAAATCACTGTCAAAAACACCATGCGCCCAATACCGTAACAGTCAAGTTTGACTGCAAAAGACCAGTTGACGATACTTGAGGGAATTGTTCAAGAATGGCCCAGTGGCTTGTCAACAAAGTTCGAGCCGCTCTCAGAAATTCACACCCCAATGTCGAATAATTGCATTGTGATATTGGCGACATCTCTTATATCAGTCCGTTCTACAGCGTCCGAACCTCTGTAAAAGTCCAGACCTCTAACATGCGCCTAGGTTGGTTCATTCGGCTTGAGCCTCAACCCAAGTTTGTAGCGCATAGACGGTGCCGAATCGGTGCACTACTTTGTACTCATTGGTCAGACCAAGATTGCTTAGACGCTTCCAATTCGGGACAGAATAGAACGAATATAGCTCTAGTGCGCATGAGAGTTCATGAGGTTTACCAAGAAGGCATTGTAGCAAATGTTATAAGTCGTGCGGTGCACATCTGTCCATCCCATTCCTCTTGAAAGCAGAGAAACGCCCATAGCATGATTCTTGTACGGCATCTATACTTGAGCCATCACACTCATCTACACCATGAAGCCCTACACAATACTTGGCTGCATAGCAACAATGACCCTGGCGTATCCGGGTATGGACCGAGTTGTGCGCGAGATCAAGGCACGGGATTATGGAATAGAGAAAAGATCCCCGGAAATGATCGGTGATCTGATTGACGGCGCTTCAAGTGCAACCGGGTCCACCATCAAATCGATTTTGCAAGGAGAGTATGCTATTGCAAGGCGATCGACATATACGGCACCCGGCCCCATTGATTCTGACGAATGCAAAAAGGATACATGTTGTATTTGGAGCTATATTGCTTCTGACATGCAGAATGCTTTCCAAGACGGCAGTTCTTGTTCAGACTTGGCTCGTGGAGCAATTCGCCAAGGATTCCACGACGCTGCAACCTGGGACAAGGGCTCGTCCTATGGAGGAGCTGACGGTTCTTTGCTCCTTTCTGATGAATTGAGCCGCTCTGAGAATGCGGGCCTGGAATCAATTGGCGACCAAACGAAATCATGGTTTCAAAAATACCGAGACCACAACATCACCATGGCCGACCTCATCCAGGCAGCGGCCATTGTGGGAGTGGTATCTTGTCCGGGAGGACCCAGAATACGTCTTTTTGTCGGTCGCCAGGATAATAGCCAAGCTGGTCCAACTGGAATGCTCCCATCTGCTTTTGCGGATGCGCAGTCCTTGATTGACCTCTTTGCCGCCAAGACCTTTTCCGCCGACGACCTGGTTGCCCTCGTAGGAGCACATACTGTCGCCAAGCAAAGCACTGTGGATGCTTCTCGTTCTGGTGCATCTGAAGACTCGACTCCAGGAACGTGGGATAACAAAATTTACTCCGAGACCTTGGATTCGGGCAACAAATCCATTCTCACCTTTCCTAGCGACAAGAACCTTGCAACGTATAGCCAAACATCAAGTCAATGGAACACCTTTGCCTGCACAAATGGTCAATCATTATGGGCAAATGCAAGTATCCTGTTTGGTATTTTTCAAGCTCTGCTAACTTTGCTCTAGTCCTTTGCTTCTGCCTACTTTCGAATGAGCCTTTTGGGTGTGAATAACCTCAATTCCTTGACAGAATGTTCGGAAATCGTTCCCTTGACACGATAGACCAGTCAAAATTTGAAATTCAAGATAGATGAGCGAAATCAATTTGTTCGTTTGCCTGCGCGAGGTGCCATTGTAGAGTTTACTTGGACTATGCACGTGCACATATATTCATCACATTTAGCCACAACACGGTCTTCTTTGGCAATGATATCTCTTGTAAAAGAGGCCTCGACACTATTGTGGTCGTCAGCAGGGCGTTTCTGCAATGTCGAGCTACTTGACTTGAGCAACGACAATTCATAAAAATAGACAGTCTCCGGCGAATGACTACATGCCACCCAAAGTGGCATCATCATTGGCGAATCTCATTCACTTGCAACGCATGTCATTGCACTGGGTGGCTCGTTCATGCCATCAATAACACCCAGATACAAAAGGTCAAGGATTCCGTCATCTACTACTGCCGACCTTGGCACCTTTCAGCCTGCCATGAGACAATGCTCCTCAACTTCATGACTTGTCGCCAAAGACGGCGCCACATACTGATTACGGTTGCCTAGAGGGCAAACTATTGAAAACTCTCAAATCGCGCGGCGAATAGCTCAAGTCACCTTATCAATAATTACAAAAGATGCAAAAAGGAAGAGAAAAGAAAAGAAGAAGAGGGGAAAAGAGAGGGAAAAATCATTATATTTAGTGCTCCCTTATATAATTAAGCAGAGCACTTTCCATTTGTGGCTGCATGACGGAATTTGACTCGCCTAGAGTATCACAACAGACAAGGTGCAGTGTGGCCCCTATAGCCGTTTTCATTGACAGCTCCCTTCTCGGACATGTGGGGGCGGAGCCGGGCTGCAACCGCGGCAGACAAGCCGAGAAAGGCAATCTGGGGTAGGCCCACTCTCGAATCTCGAACCGACGCAGACATCCGAGAGGACTCCACGATGCACAGTGAGACCTAGATGGCATGATGGGTATGCACCGAACCGAGATTGATCTTGCAATTGCGAGTAATTCATTGTATGATCGAACGATTTCTGGGTTGAAAAGTCATGCCAGACACTCCACCATATAGCCCAACCGCGTCAAATGCGCCGGGTGACGGCTACAGACGCAAACGGATCCGTCTTTCACTGGCCTGCAACCAGGTTTGTCGTCTTGAGAATCATTGGATTGGGCTCTAGTAACCATTTACATGTCAGTGCCGAAAGCGCAAAGTGCGATGCGACACGACGCTGCCAAAATGTCGCAACTGCATTCTGCGCAATGAGCACTGCGAGACTACAGATCCACGAAATCCTGGCAAGGGGCCAAGTCTGCGGACTCTAGCTGTCAAGGATGGACAGGATCAATCGCTACACTTGGAGACCGGCCGACTTGAGCCCAACAACACGGTTGTGAGGACAAGTCCAGGTGCCGGCACGCCTCCAGAGTCATCTGGCAACTCGGACTTGTCGCCTCGTTCTCAGGGGATGGGGGTAGCATCCAGAGGCAAAGGTCCTTCCTGGCTTGAACGAGCGTATCAAGAAAACACTGCGAGTCACGAAAATAGACAGATACCAGTATCGACGCCAGATCTCGTGGTGAACACGGATGAAACGGCTCACCGAGTCAAGGTGTGTGATTTCCTCCGGCTCTTGGACTTTTCGGCTGACACAATTTCAGTATCTTGGTGGAAGCAGTGTTCAATGTCTTTGTAGATTCGTAGATATTCATCTCGCTCACAAGGGATTGGAACCAGCCAGCTCACGCTTCAAGCATGGCATGAGCCAGAGTGAGGAGATTGCCCTGGCGCTGTTTCCTTCACTCCCAGACCTCCCCCCTCCAGAAGAGCTCAATTCCTATCTTGATTGCTTCTTTGATCGCGTCTGGCCATTGTTTCCAATAGTCGATCGTAATGTACTTCAGTCGGATCTGGACCATTTGTGGGACCCGCGCATGGCACAACTAGGGCCCCTTTCAAGTCGTGTGAGTCCCAGCCAGGTACCATCACTGGTCATCATTTATGCAATCATTAGCATTGGGGCAGACGAGATGAACACACGGACCTCGGAGACCAGCACCAGATACCTTGCGGCAGCATACTCGCTTTATGCGCATCTTGTTGCAACTCCTTACATTGCCAGTGTCCAGGCTCTCACTCTCATGGCGCTGGCACTGAGAGGACAAGTCAAAGATGGGCAGGCCTGGCACCTGATAGGCCAAGCCGTTCGAATAGCACATTCGATCGGTCTTCACAAGCCTGCAATTCGCCGCAATCATGACGGGTCGGGAAATGGTGTCACTGGGGATGAAAATACGCATCCATCACTGTTTGGTCGCATTTGGTGGTCACTATACAGTCTGGAAAAGCTTACCCAGCTAGAGAGTGGGCGTCCGTCCATTATTGACGACCGAGACGAGGACCAAGCACCGTCGACATGTCTGCCCATGTCTGGATCTCAGTCAGACTACTTTACAGCATGGGTTTCGCTCGCTCGCATCATGGGTCAGATCTCGGAATTCATCTATTCAAAAAGACCCGCGAGCTCGCTAGATCTCTTTACCAAGCTGGCGACACTAGACACTGCGCTTGTGGAATGGGACAGGTCACTGTCGGATAATTTGAAGCTGGGCCAAAACGTTGGGGCGATTCGAGAAGAAGTCAACAGCCAGCAACATCTTGCCAGCTTTCTCTCCTTGCAATTCTATTATGTAAGTCTACACCCTTGGTACCGGAAAGCTGGCTCTGACCATATCGTAGGCACACATAACCTTGTTGCGCCCAGCAGTAATCTTTCCACACAGCAGCTACAGAACAGAATTGTCTAGGCACGTTGCAGTTCTCCCATCCTACTCGAGAATTGTCAATGGAGCAGCCATTTGTGCTTCAGCGGCACGTGCAACTGTGACGCAAATGCTCAATCTTGCCGATCAGGGGGTCCGTTCCGTCATACTAGGAGCCACGCCACTATATCTTGCAGCGGTAGTACTAGCATTGAGCATTCTTCGACAGCCGGCTCGCCGACTTGCACGAGCTGATCTTGAGCTTTTGAATCTGGCAACGGAGCAGGTGGAAGACTATTTCTCTAGGTGGATTCCCAACAAGGAATTCATTCGAGGCTGTTCACTTTTGCGTGAACAAGTCAGTGTTGCATTTCACCAATTTTCTGCCGAACCCCGGCTTGGAGCAACTCAAAAGGCTCGAGACTCGTCAACAGTGCCAATGGACAGGCCAGATGATGCAGATGCGGCAATCTCAAACACTGTTCAAGCGCAACCAGATGATTGGCCAGAGGAACTATTTGAAGGGCTTCAATTTGATGAACTCTGGGATATAATGGGCTCGGACTTTTTAATGGGAAATGGTCAAATATCCATATAGCCCATTCTAGGTATACAGGACTTGCAAGCCATTAGTAGCGCATAATTATTTTGCTTGTTGAATGTGATGAGTCCCCTACGCCACAATCCGAATCGCGGTTGGGTTGGAGAAGCTCAAGTGCGGGGGATTCCAACCTCTTAGTGTTTGGTTCAATAGTCCCAAACTTACCAGACCGACTCGGTTCGGTTCGGTTCGGATCAGCCATCTACCCCCGAAATGTATATCCATTGAGACTCTTTTATACTCTAATCTCGACAAGGACCCCTGATTACCCCAAAAGGACTTGACAAAAGTAATCAACTCCATATCATTGTCCATCATTATTCAATACGCAGTCTTAATCGAAACAGTCGCAGACAACATGGGTAGCCTCGGAGAAGAAACTAGCAGCATCGTCATTGTGGGTGGTGGTATTGGTGGTTTAGCAACTGCAAGTCCATGAAGTGATTCTCAACATTTCAGTCAATCTAATATGAATACAGGCCATAGCCCTACGTGCGCCAAATCGGAAAATCACCATACTAGAGCGCTCGCGTATGCTCCGAGAGACGGGAGCTCTCATCTCATTGCAACCGAATGCGAGCAAGATTGTCAGTTCGTGGGGCATTGATACGTTTCTGGCATCATGCAAGCCCATGGTCGACAAGGCATTCAGGCTCTTTGATATCAGCGGCAAACTTGTAAATGAAGTCAAGTTGAATACCTCCATGTTTGGCGCGGACCGGATCGTCTATCACAGACAAGATCTTCACAGTGCTCTCTTGTCGGCTGCCACCTCGACGCAACTATCTGGCCATGCAGTCGAGGTTCGCACTGGAACCAAAGTTGTCTCGTGTGACCCCAAAGCGGGCATTGTCACGATAGAGACTGGCGAGAATCTCCAAGCTGACGTGATTATTGGCGCTGACGGAATACACTCTGTAATCCGGACTGCGGTATTGGGCGAGGAGCAAGGTGCAATCCCAACCGGTATCTCGGCTTACCGCATGTTGTTACCCGCCGACTTGTTAAAAGGCATTGATATCCCTCTCGACATTCTGGACCCAGCAGACCCAGTGACGACAATGGTCGTAGGACACGACAGAAGGGTCATAATGGGACCAGGGCGAGGAGCAGAAATGTTTGGCATTGTTGCATTGGTGCCAGATGAAAAGGGTCGTGAAAAGTCAACCACCGATTCCTGGGTTGCCGAGGGCTCGACCGAGGCACTTGTCGAGGTATTCGCAGACTTTCCGGGATGGATGCTCGACATTTTCAAGCGTGCCCCTGACGTGGCATTGTGGCAGCTGCGAGACATTGACCCCTTGCCTCGCTGGGTTCGGGGTCGTGCCATACTGATTGGTGATGCGGCGCATGCAATGTTGCCAACGCAGGGTCAAGGTGCGTCGCAGAGCATCGAGGATGCTGAAGCATTACAGGCTTTCCTTGCCGACCTACCCGCACGCCCGACGGGCGACCAAGTCGAGCGTGTATTGAACACTGTATTCGAAGCGCGGTTTGATCGTGCCAGCCTGATTCAGAGGTACAGTCGCCAACAGGCACGTCCAGGCACGGATGCAAAGTCAAATACTGTCAAGCTGGACCCAGCCGAATTCATGAAGTATAACTGCGATTATCAAGGCGCCAAGGATTGGTTGTCGAAAAGTGCAGCAAAGTAGGGGATGACGAGAAATTAGCCATTAGTTTTATATGTTGCCATGTTGAGCTTACTCAATCGCGCACGAGATATAAATGTACATCTTGTTCTCTTATTAATCACTCTACAAGAGCCCAACCGTTGCTTGTGCGGCTTCTTTCAACCTGTGGCGTGCTGCCTCAATGTCGCTCAATGACGGTGGTAGACCAGTCAGGCTGCGAGGTGCAGGCTGACCCAATGACTTTGCTTGGAGCAGATCCTTGAGCAGCTGAGCCGCAGCAATATACCCATCGGCCGAGTTGATCAGCCTGTCCATGCTCTCACGCTCGGCGTCATCAGGTAGGACTGGTACCATTGTAGCATTTGTAAAATTCATGGAAGCTTCGACTGGTGCGGGGGCTGTCGGTTCCTCTTCACTCGCTTCATCCTCCTCATCATCGTCGTCGTCTTGCTCAAATAGTGGTGCGTAGCCATGTTGACCATTATCCATAATCTCATTGTCAACGTCTTCCAAAGTAGTGACGCCATCCATGGGCTGGTATTCTGCATCTTGGTCGCTGGACTCGCTTTCGTTCCCTGACATGACAAAGGTGTTGTTGCCAGATACGCGACCAGAACGGAGTGTTCGTGGTGCCAAAGATATATCCGCCGTAATCTCGTCGTCATCATTATCGCTGGAATCCGCATCATTGCCATTTGCAACATCTGGGTGCGCCGCGAAAGCATCTTGGCCGCCAGCTGGCGGATTCCCGGATTTTCTCGTTCGTCTACGTGTAGGCAGCTTGGACTTGGGTTCCTTGGGTTTCGGTGCGTCGTCGCCCATGAGTTCATACGCAGCATCACGCCGCATCTGCTGTATCGCCGGCTCGTCCATCTTGTTCTTGACCCATTCATCGGGGTTTTCGAGTCCAAGCTCTTTGGCATAGGACTGAAATTCCTCTAGCTGTAGTCGCCGTGCCTTGCGACGGGACAGGTATCGTCTGTTCTTGAGACGCGATTCTTCGGTTCCTCGAAGTTGCCATATTGTCTGGAGACGGGCAATCGTACTTGATCCCTTCTTGAGGGCCATGCCACGCCTCGTCATGATCTGGGCAATCTCCTCGGAGCTGAGCCCTTGCTGGGTCATGCGAGTAATGTCCGACTTTGATCTGGACTGCCATATTTGTTTACTGCTGATGCGCTCTTCTTTGGGCTTGGGCGGCTTTGATTGTTTTCGGACAGCCTGCGAAATTCAACGTTAGCAAAGCCCGCAATGGTCAAATCCAACTTGTCATTCAACCCAAGCACTGAATGAATGGCGCATACCCGCTTTCGAAACCCCCAGAGTATTCTCCATCGACCGACACTCTTGGAAGTGACCTGGGCGCCTTGAGCAATGAGCGCATCTGCAATTTGCTCGCAACTTTCGCCATTTCGAGTGCGTTCTTCGACTTGGGCTCGGAAATCCTCGGCATTCACGCGTCGCTTCTTTCCATTCCCATCAACTTGATAGACTGCCGACGTACGCCCAAACCCCTTGGGACCGCCGACGGCCGACGTCTCGCCGACTAAAGGGGTTTCATCGTGACCGCTTGTATCGAGACTGTGGCTGCCAGCTTGATTGCTTTGTTGTGAGACCGGGGCTGGAGCCGGAGTCGGTATCGGAACGGGAGTCTGGGCAACTAGCGGAGGTTGGCCCCCATGGCGAGTAGGATTGTATTGAATGGGAGGATGGTGTTGGGTCTGACTCTGATGGAGATGATGCCCAGCATACGGCGTTGGTGCCCCAAAGGTCGGTGGTGGATAGCTTGGAAGTGGTATGGGAGTGTATTGCTGAGGAGTATAATAGTCTGGCACGTTTGACCTAAGGTGATCCATCCTGGCCCGGCAGCGCAATCAAGTTGCTGGCACCACGGGTCTATTATCTCACTGGTATCCAGACGTCAAAGTTGGCGTCTGGATGGGGCAGGCTCTGGCCTACAATGCTGCCTACTACGGACGTACCTGTAGCGCTAGTCCAAATTGATACTAACCTTAGTAGTGCTTCCCATGCATGCCGAGTATAAATCTCATGACTTGATTTGGATACACTTTTACTTTTCAAGCCTGGAGCAATGTGCCATTCAATGAGGACGAAATGAATTATTTTCCTTTCCACGTTGCTCAACAAATGTCATATCATCTCTACATCTTGACCAACTCCTTTATGCATTCATGGATCTTGTAGGTGATTCGGTTTACTTTCAAGCAGAGTCCTCGACCTCGCTTTCGTATCTCGGACATTGTCAAGATGTAAATCTATCACTGCTTACCTAGCCGATTGCGCCGGTACCGGTAAGTAATGAGAATTTCTCTCCAGGTTCCGATTAGGCAATTGCATCATACCGGTAATGGCCCGGGAAAGAATCCGTGCCAAATTGTGCCGCCGCGATGTAATCTTTCTGACTGCGCCTCTCAGCTGAATTCCTGATCATGCTGACAAGCCATTGTCTTGGCCGAGCGTGCTTATTTAGAGAATCCTAGAGTTTAGGTACAGCCTCAAACTTCCTGGTTAATATGTAAACCTGTCCTTGAATCCTTGAATATAACCAGGCCTTGTGAGCTTGAGGCGTTTGACGGCATGCTTCTCGAGGGTCAAGTCCGTTATAACCTCACAATGTTGCTAATAAAATGCGTAACAGAGTTTTTGGGTATCTATTGAATTTTCCCCAAGTCCACTACCAAAATCTCTCGACTATAAAAGCACAATTTTGTACATTAGGTAGTGTCTGCTCTATTCCGGGCAACCGTGCGCTCACTGGCAATCATGATATTATACCAGGAATCCTCTGATCTTGGCAAATTAACATGGAGGTAATCGAAGAATAGAGACCGCTTGGTGATCAGAGCACCTTTTCCCACGTATCATGTCTATATTGAACATGTTTCATGGTTAATGAATGCACAAGTGGTTGCATCACCATCAACCTTCATTTCATGTTAGCGTCTGCCAAGAGCACACCAGTAATGGATCCCCCCTAATAGACGATCTCAATCACATCAAGAGACTCCGGAATAAGTGAAAAACGGACAAACCGTCTAATCTGATGTCAGATGGCGGCCGGCTCTGGCTTTAACATTCGTAGAGGCTTGCCAAGGCTCAGCACCACGGCTCCTTCAAAAGTTCAGGTTCGCCTCAATCACTGCGCAAAAGGTTCCTATTCGATGATGCCGTCTCGCAACTATTGACATTTTCTCCAGCAACTCTACTTGGCGTCAGATCACACGACTTATACGACGTGATAAATCGTACCTAGGTCAAGACTACGCTTGATCAGTGTCAAGAATATCAAAGTATTAGCTCGAGTTTACTCGACTATAAGAACCCGAGTCTACTTTTCCTTCCAAAGGCCGTCTTCACTCTACTTTCAAGTCGACAAATACTTGGACAATTCAAAACCATACTACCTTCAAAATGTTCGCTATCAAGACTATTGGCCTGACTGCCATGCTCCTGGGCTTGTGCCAGGCTGCTCCCGCCGTGCAAGCTCGCCAGGATATTCAGCTTTTGTTTCTATGCAACGACCCGAACCAAGTTGACTGCCTAGACTTTCAAACGACTCCAGACCAATGCTGTGAGAATCCTCTCCATCACATTAGTTGACCTCTCTGCTGATACACGGTATAGCCAATATTCCAGGCGGGTACAACGACAATGTGAGCTCGCTCAACACATTTAGTGACTCGAGCATTTGCACATTTTACAAGTACTACAACTCTTGCTACCCTTTTTATGAATATCACTCTAATCTTTACTCTAGCAACCCGGATTGTGATGAGAGTGCAGGCTCCATCGCTCTTGGTGGCGCTCAGGACAGCCTCCCGACGGGCTTTGACAATACCCTGAGTTCACTCAAATGCCACATTTGCTTCCTTCCCGAGGGGTGCTCTTAGATATAATTTGGTTGGGTTGTTGCTGTTACTTCTACAAGTAATCATAGGTCAGCCTTTCTATCAAAGACAATATACTTTTTTGTCTCGTCAACCTTACTTTCAAATTTTACAAGGTGATTATGCTGGGTCAGCTCTAATAGATGGAGATCACGTCACCTTGACATTATTACAAAACAGACCGTCACGTCTTGACTCGCTGCAAAATTGACTCTTGTTCCATTATCGATTCTTGTACCTCGTGTACATCTAGTCCACCTTTTCCCCAGCCTTTTCGTGTGCCATGGCTACATCTAAAGTCTTGGTGGCTGGTTTAGCCAGTTTAAGCTTGAGTCGTCCTACAGCTTCCTGTATCTTTCGCCTAAGTTTTACCACACTAACCTCTGGTCCCTCGTCACCGCCAACAAATCTTCGGACAAGAATGTTATACAAGCCTCCGAATGCAAGTGCAATTGCTGTGCTTGTGAAGATGATGACATTGTAAGGCATGGAGAAATCCGGAGTAGGGAGATTGAGCAACAGACTCGTCGTCCTTAGGTTGCTCGTCTTCCCCGTGGGAGGGAGAATGGTGATGACGGCAGCAGCAACGTCAAAACCACGGTTAGCGTCTGGAGGATACTCGGTGTACCGTAGAATCGTCTTTTCAAAGTCATATGTCATGAAAACGGTACTGGCTGGTGGGATCCGCATCCTGAGCTCCAGCTGGGTCCCCCTCTCTCGGTCAAGAAAGGGCCGGTAGTAAATCTCTTGGATAACACTGTTTTCGTCAACTAGTGCTTTGCCCTTGTCTACGCCAGTCTTGTGAGAAATGCGGGCTTGTAGAGTATGCAGATATATCCGCATGAACCAGGGTAGACTCTCCAAGTAGACGAATTCAACCTCGGCATCTGGACTGGGGTTGGTAAAGATTGTCTGAACTCCGCCACGTTGCTGTCCGTGTCCGGTGAAACTTCTCTCGGCGTACAAGAAGGGGCGCTCGGGCTTGACATATTCTTCAGTGGCAGGCAGATTGGCGTCGTCGTCGTGCTGCATGTGGGGAAGGACAAGCTCAAAGTCGTCCTCTGGCGGCACAAAGTAGCATCTTTCAGTGTCCTTGACCTTGAGCTCAGTCACCCCAGAGGATGTAAAGACGTGGCGTTCATGGGGAGCCTGGACGCAGACAGGAGGCACATCAGGATTGGCCAGCGGACAGGTGCCCTTCATGGACTTGCCAAATACCTGCGAAATGGTCCAATCCTGAGGAGAAAGAGTTTCGGTTGGGAAACACGTATCTCTGGCATGATATTCCTTGCTTGTATCGCACTTGAGCTCGTGGCCGGGCGGCGGCCGAGGGATAGGATTGCCTGGCTGTGGTTAGTGGTAGTGCCAGGAGTAACACTGCTCGTCATCGTACCTCTTGGTCTTTTAGATCTTTCAATATCCAAGACCATGTCAATGGTTTGTTCAATCTCCAAGACACATTCTTGACCAGCCGGGCAAATTGGTCGTACATCAATCGCCATGCTCTGCCATGAGGCATCAAACAATTTGTGACCATCTAGTAGAGTGGAAATTCCAGCCTTGCCCTTGCACGGAAGAAGCTTCAAAAACGGAGTCAAGTTCTCGGTGCAAACAACCTCTCTGGGCAAGACGCCATGAAGTAGGTGCATATTGGCGAGCGTGGCATTGGGATGGTTGCCTTCGGGTCGAAAGGACATGACAGGCCGTATAGTCCTTGTCGAATCGATAAAGTTGAGCGAGGCGCAAAAGAGACCCGAGAGCGCATTGGTCAGGGTCAACCATTTGTGATCAGCTCTGCAAATTCCATTAGTCCATACACCAAGAACAGTCACGCATTGGTGCTCCTTACTCCTCGGTCGTCTCGGCTTCCAGCCACGCCCAAAGCTCGACACCCGTACCCCCTTCTTTGGTGCCATCCCACGGTCTTGCTCCCCATGTTTCCGCGTCCCATCGTCCGAGACTAAACCTCAGGTGTAGCTCTCGCGTGCCTGCATGCTGTAGGATCTGTCCTAGTGATCGAGGAAAGAATTGAAAGTTGTGCGCTTCAAACGCGGCGACAGAGGTATTCGACTTGAAGTTGAAACTGGCTAGGAGGGAGTTTTGCGGCAGAGGCTTCAGGACCAACTGCTCATGATAGTCGGAAGCGGCAGTGCATGTACAAAGCAGTAATGAGGACAAGAGAGTGAATAGAAAAGAATTCCAGGAATGCATCATTGTCGGCGAGGACGACCCAATCGAACCTGAAGTTCGAGCCCGTGTCTTGGACGATGGCCTGGAAATAGAGGTGACAGATGGCCCATGTCGTTGCGGATGCACTGAGATTGGAGACTTGCTGGGGCTACATTAGCTCGCCGCCATCGTGGCAGGACTGGCGCTGTGACGCACCAGGCACAGTTGAGAGGCTCCTTGGACGGGAACCCCTGGTACGCTGCCGCTCACTAATTGGCCCCCGCAAAAGAAGCTTCTCCAGGTACGTACATGTACCTGTAGCTCCAAGCTTGGGCGCCTCGTCAGCCTCTTCTGGAAGATACCTAGCGGCTAAAAACATTTGAAGACGCATCCACGATCCACCAACTCTACTGCAACGCAATCACACGACTTGACGATACATGATCTACACCACAGGCACCACAAGCCAAGTGTCGCCCCGGGAACTTTCAGAATACTCACAATCGACTCATCCACCCGACTGTCCTCCTAAACAAACCCTCCGGCGCAATCAGTGCTTGAACAACCACCACCCGCAAAGATGGCGGCAGAACAGCGCAAGCTCCTTGAGCAGCTGATGGGCAATCCCATTTCGTCTCGCGCATCTCAACTCTCTCTCACCGACCCCAAAGTTTGTCGCTCCTATCTTGTTGGGACGTGCCCGCACGATCTCTTTACCAACACAAAGCAAGATTTGGGCCCCTGTCCCAAGGTACATTCCGAGGGCCTCAAGACCGAGTACGAAAATCTTCCGCCGCAACAAAAGCAACGGCACAACTTTGAATGGGATTATATGCGCGACCTGCAAAAGTACATAGACGAATGTAACAGGCGCATCGACGCGGCGCAGCGAAGGCTCGAAAAGACACCAGACGAAATTAGGCAGACCAATGTTCTGCTCAAGTCTATTGCCGATCTGTCGGCAACCATCAACGTGGGACTGAGTGAGATTGAGGTCCTGGGCGACCTGGGCGAAGTGTCTCGTGCATACGACGAATTCTACAAGGTCCGACTGGCGGCGGCGCAAAAAGCAGAACGCGAGCGAGAACTCAAGGCCCTCAGTGATACAAGTGGTCCATCAGGTCACCAAAAGTTGCAAGTTTGCGACGTGTGTGGTGCCTATCTATCGAGACTAGACAATGACCGGCGCCTGGCTGACCACTTTTACGGTAAAATGCACTTGGGATACGCTCAGATGCGGCGAACCTTTGATGCTTTCCCCAAGGAGTTGCGCGGCGGACGACCACCACGGGGGCCTGGTATGGACGATGGTCCACGCGGCGATGATGGTGATTGGAAGGGGCCTCGAGGTCCGAGAAGAGGAGGATATGGTGGAGGTGGTGGCGGTGGTCGTGGAAGAGGATACCGTGGTGGTTGGTAGGCAAGACGGAAAAATCAGTCGGCACGCCGCTCTCGACTATCGAGAAAGCAATGACAGGATCTGCAACCAGCCAGAGAATTCTGGACAGCCTTGTGGCTCAACACATCCAAAATCAGTCTTGGGTTGCGGTAAGTTTTTGTGGATGCTGAACCAATCTCTGGACTAAAGTGTATTTAGCATTTCCACGGTGGGAATGCCATGCAAGAAATATCTTGGCTTTATGGCTTGCACGAGAATAAAGACTCCTCCCATGTGCTGTCATCTTGGGCAGAGATTGGTCTGGGGATTCTAGGGAGGAGGCTGCAGCCAAAGGCTTGAACAATGAAGAATTGCAAGGCCAGGACAAGGATGGATTCTCGAGTCAATCTCGCTCCAAGTAATAACCTCAACGGTCTGAGTTGGGAGGTCGAGGAGCCATCATCGTCAGCAGATTGCAGACTCCTCTGATTGCACTGAAAAGAACACACGAGTTCACGTACAGATCTTTTACCAGCAGATATGCAATCCCAAGAGGCATAAAGAATCCAAATATGCTTTCCAGACTCGTCCATGTCTTGATTATACAACTCGCTGTTATTGATCTAAAATCAATGCTTTCTGTATCATCGCTTGTGCTATCAAGTAAATACTCGTTGAATCACAATCCTCTACGTTACATTTAACCATTGTTGGAGAGTTGCAACATTCCCCATTGATATCCAAAATGTCCCAGCAGCACAGCTACACGACTCTCCTCTAGGTGGCATGAAAACATATTTCCCCGAGCATGTGTGGGCGCCAGGAAGACCAAGGTCCTTCACCGGTACCAATGCCAGGTAGCTCAACAAGATCCAGCCACCAAAGGATCACGGCCGACTTTTCAAGAAAAGAGGGCTCGCGACGAGACAAGTGTTTGAAGCTGAAAGTGTGACAAGCGCGATCCACCATCCTGTTATTCTAGGCGGGATGGGCATCTCGCTGGGTTTGCTCTTCGCGTTGAGCGTCGAGAGCAGCCATTTCATCATCCCATTGTCCTATGAGGGGAGAATTGAGACTAGGTGGAAGAAATGGGAGGTCAGTGGATTTGATAGCAGGGCCTTTGTCGGCAGTGTCGACCTTGGGTTGCGGCGGCAGAGATGGAAAGTCCTCGGGCTTTGGCGGAGAATCCACTGATTTGTTGGGCACGTTGCCATTGTTGGCGCGCTCAGTGCCTTGGTTGAAGGCTGACCTCGCACCCCGATCACCTCTTGCCGCGCCTCGACCTCTTCCCCTGCCCCGGCCGCGACCTTCACCACTGTTGGCATCTCTGGCGCTCTGACTTGATTGGTCACGGCTTTCATCCTGGTCGGCAAAACGACTGCCTCCGAGACCGCCTCGCCGCTCGCCGCGGACGCCACCCTGAGCACTTCGAAAGTTCCTCTTCTCGGGTTCGTCGGTGAGCATTTTTTGCTGATCCCAGAGACCCTGCGACTTGAGCTTCCTTTCGCGATTGCGCTGGCGCTCGTCCTCCAACTTTTTGCGGTCTTCATCGTTGCGCTTCTTGCGCTCAGCTTCCTCGGCCCTACGCTTGCGCGCCTCCTCCTCGCCCTTTTTCAGCGCGAGATCATGCGACTTTTCGTCCAGCGTGGCCTCCTGGAACTTGCGCGTGCGTTCCGCGTTTGCAATCCTCATATCCGCCATCTTCTGGTCGAGTTGGGCAGCAGACAGTTTGGTACGCGGGTTGGCGCCGCTGAGATGCCGATTGGGGCCTGCCGTGTTGGGCCCAGTCGTGGCAGCAGAAGGGCCTTTTGGCGCATTTGTCGGGGCAGCGCTGGCCGTTGCGACGGGTTGCGGCGTGCCATTTGTTGGTGATGTGTTTGATGTCGCGCTGCTTGCCTGAGTGGGCTCGGCTGCCTTGGTAGAGCTCGTTGCCGTCGCCGGTTTCGATGGGGACCGGTTCTTGTGGACGTTATGTCGCGATTGCGAGAGGGAGCCCGGTTTGCTGCGCGTAGAAGGCTGCTCTGGCTTGGGGACAGTTGTCGCAGGGGCGCTGGGTACGGGTTCTGCTTCTGGTGCCGTGGTCGGGGCTGGCGCAGGCTCTACATATGTCTGCTCCACGGGCTCAAAGTCGTCGGCAAAGAGATCGTCGTCGGTTCGACCGTTGAATTGATCGTCCATGGTCTCTGTTTTGGTTTCTTGTCGGTTTGATGATGCTCAACAAGCAAGAGATGTTCTAGCATGCATTGGTGAGCTAATGGATTCAAAGGCTGCTGTAATCAGACACGGCAATAATGAATAATAGTTTGTAAACAGATAGAAACAAGCAATGCCGTGACCTAGTCAAGAAATCCGGGACCTACGTAAAGGTATCAAGTTTGGAGCTCAGAGCAGTGTTGGGTTGATACCGTCAATGTGTCGCACGCCAAACGTTCTGACATAACCTTGGTGCAAGGGCCCAGGTGCCACCACATTGGTTAGTAGGGCAGGAGGCAAGGTTCAGCTTTCCTGGTCAGTGGCACTGGGCTGACACTGGGCTGAGTGCACCAGTAGGTCCCACCGTACCAGACGGGTGAATCGTAATGGAACCTCGACTGTAGCGTCCCGCAGAACAGCCGCAGCGTTGGGCTCAGGGCCATTGGTACCGGCATGGAATGGCACGGACACTAAAGCTCCCAGCAGCAGACGACTATGAGACCAGGGCTCCTATATGGTGAAACCACGGGCATCTAGTATCAACTCAATTAGGTCAGATATATACTCTGTCATTAGGCACTCTACCATTTGGCTTGACGCTTCACTTGCATGACTGCGATTCATTTGGCCCGAAACCCGCGACTTGACCCTCAGTAGGTACATGTGAGGATGGATTTGTTGCAGCAAAATGACACTGCTTGACAGTGAACACGATTGTCAGAACAAGGACCTTACTCTTCTGTAGCATGCCATTACCAGCAAAAGTCGACTCGCACATTCAACAACTTGTCCTAAAAGTTGAGCCCAGAGCGCAGCCAACTCCGGACTCTTTTTGTACGTGCATTTCAGTACCTGACAGAGTTGGATACCAAGTTCAGTACTCGTGCGCTTTGGTGGGATATGAACAAGCAAATTGATAGTATCGCGCCTCGAAACAGGTCTTGATTTTCTTGCAATGAGGTAAACATGTAATTTGTTGTAATCATCATTATACATACACCGGTCAACACCTGGGCGCACCACACGGACAAAGCCAAAAGAGTAGCGATATAACAAATGAGATTTAAATGTATACAAAGAAATTGCAAGAGACGAGACTGTAATGGGTTCGGTTCAATTGGCTACTCGGTTGCTTCAATTATTGCCCATGATTCGTGGAACAGCATGTCGATTTCGCGTCAAATAGTGTCGAAAGTTGTAATGGTGAAAGAGAAGATAAAGTAGATCTTGCAATGGCTAGCCATGTTCAATGCCATAGGAACCAAGGAGAGCATAAAAGGGTTCTTGACATTCGGAACAATTCACGGACGATCCCTTTTTGTGGGCAGTATCTACAACCCTCCGTATGCAGAAGCGTTTACCTGGTACGCGAGTGCAGATATGCCTGTATCTTTATTCTTGTCCAAAATAGACATGGACTGAGATGAAATTCTATATTTCTAAAAGTGACATTCGGGACCATGTGCAGTATTTTCCCACCAATGGTTCTTCCAAGGCAGGTGGAGTAACGCATCGACATCCATCAAATGTCTGTAGATCTGCAAGCGCATCATCGGGCCTATGCGATGCGACGCTGGAGTACGCATTGGTCGTGACTTTTGAGAGCCTCACAAGGGCTGGGTGGATTCATAGCGACAACCATGAACAAACAGTGAGACCAGCAATTTCTAGCTCTCACGTAGCTATTCTAGAACATTTCAGAGCAGTTCAAGGGGGTTGTTCTGTCAAGAAATGATAATACACGTCTAGTCCGTCGAGCTTATGTTTTGGCAAGAGTCTCAATGAACGAGTGACGTTTCATTAGCTGAAAGTTGGCCATCCCGCTCCTCATACTCATGCTGACTGCCCTCACTTGCTCCCAATCATATCTCTTGAGCTTGGTTGCGGCAGAAGCATACATATTGATGACTTTTGTCAAGACTTCATCATGACCCAAAACGGTAGAATGTTGGGAACATGTGTTCAGTGCAACATGACTTGATATGGCTAGATCTTGACCCTCGATACTACATCCAAATCCGGCAGAGGACACTGAATGGTGCCCACAATTTACCCGGAACTGAGGCAAGGAGCTCCGGACCCAAAACGGACTAGATATTGGGATCCCTGTGCTCACACAACTCTTGACAATCATCTTGATGGCCATCTCTGTAAAGATCAATGTGCAATGTGACAATGGGTCAAAGATGGCAGACAACAGAATCCAATATTGAGCAACACGGAAAACTTTTATTGACAATCGACAGACCAGACCGTGCACCTGGCTTTTGGGAAAGGGATTTGAGCGACCGGGAACGTGTCCATTGCTCTTATTCTCAAATGTGCTACAACTGGTTCCCAAGTCATCTTGCCCAATGATTTTCGTACAATTAGGGACAAGTCAAAAGAGCCAGAGTGTCTATAATGGTACCATGAAATCTCGGCGATTCATCAGCCCAGTACTTGCAGCTCGCGTCCTGGGAATGAGAATCTTGCGCCGATGATCCATATTAGCATTGATGGGTGTTCTGAGCCTACGACTGCATCCGGGGATGCGTGGGGGGATCCATATACTACCATTCAACCCATATAATTCACCAAACAGCTAGGTTTCCGAAGTTTATACCTAGAGGTACCTAGAGGCGGGGTATATTGGTTCGTCCCAGCTATATCATGATGGACTGGAGAGTAAGTGGTAAATGTAGCTTCCAGTCACCACGGGTCGGCGTTGAGATTACTACCGTTACCGAGTCTGTCAAGTACAAGTAACTTTGGCTACGGCATCGAATTCTCACGACGCATCCGGAATCAAACCAAAAAATGGCTGTATTCCTGACATTTCACGGAGAATTTACGGCAGGCATTCCCGACCAATCATGCAGGCTGTCGCGGTGCACTGAATGATATTGCCCTGGCTCAAGCCTATTGACCGACCTAGGCGAGACGGGAATCGGACTGGCAGATCTAATATGCGTAGAGTCCTGACCAGGGAGCTGGAGAGATCAACAGCCAAGCGAGAGCTGTTTGAATGCAGAAAAGGTTGCCGTAATCAATGTCGAGACAATGATTCTTGGCTGGCTTGGGAAATAAGCCGACATCAATCTAAAGCAGGTCCCACAGTGTCCATGCCTGTCCGGGCCGGGCTGCCGCTGCGAATCCCCTCCACACTGGGGCCCCAGTTCCTATATGGACGGCCGCCAGTCTCCCTGGGGGCGCGCCCGTCCTCCTAGGGTCAGCCCACCAGCCCAGCTTATCCAACGTCCAACACCTTGTCGTATTTAGACCCTGCACAACCCCGCGGGCGCTGCGCGTCTGCGTCTGGAGAGAGTGGGAGGAACGGAATCTGAATGGCCGAGCCAGGCAACACATTGTTACAAGCAGGTGATCAGACGACCGCCCAGAGAGCTGAGGTTTAGCTGCTGCTGCTGCTTGCTGGCCACGTACGGTACGCAAAAGGCCTCCCTTGGGTTACGGAGCAGATGCCCTTGGATTGTACTTGTCCCGCAAAGGGCAAAAGGCAGTCATGTCCACCGCAGAAGTGGTCGCAAGGCGCAGTGCTGCGCTCCCCGCACTCACACCCGTTGTGAGCGGCAGCAATGGCAGCATGTCGAAACCGTCGTCTACAACGTCGTCTTCTACGACAGCAAACTCTACTGCCCCTTCTACAGCCACTGTCACACTCGAAAAGCTACAGGCCAAATTTGCATCCTCGAGACAAAAGCGTGTAAGGAGTCCCGGCCTCAACAAGGACGAGAGGGAAGACCGCACCCCAAAGCAGCGGCAGCGCAGTTTTACAAAGACCATGGAACCCCCTGTCCTCTCCTTCTATGGCGAGAAGCCTGTCCCGCTACCCTCGCGATTTGGCCACCTCAAACGCAGGCTCGTAGCTGGACACGAATCCGCACTTGAAGCATCTTGGGCGCGCCTGCTGACGGCATTACGCGAGGAAATCAATCATATTGAAGCCAGAGGGACGGATCTTATTCCATCAATTGATTTTGGCGACATTAAAAGCTCGGCCACAGTCAGGAGTTTCAGCGACAAGGTCAAGCGTTATGGAATCGGCGTCGTACGAGGTGTGGTTGCCAAGCCCGACGCCGAAGCCTGGGTCGAGGAGACCAAAAAGTATCTGGAAACCAAGCACGAGTTCAAGCCGCCGCCGGCGCAAGACCCGACATGTTTTGACTTTTTCTGGTCGCCATGCCAGGTTCGCTCCCGGGCGCATCCAAACGTGCTCAGCGTGCAGAGGTTTGCCATGTCCATATGGGAGACTACCGACGACGACAGGCTGGCCACCAGGTTTCCCATTTGCTACGCAGATCGGATTCGCATAGATACAAACACGACGAGTGACTTGAATGTCGGCAGCGGCCCCAATGTGGAAGAGTCTCTGCCGCCCGCCAGCTCCACCTTGATTGCGCAGGTGGACAATGGAAGTCTGGAGCGATGGGAAGTCGACGGCTACGGCCATAGTGGGTGCTACGATGCCATCTGGAGAGGCGACTGGGAAGAGTACAACCCTTGGGACCCCACTGGCCGCATCAATGCCACGACTGATCTCTACAATGGAGCTGGTGCTTGCAGCATGTTTCGCATGTTTCAAGGTATTCTCGCCTTGACCACGGTGGAACCAGGCATGGTGAGGCTACTTCCATCACCAAAGCTGGCAACGGCATACTTTTTACTGCGTCCCTTTTTCAAACCAAAGTCTCCCGCTCCCGAGAATCATGGCGACACCGAGGCCTGGGAGGCGTACATGGATGCTTCCAACTGGCAGCTGGAAAAAGAGCAGACAACCATAATCCATGGAGCCGTTCCCGGCCATGCGCAACGCGTGACCGATACTTGGCATCCGCATTTGAGGTTGAATGCGAGCCTTGTAGCACCGCCAACGCTCAATCCTGGCGACTACATCATCTGGCACCCGGACCAGCCATACGCATTTGAAAAGCCCCCTCCAAGTCTTTCCATGCTGGTATATACTCCTGCCGCTCCACTCACCCAGACCAATGCGCTTTTCCTGGCTCGTCAACGGAAGGCCTTCCTCCGAGGTCATCCCGGTCCGGATTTTGACAGCACTGGAAGCGGTTTGGGAAGTGAAGCCCCACATACGGGACGCCTGGATGAAAAGGATATTGCCGACGTGGGAGGTCAAGAAGGACTACAAGCAATGGGTCTGGCGCCCTGGATCCTGGACAAGTCCATGGTGGAAGAGTCAAAAATGGGTACTCCAGCAGAGTCCAAGTCTGGCACGCCGACCGAGGAGATCAAGCCAGCCCTCCTAAATGGATATCTAAATGACAACAAATCCGAGGCCAAGATTTCGGCAACCGAAGCTGATGTCGCGCGAATTGCCAACATGGTCTTATTCCCCGAGAGATTTGACTTTTGGATGCCTAGCAGGGTGGCTACGCCATCAGTAGAAGGAGGCAAGGGTAAAGAGGCAGAGTTGAAGAAGACGTAGAGGGGTTGGGCAGATCCTCCTGCTCACGATAGACCATTTGGCAAGATGTAGTGAATGCTGCAGTAGATTTGCTCCAGAGTAGCTTCAATCTGTTCATGACGAGACTTTTTGCTATTTGGCTCGTCTCTTAACTCTTGTCATGTCAATCACACTTGAAATGTGGAGCGGAAAGAAATGATCAATGGATTTTTTACTTTTATTCCGCATCAAGAACAAGATCAATAGACTGCCAAGACTTTTTGTGGTCAAGTCACAACCTGCATACCAACCGTGAACCTCGGCATGGCCTCCTTTCAGCAAACGACATGAGCTCTCAATGAGAATAAAAGGCCTGTCACAATGCATTGGCCCATCTTCAAATAAATCAAGGAAAATTTGTAAACAGCCTTGATCTGCAGCTTGTCCTATGTCTTGAAAGTTTCAAGGCCGGATCCCCAAGTCTACAAGTGTACAGCATTCAGACCGAGCCCTAGAAGTCGTCACGTTTCTAGAACAACAAGGCATCAAAACGTCCTTCTTTTCAGGAATTTCCATTGCAATGCTCTTCTGCTTTCTTTCTTTTCCAGATAGTACATGATCGTTGAATCAAGTTCGATGGCTGGGCCATGATACATTCCCACTACGAAAACGAGGTAGAGTACATCATGGCATTGTCCCTGTTTCATCATGTCACCGCGTTACCATTTAAAAAGGATAAACTGTCAAGCCATTGGACATTGGGCTAGGCCGTCTATCCCGAATGCTCTGTACCGATGGGCGGTTACGTTACATGTGATTGAGGTGGCACCCGGCGACAGAAGCAACAAAGGGACGAGCTGCATCATTCCTCATTCGCCAGACTGTCAAAAGGCTCACGAATTTTCATGCTCATAGCATAAGATGTCCTGATGAAAAACAATCATGGCTGCCTGGACGTATACCAAACTAGTCCTTCTCAAAGTCCTTCTCGAATGTAACGGAAAAGGCTTGGCTTCTACATATCTCGTATTGATCTATAGCCCCTGGGCCTAGGTACCACATAGCGGACCGTGACTAATGTACTCTGGCCTTTGAGGCTTGGGAAACTAACGTCAAGTCGCTTAGCCAAGGGGATAGTCCACCTCTGGTGCAAAGTCAAATGCTCAGATAGTGGTGCGACTCTTGACGGTTCAGTCAATGCTCCCAAGTAAACTAATGACAAAAATGCCCGGCATCAGGTCTCTCTAAATGTCATCCTGGTATTCTGGCATGGGCTCATCATCATCAAAGGCGCCTGCGAAGGTGACGTGCTAGCCTAAAGTCGAATGGTCTTGTTTTGAACGGCATTTTGAGCCATTTTCACTTGGAGCTTCACTTCCCCGGATGCTGGTGCCAAAAAAAGGTATGAACAAGCTTTTTCGCACAGACCGTCGCTGACGATCCCCGGCACTGACGGCTCTTGGCGCTCATGGCGAGAGACGAAGCGGGACTCATCCTAGACCGGCTCTCTTCAAATACCATGTTAGTTTCATGGCTCCTTTACGACAGAACCAATAAAAACAGCCATTTGCCCCCTTCTTTCTCCATTGAAAACAACAATCCGTTGGATGCCTGAACTAGACATATTAGGGGTTCGGCTTTTGTATCTCAATCGCAAGCCCTATTGTGCTCAGCCATGTCCGTCCTGTCAAAGTGTTAGCAGTAGCATGGCCCTCATTTAAATGTTGCCCTCATGGATTTATCCCTTACTATTTAAGGTGGAAGCTATTGCCTTGATCTATTTTGAAGCACGTAACCATTCCACTACTCTTTACCATGGCACCTGTGATTCGTGACGCGGACATTGAACATTGGCTCTTGCTAATGGATCGATTCGATAACAGGCCACTCAGTCCGTCAAACGGTGATTCGGCTACAGAGCTGCTCGAATCTCATCGACCATTGCCTACAACATATCTGCTTGCTTTATCACAGGACCTCGCCGAGGATGGTGGACTTGACCAATCCAAACCAGCAGTTGGCGACACACCGGGAGAGGACTTTTACCGTGTAGGCAACGTCGGTCACTGTGAGAGCACAAGTATGGGATTCGCAGATTCTGTCATGACACCATTTACAGCACAGGTGAGTCTCTAGCCGCCCTCCAAGTTCTCAAGCGATTCCCAGTGTAACGTGCCACGGGCCTGCGATTGAGTCGGATCGGCAACCGAGACTGACCATTTGCTCTACTAGGATGGGCCCATGCTTGTAGTGTTGATAAGTATGGTCCTTTCTGTAGTATTCGTGGTAGAAATGTACGAATTCTGGCAGCGGCGCATGAGAAGGATATACTTGCAAGTGTTGACAAGACTATCGCATCATCAAGTCCATCTTGAGCTGACAAATGCACAGGCGAGACTCGAATCGGGACGAAATGGACTAAACGCTCACATCTTGAAGCTGATCACAAAAATAGCTTAATAAATAATTCTTTCAGCTCCCTGTGCTCCGTTTCTCTACACCAGTCACATGAATAACACATTATGCCATGATAAACAATGATTTGATTTCTGTATACATAGTCACGCCAACTGGCGGGATTTCGAGCAAGATTCCAAACAACTTTCAGAAGATTGTTGCCCAGTACAAGCTTACAATCAAGAACGGGCTTTGATTATGTCGCTAGCTTTCTCGGCCACTGCAAACATGGTTGCCTGGAGATGGGCTGCCGGCAATACGGGCAAGATACTAGCATCAATAATGCTCAGCCTCTGAACGCCGTAGACTTGCAGATCTGAATTGACCACCCCGCCCAACTCTCGTGGCAGCATGGGACAAGTACAACTAGGATGAGCAAAGCTGGGGCGAAGCCAACCGACGTCAATCATGGCCTGCAAGGCAGCATCTTCAGTAGTGGTATTGGCACCGGGCCATACCTCTACAGGCTCCAGAGACGCCACTGCCGACGTGTTTTGCAGCCTGCGAGTGTATTCGAGGGATCGGAATAAGATGGCTCGATCGAATGGATTGGACAGGAAATTGTAGGACACGACAGGCTCCCCATACACATCGCTCGCATTCAAATGAATAGTACCGCGGCTCAGAGGCTTCTGCAGGGCATTGAGCATTCCCCCGTTGCCCCCCACTGGAATTTCAACTGCCGATACCGAGCCATTGGCAAGCTGAGCTGCCAAGAGTCGCTTCTGTGCTTCGTAGCCAGCCACCAGCTCAGGATACGAGGCATAAATGTCAGGCAAGTATGCTCCCTCGGTCTGTTCTAGAAGATTGGCGACCAAAGTATCAGAATCATCAGCAATTGCCGAGAGGGCAGGAAACGATATATAATTAGCTTGGGCTTTGGTCAAGGGGCCCGTGAGGTTGTTGAAATAAAGGTCAACCGCTTCGTCCCAAAAAGTGGCATTTGCAGTGAGTTCAGTGGCCCTGGGAAAGGTAGGGTTGTTGACTAGTAGACAGTCAGCATAACGAATGCCGTTTTGACTTGATCAAGCCGTGGGCGGTATCAGTCACTTACGATCCCACGAGTAATAGGCCACAGGATGATCCTGAAAGTTGCTGCCGACTGCCGGAAAGTCTAACTTTGTTGCAATCCCGCTAGATTCAAGGACCGACTTGGGTCCGATCCCACTCCACTGGAGGAGCTGAGGTGTGTATACGCCACCAGCAGCAAGAACAACCTCTACACTTGCTGTAAAGGAGACGGTTTGATTAGTCTCACGATCCAAGGCATTGACCCCAGTTGCAATTAAGTCATCCTCGGTACTATTCGAGAGGACAATCTCCCTAACTTGATGCTTCAGAAGGAGCTTCAAGTTACTCCTGCTCGACACCTTGTCGTAGTAAGCATATAATGATGATGCACGCGTCATGGTGGTTGGGTCTATTGCGGCAGGCACGAAATATCGGCCGCCGGCATTATTTCCATTTGCTTGCTCTTGGATTTCCGGAACATCTCCTAGTTCATCGAAAGCCGCAATATACCTGTCTACGAACGGTTAGCTAATCGAAATCAAAAGGGTTCCAGCCACCTACACATGTCGGGGTATTGAAACTCGGGAAATGAGCTTTGAGCATATGCTTCAGTGGCATACGCCGAGGCGTCGTACGAATAATTGTACAGGGCCTCAATATCTGGCTTGGGAACTGTAAACTGGACATCCTGGGACCATGTCAGTATTCCTAAACGAATCAAAGGGGTCCAAAACATTGACCTTTTTCACATGGGAAGAAATGCTCTCCCATCCCCAGCCCGGATTGCCCAAGGCCTCCCAACCGTCATAGTCCCCTGCGGACCCATAGTTCCATGCCATGCCATTGACTTGAGAGCCGCCGCCAGCGACTTGGGAAACAGTGACCAAGAATGTTTGATTTCCTGCCTGGGGTTCTGGAGCAGAATACAAGGAGCGCAAAGATGCCGTGTTGAGGGTCGTGGCATAGTAAGGAATCTTGGTCACGTTGGTACGGTCTTCTGCACCATATTCTATCACCAAGACGGAAACTTGACGAGTATTAGCACTGTATGCACAGAGGCCAACTAGAAAACGTCTACCATTTGGATCTTCGCTGAGTCTGGTTGCGGCAACGAGCCCAGTCAGTCCACCACCTACAATGATATAGTCGTATTGGCTAGCGGCAGCCTGGTTGCTGGTAGCGGCCGGGGTACTGGTTGGTGTGCTCTCACTGGAGCCAAACAATCCAGCCAAGACCAGAACGCCCGCAATGGTATAACGGCAAAGCATTGTAAAAGAGGAATGCACAAGGGGACCACGACACGACGTGATGCTCAATTGGCAAAGACGAACCATGTATCTTTGCGGGAAGATGGGAATCGAGCAATATAAAATATCCTTTGATACTCGTCTATCGATAGGCTTGTGTTGCCCAGAGTGCCCAGGCGTCCTGATCCGGGTCTTATGCACGATGCCTGTGCATTCAAGCCAATGGATGCCTTGTATAGAGCACTAACTCTGCCTTGGGAGGGATTGTCCGGGGTAGTCGCCAGGAGCGCACTCTCTAGATTGTCGTACATACGAAACTCGCATCTAACCATATTTGAGGCATGGTGATTGTTCAGAAAGTGGCGAAACAAATCGTTCATGAAAGATTCCGTCTTATGCGACAAAGCCAAAGGATGCCGTGTAGGTGAACACTAAAAAGGTTCCTCCATAATCGCTGCTGTTGGAGATGCAAAACTACATGCGCTGCCAAACTTCAAGACCTTTCTCCGAGCGGCAAGTTGGACCTTGCTCGACACTCCAGTCTTCTGCAGTCATCGTATGGAATACGCAGAGGATAATTACATTGCAACCAGCCAAGATCTAGTTGTTTCTTTGGAAATGTTGCTGGGGTCCGGTGTAGATTATACACATTTGCCATGGACCAAGGTAAGGAACTTGCCACGCTTTGTCACATCAGTCTCTTGAGGTGGGCAAGTGGAATCTTCCTTGCACTATGCAATAGGTATCGGTCTATTGACCAGATAATTGATGTGTCGAGTTCAACGAAGCAACACACTGTGATTGAGAACAATGGCCAACGTAGTGTCAGCCAAAATATCGAATCCTTGCGTCGTATGGATTTTCACAGGACAAACAGTGCAGAATTGCAGGTTTCACTTGCAGGACTGTCGATTTCATTGTACTCCATTTAGATCAATCAAACACATAAAAAGAGCGTAGAATGCGATACAAGTTGAAAAGTACATACAGAAGCTCTTTCTGGTGCTGTATTTTGTATACGCTAATATAGTCGGTTATCTCGGAATCCCCACCAAGCCAATGTGTGCGGGACATTTAAGCTAATGGTTCCAAGGTCCTACTACTATTCCGTAATGGACATTTGAACATGTGAAAATACACAGCTAGATTTGCAAATTGCCGCCATTTTCTTGTCCTGTATGTCCCAGAATTCCTCAAGTACTTGACGCGTTCTCCAAGGAGATTACTATGCAATATTTAGCTCGTACTGCACTTGTGCTGCCTCTTGTAGCCGAGCTCCATTCCAAGGGGACCACCGGCAGGCCTATAGGTTCAGTAAATACTCGCCAAAGCCAAGACTCATTTTTCACGGAACCGGGAATGGTCGGTCGAGGGTGGAATATTGCGTAATGTTAATCTGTTCAATATCTACTCCATCGTCCCAGACTCACACGACTGCTGCATTGGTCTTTGTAGAATACCTAGGCTAGGCCAGACCATGCTTTCGTATTCCTTGCCATTTTTGTTTCTTCTCCAAGGACAAAAGGCCCCCGCAGGCCAGCACTCCCTGGTAAATTTTGCCAACTAGACGCAATGCGACATATTGCAAGGATACCATTATCATGGGAATAGTCAAGCTCGGAAGCGACGTGTCGGTTCTCAAGGACTGCTCGGCCTTATCAACGTGAGCCATGTCCATGAGCTCCTAGATACACCACTGGCCGAACGAAACCTTCCAAGTGATGGTGTTGGACGTTGAGACCGCGGTATCTTTTGCACTCGTGTTGAAAAGCATCCATGGCACTAGATAGCGCAGAGAGCGCTTGACTTTTGTCGCCCAAGCGAATAATATATTGGACCTTGATTAGAATGGCATCTCCGCCTCCCGCATGATTTATGCTACCTCTGGATTCTTTCACACATGGACTTCATTCTCTTCTAGAGGCATTAGCCACGGGACTCTGCGAATCAAACATCAGTACGCACCAAAACGCATTCGTGTGAATATTTATCATTGCCAGTCCGCAACCATGATTTGTAGACTGTTGACAGCTTATACTCTATATCACGATGAGCTGTAGCAACCACGGGTACGACCCAAAAGACATTCAACACTCGCTTGGGCGATGGACAGGATGCAGGTCTTTCAAGACGAGCAGCACTTGGAAATGCGTGCATGGGCGTTTGTCGATCCACGCCGACTTTGGCAAACAGAGTGCTAAGCGACTGAGAATCAAAGCTTGGCGGGTTATCATCAGCCGATCCACCAGGCAACCCCCACGAATATCGCGGCCACCATGACACATACCTTGGAGCCACGAACATTGCCTGACTCGTTGCTAGCTTCACGGTTAAATAGACATGATCCAGAAATCAATCGCCGGCAATGCAAGACATGGCAGCTTAATGAACCTTGACCAAACGACAGGGCATTGTTGAGCCTCATTCTTGGCGAGTGCAATTTCTCCATTGAACCCCAAACCTGCCAAACTATATAACATGGAAACAAGATACCTTGTACACAACCATTGAATAGGGCTACTTCTTTGCTTTGAAGCATTGCCGCGACTCGAGGACCTACGCGTCAAGGGACTCGTTGTATTGGTGCGATTATCCTTGGTCCCGCTTGTGGCCCATCTTTTATCGCTCGAGTATTACCCCGGAGTGGAGATGACGCTCGATGAAAATTCCTGGAGTTTTAGGACTCTTTTGGTGTCTTCTTGAGGGGTTTTGATGGATCTCCCCACGTTCTCCCCGTCTCGCTTCCATCTTGCCCCATAGAGGTCCACATATCTGTGCTTTTATGCTACGGATTGGCTGGTTACAACACACCTCGAGGATTCGAGAGACGGGAAATCTCGGTAATAACAATGGCAAGTAAACAGGCCTCATGGCACACCCCGCAGAGCTAGCTGTTGCCGGCACGCTTGAGGTGCCATATATTAAAAAGGTGACTGGACCTGCTGCGGATTGCCAAGGCACTTTCTCACTGCCAAACCAAATACACGAGTCAAAATGGCGGCACCATCGGGCTTCTTTCAGAACCGCAGGGTCTATCTCTTGACCGGAGTCGCCTACATGGGCGCTCTGCTCTTTGGCTTCGATACTGGCGTCATGGGCTCAGTGTTGGCCCTCGACTCTTTCAAGAAGGACTTTGGCTTGCCTCAAGGAGGATCTGGGTTTGCCAACGAACAAAATGCCTACGTATCATCCAATGTTGTTTCTCTGCTTACTGCCGGAGCCTTTTTTGGTGCCATTATCGCCGCCATTGTAAACGACATTATTGGCCGCCGCTCTACCTTGTTTGCATTTGCAACAGTCTTTATGATTGGCGCCGCGATTCAAACCGGGGCTTCTCACGACCTTGCGTATATTTATGCCGGTCGCGTGATTGCAGGCTTGGGAATAGGAGGCCTGAGTGGCGTCATGTCCGTCTATGTTTCCGAAAACGCTCCTCCAAAGATTCGCGGACGCATCGCCGGCCTATTCCAAGAGTTACTGGTCATTGGCTCAACTTTTGCATACTGGCTAGACTATGGTGTAGACAAGCATATCCCTTCCAGTACCAAGCAATGGCGCGTGCCCGTCGCGGTCCAGCTCATTCCTGGCGGCTTGATGATGTTGGGGCTTTGCTTCCTCAAGGAAAGCCCGAGATGGTTGGCCAAAAAAGGTCGACATGAAAAGGCTCATGCGGCTCTGGCACATGTACGATGCAAGTCAATGGACGATCCGGAAATATTAGAAGAAATGGCAGAGATCAGAGCAGCAATTGAGGAAGAGAACAATGCCATGGAGGGACTTTCGTGGAAGGAGGTTTTTGCACCCGCCAATCGGTTTGTCACATCCCATCATGTATACTGTTGACCATGACTTGCTGACATGTCCACAGAAAGCGCTTCATTTTGGCCTTTTTCATCATGATGTGGCAGCAGTTCTCGGGTACCAACTCCATTGGCTATTATGCTCCGCAGATTTTCCAAACGATTGGCATCTCCTCGAGCGACTCATCTTTATTTGCTACTGGTGTATACGGCACAGTCAAGGTAGTTGCTACAGCTATATTCCTATTCATTGGCATCGACAAATGGGGACGTAGAAACTCCTTGTTGGGCGGCGCAGCATGGATGACGAGCATGATGCTCATTATCGGCATCCTCCTCGTTAAATTCCCTCCGGACCCTACCGCCAGTGGTGTCAGCAGCCCTAGTATTGCAATGGCTGTCATGATTTATCTATACGTCATTGGATATTCAGCATCCTGGGGTCCAACTCCATGGGTCTTTGTTTCCGAAATCTTTCCGACCCGACTTCGGGCATACGGTGTTGGACTTGCTGGTCAGTTTTCAATACAGTCGTGATCCATTTCATTATACTAACAGGTCATTGATAGCTGCCACGCAATGGCTCTTCAACTTTATTGTTACAAAAATTACACCTCTGGCAATTAATAGCGTAGGATGGCGAACATTCATCATGTTTGCCGTCTTTTGTCTGGCCATGGGCATTTTCGTTTTCCTGTTTGTCCCAGAAACCAAACAGTGCACTCTCGAAGAGATTGATGTCATATTTGGTGGCGTAGATGCAGAGACTAGGCGCCGCGACGTAGAGGAAGCACTGGGGGCTGAGAGAAAGGAGGCGGATTTGGCACAAGACGAGCGTGTAGAGTCTACGCAGGCCTGAGCGTGGAGCGCAATGGGTTTGGCAATAGTCATCACTGGTGTAAATGAATTTTTGGTCAACCAGAAAGCCTTATACAGCCCATTTCACGTTTCATGTAAAACTGGTTGCAGCATACTGTCTGCTGGTATTTACATGTACAACAAAGTGGCAGTCAACAATGTCATCCGCACCTTTAAGGAGATCAAGTAGTGATATATCTACATGGGAAGCAACATACTTGGGGTCGTAAATTAAACCATTCTTCTTCTTCATCATCACCGGTGAGTCTGGGCGCCACGTGATGTGTTCTTGGCAGTCAGCTATATCGGGTATCGTCTCACGGCACCACTTACGGCTCCATCATGACCGAGCTGGATTAACTTGCATTTGTCTGCGCGCAAACAATAGATTCATGCACGATTATCGCTCGAGTCCATCCGAGTAGGCAAGTCCTTGTTTAGACATTGCAGAAAAGAGAAGAGAAAGGAAAAAGATCCTTGGTACGGGTTTGCCTCACTCAGCTAAGCTTTCTTCTGCCTGTCCTGCCTCTCCACTAGGCCTATTGCTGACCCCCACCGAGGCCCATTATTGGCTACGTTACGCCGAGACTCTTCAGCTATTCAGCTGTATAGAGTATCACATCCTTGTCCCTGCATATAAGAACCATGAGATGCCATTTCAAAAAACGCACTACACATGTATGAATGAAGAATAGCATGCCCAACGCAACCCATTAGATGCACGAGATGCATTTCTTGGGTGATCTTAATTCTGAAAGGAGCAAAGGCGTATGCTGGATTGCATCATATCGACAAGGGGAGCTATCTTGCCAGAAAGAAAAAAATTCTGGTACCATGATAAATCCACAATAGCTAGAGACAATTATATATACCCGAGGAAATCCTCCATGTCACTGCTTGTTCTGGTCGCTTTGGCTTTACAGCGGATTGCTTCAACCACAATTCAATTCTCGGCATCAAGATGAAGTTTCTCTGCTTCTTGACGCTGTCGATTTGCGCAGCTCTAGGCGCTGCCTCTTCTGCGCCGCCCTTGGGCTTTGAGCGACGTGCGCTTCTTCGTGACTTTTCCAATTTCAAACGCGAAGAAAACTGCACCACATGCGCAATCTATGATGCGGCCCCAGTCACTTCAGCACCAAAGCCCAATGTCTGGACCTCTGTCTCGGCAGAAGACAATGTCGCCGTCTGGCAATTGCTCCACGATCCAGCCTCTGGCTTGAATCTGACGGACGTATCCATTGCCGGCGTCAATGACAACTATCTTTTCTACATTGACACGGTTCCGCTAAACAAGACCGACGTCATTGCATACTTGGACCAGTCCGGACCCAAGCCTGCACAGTACGCCCGCGCAATCATCTTTGAGGGCGGCAGGGAAGAGCCGATATCACAAGAGTACATGGTGGGACCTCTGCCCGTCAGCAACGAGACGACAATTCAAAAGCTTGACTACATTTACAATGGTGGAATGGGAGGTTCGGTTCCATTCAATGGGCGAACATTTGATTCTATGCGGATCCTGGCATCTGACCCTGTGCTCATTGAAGTCATGTCCAATATTACCGACATTACAATGGCACTGCTTGGTGGCGTTTGGTACGGCGACTACAATGAAAGCTCGACCCTTATTTCCACCACGACATCTCCAACATCGTTCAACGGCACCTCGGCCTTTCGAATTGTCGTGTTCAAATTCCCGGGACCGGCAAACTACTTGCGAATGCTCGACTTTTACCTCATCATTGATGTCACCGGCACCGACACGACACATTACAAGCTCAAGGGCATTGTCACCAACACCCGCTTCTTCCCCACCGTCGACGACTTGCGCGCAGCTTTTGATGCAGGAGAGCTGACGGAAGAGTTCCACGTGCCAGAGGATTACGACTGGGCTCTTGTCAACTACGACCAGGCAATGGGCAAGCGAGACCTCGAGGAACGATTTGCACCGCAGAGCATTGAGATTGGTGGGAAGCGATACAAGGTGGATGCCGAGCAAAAGTATGTAGAGTACATGGGGTGGTCGTTTTATGTCGCCCACACTCTCAGCCTGGGCGTCATGTTTTACGACATTCGCTTCAAGGGCGAGCGCATCCTCTACGAGCTTTCCATGCAAGAGGCTGCTGCCCAGTATGGAGGCTTCACGCCCAAGTCTTCCACGACGCTTTACCACGACACGTACTATCAGCTCGGTGGTGAATTGTATCCGCTGGTGGAGGGATTCGACTGCCCATTTGGTTCCACCTTCTGGAACATTAGTGCACACGACGGCAACACCACCATTATCAGCCCAGATGCCATTTGTATCTTTGAGTCCGACGCTGGCTTTCCCCTCTCGCGTCATCGCGCGGCGGGAGGCACGACGCTGTTTGGCTTTGAAAACTTTGGTGTGGTCAAGGCCTCTCAGTTGACTCTTCGCTCCATTGCGACCGTGGGCAACTATGACTATCTGTTTGACTATGTCTTTCATGTCGACGGTTCTCTCGAAGTGATTGTGCGTGCATCAGGCTATCTGCAGTCATCCTTTTACTACCCCGACCAAGGAAATTGGGGGCCTCGCATTCAAGAAGCAGTACAAGGCTCGCTTCACGATCACGTCCTGACATGGAAAGCCGACTTTGATATCGTGGACTCCAAGAACACCCTCGAAGCAACAGAGCTGCGTGCCGCTCTCACTGAACAGCCCTGGTGGTCAGAGCTGGGGGCGTTTGAGCAGATGGAGCTGAATCGCTATAACCTCGAGACGGAACAGCAGTTCAATTGGCCAGACAATGGCCAGATCATGTACTGCGTCAATCATGCCAATGCTACCAACAAATGGGGCACGAAGCGAGGCTATCGCATCGTGCCTGGACGTAACAATGTTCATCTGAGCACATTGAACTCTCCCTTTAGCAGGAACAACTCTCAATTCTCCAAGACGCACTTGGCCGTGACGCGACAACACGACAATGAGCCATTTGCAAACAGCGTGCAGAACCTCAACATGCCCTGGAAGCCGCAACAGGACTTTTCAAAGTTCTTTGACGGTGAAAGTATCGAGGGCGAGGATCTCGTAGTTTGGTTCAACCTGGGCATGCATCACTATACCAGATCCGAAGATATTCCCGTCACATTGTATAACGAGGCAGTGAGCAGCATCATGTTTGCACCCCAAAACTTTTTCGATAGGGCTCAAGATGGAGATATACAAAACCGCCGATGGATCACTCCTGCAGAGAACTCGACCACGGAACTCGACTATGATACTTTTGGCATTGAACTTCCCCAATGCAAGGTTGAGTTGAAAGAGGGACGTGTAAAGCCTTTGGAGATTATCTAAGTGGAAATGATTCGACTATCACCTGTATGTAACTGGGTACTTGATGGTTTGGCACATTAGGGAATACATGTTATCCTACTCTATATAATGTTTACATTCATTGATATTGGTTATTCAATCAACAGTGATGGGCCGAGTCGGCACCACGAGAGCAGTAGAGAGCCCAACTGTCGACAGGCAATAGGTGCGACAAAGTTGATCCCATGATGCATGAGAGAACCAAACATACAATTTCCAAAGCTCAAGAACCAGTGCATAGTATTCTTCCAGCAGATGTTTAATCATGCGCTGTTCCATCTTGTTGCATTATCCTTTGATGCCATCCTGGCAAAATGTGATTCCCTTAGACGTTCATGATCTGTGCCGATCAATATATTCATACTAATCGCGCTAAATGTTCAGCCTGTTGAATCTAGAAAAGTCTCAACGGGCGAGTGTAGTTTTCCGCTCCACCAGACGGATTCGTCTCCGCCAGCCCCTGGCAGCAAGTTTATCTACAACCTTGTCTGCCCACAAATCTCTGGACTGTTTGAAGAAAACAGTTAGCATGACCGACAACGCTCCTGCGCAGCAAGTCCAGACCCAACATTGTTCATTGTAGATATGGGGCATATTTTGTTATACGAACCCGAGGTTGCTCGAGTGTGCGCGTCAATCACATATTCCATACCAATCTGGTGAACAAGCCGAGGCGACCAGTCGACATGAACCGGGGGCGTGTTGAAGCGAGTATCCCAGACGCTAAAACCAGAAAAAGTTTTAAGATTTGGGCGGCGCAGATCTAGGGCTGGTATCTTTAGTTTTCGTGCACTAGCATTGACTGCCAAAGTACCGAATCATGTTTTGGCTATTTCAAGGAGGCTAACGGCATTGATGAAATAAACATGACATGATTTGAACAAGACTTGATCGCCCAAGCGACCCGGTTAATAAGCGATGAAACGACGAGCCGGCTGGGCGATCGCTCTGGTGTCGCCGCAATGAGGCGCAAAGCCAAGTAGTACTGCAACCTGTTTGAAAAGAAGTTTTTGCTCACCTAACCCACACCAGTCTGTCGGTACTCATCCCAAGGATACGATGCCTTGACCCTCGACTCGGCCGACCGACCAGACACAATCATTCTGGTCGGTACCGAGCAATGGCTGGTCCCATATGATTGACGACGCTTCTTACGACGCTGGTCACGACGCTCGTTGGACAAGATGGGATAGAGGCCGCCCTGCTTCAGGGTTTTCGCGGCCCTGCCATGGGAGTCCAACGGCGACTCCCGTCAGCTAGTCAGGCACTCCCTTGCGCCCGTCGGCACTTTCAGTGCAAGGATCCATTATTGTAACCTAGCTACTATAGTAAATACCTAATGCAGGGGGGTTAGGTGGGCATGTTCGGAAAATCCGTACAAGATACTTTAGTAATGTCACAAGCAACTATTCCTCGGCAACACCACTTCAAACAACTGTTTGGCGCCGTCTTTTCATGTTTTCCGTCTAGTATTGCGTGCGTGAATATAAATTAAATAGGGTGGAAATGTATTCGCGAGACAGGGCGTTTTCATTGCTCATCAGTCTGTCCGGGCCAACGTAGTCTCGGCAAAGCGGCCAATTCAACGCCTTGGCATATCTCTCTTGCTACCCACTCCAGCCCCGTATTATATGAGACGCCTTATCGTGAATGGCAAACTCTTGCGTTGAGCTTCATCATATCAAGGGCAAGACGAATGTGGCCTAGATTTCATCAGCCCATGCAATGCAAACGTAATCCCGTCTCCATCCCTCCACGTTATCTTGTTGGAATGTAGCAGAGCCTAGGCCAAGGGTATATGGGAGTTGTGAGGAGTCTTCAATGGGTCCTCCTTGGATGGAGACTGACTCAAATCATGAGCTAATCTTTCATGATGGGCCCTTGAAGAATAAGAAAACCGTTGCAGGGGTCACGGGAGTAGTTGTGAATACAAATACTGACGGGAATCTAGTCATCCCATCTGCCATGAACCGTCTCCGTGTCACACTAGCCAAGAGTTGCCCAGAGATCTACCAGAACTAGATCATCTAGCCGCAGGAATATGAAGCTCTCTATACTCCTTCCGCTCGGCGGATTTGTCTTGGCTTCTGCCACACCCCTTAGTCCCCGGAATGCAACATTGACCAATGGCACTTGCACAAGCTTGAATCAACGCAAGGCCTGGTATGTCTCCAGAAGCGCTCAGCCGTATAATGTTATTGCTAACTCAAAGAACTAGGCATACTCTAGAAGACTCGGAAAAGTCGGATTATATTACAGCCGTCAAGTGTTTGATGAACTCGCCTCCAGTCACGGGCATCACTGGAGCCAAGAATCGTTGGGACGAGCTGCACTACTGTCACATTCAGCAGTCCAACTTTATCCACGGCGTCGGGTAAGAATCATGCCCATGTCTCAACAGCATCCGCTTACAATGTATCCAGTGCCTTTCTTCCTTGGCATCGTCTGTTTATTCATTTGCAAGAGAAGCTTTTGCAAGACGAATGTGGTTACACGGGTGCCGTCCCGTATTGGCATGAACAGCGCGATCTTGAACTCTACGGAACCATTGACAAGGCTTCCATTTGGGGCTCTGATGATCTCAGCTTTGGCACAAATGGCACAGGGCCCGATGGGTGTGTAATGGACGGCCCTTTTGCCAATACGACGCTTCACATTGACCAGGTCTGGGGTGTGGACTACTATGATGACTACTGCCTGGCCCGATCGTGGAACCAGACGGCCTGGTTGACTGCCAATCAGTCCTATGTCGACATTTGCTTTGCCAAGGACAACTACAACGACGCCAACTTTTGCTATGTGGACAATCCTCATAGCTGCGGCCACTTGGCAACTGGCGGTACCGTAAGTGCACAAGTCCCAGTGTAGAATATTACCACGTACCTTGCTAACCATGCTTGACAGATGGAGGATCAAAATGCCAGTCCCGGAGACCCAGTGTTCTTCCTCCACCACGCCAACCTCGATCGACTTTGGTGGCTCTGGCAAAAGGCGAACCTGACCAGCCGTCTCACTGACATGAGTGGTTCCATCATTCCCCCAAACTATATCATGCAACAAAATCGATGGCTATACCCATCGGCAGCCTTTATCAACTACGATGGCGACCCGGGCAACGAGACCACTCTGAACCACGTCTTGTGGATGGCTGATATTATTCCAAACGTTACGGTTTCTCAAGTCATGGACCTCAACGGTGACATGATTTGCGCCGAGTACATTGAACCTGACGAGTAACCGTTTTATTGTTAACTCTCCAATCGTAATTACTTACAAGAGCTATAGAGCAGTCCATCATGATTGCAGCGCGTCCAGCATGATCAATAGTAATAGATGACCCTGATATCTAAATAGTACCTTTGCAACAATCCAGCGCCTGAAAAACGTCATCAGTGTCATCTGTCCTACTCGTCTGTGTATCTGGTCAACCTGGACGCAAATGATATAATGTTGCAAGCCACATTGAAGTTCAAAATCCATGTCTATCAAAACTGCGCCTTTCCATCTCGATGCCTGTCGCCACAAGTTTAGTCGCCTCATCACAACAAATAGCACATAGCGGAGCGACAAAGTCATGATTTCAATCCACTTGATCGATCAAAACGGCTTGTCAAAGAAGAGTCTTGATACGGTTGTTTACCGTCTCATTTCTTGGTGGCACCTCCCTAGATGAGTCATAGTCCTCACGGCATCCAAGCAGTTCTTGCACCCCGCTTGGCGTATGAATTAATGGCGCTCAACCGTCTACTTTCATTGAGATGGCCATTTGCATCTGGTACCAATCAACTTGCCGCAGCTCCAATAGAACTACAATCTCAAAGCAACAAGTACCTTCAAGGGCGACGACACTACTCACAGAAGCCGACTGCCGCGACTCACTGCAGCTTAGAGCAGAACCTTACCTATACAGGGCCAAGGGAGAAGATTTGGCTCCGTGGCGTAGAGCATACACTCCTTCCAATGATTCTATTCAAGGCTCGAGATTTCAAAAAGCCAAACCCTATACTCAACGACCCATACGCCGTGCGACGGTTGCAGCAATGTGCTATGGACCTCGAACAGACGCATTTCAAGGTCACTCAAGACGACACGTACATGATATGGATTGCCTACAGAGCTAAACGTCTCGATCAGTGGTGCCAGGGGTCTCTAGACGCGCACACAGAGCCAGTGACAGTGCTGCATCTCGGCTGCGGCTGGGATTGCCGGTACTTGAGAATGAAATTAAATGTTCAAGGTCATGTGAACTGGATTGATCTTGACCAGGCAATGGTCATAAATCTACAGCGTCGATGAATCCAGACTTCCACGAACAGCGACTACTCTCTACGGTCCTTGGACGTGACAAGCCAAGGATGGTTCAGTAATATACCAGCGGATTGGCCGACTCTAATAATTGCAGAAGGACTTGTGCCCTATCTCGAGCCAGACAAGGGACAGGTTCTTCTTCGAGACTTGGTCGAGTATTTTGGTACCACGAACGACAAGGAATTGCGCCAAAATCAACTCATTTTTGACACCTTGGGTGTTTTATCGATACGACTCACGAGCTAGATTACGGCGCGGCGATCGAGTAAGTCGGCCTTTAGATGCGACATCAATGAGAGAAAGGAGATTGAGGATATTCACCCAAGACTGCGCCTTGTTGATAGCATACTCTGGAATGAGTACATGACACAACATCCGCCATTCTCTGGCAAATATGGTACCATGTACTGCCATCTTTCAAAAAGAATATTCAATTCTGGAGGTTTCAATATTAAATCTACTTTATCCAAGGGGCTGGAGCATATTGACTGATTTTGCCAGTCATTACTGTTTTACAATATGGCCTCTACGCAAACCTCGGCGAGAGTGATCTCCACGGCATTTTGCTCTAAAAATGTTGACAATGCGCGGCCGCAAATCGTCGGAATCGTGATTAATTACGTCCAAGAAACAATGGCGACACTCGTATTGCCCATCTGGCGCTGACTTGACTGATCAATCGTTTAGACTAATTCTTTGTTTTTTGTTTACGATGCCTTGAGCATGAATGACAAGTCTTTGTGAGTTTTGGATGTTAGTCATTGTAAACAGGACTTGCTGTTCGATTACACCAAGGGCTTGTGTCAAACAAAGACAATTCAGCTCCCTCATATTCAAGCATGAAATTAGTATATATATACTCTTGTTTTCTCGTGAACTGAAGAACTGTCAAACATAAACACAGACACAAACATCACACCACAGCCCAATCACATAAGCAAACATTCTCAAGTAACGAAACCTTGTCTTGATAGATTCAAATCATGGCAGGAAAAACTCAGGTTGTTCGGCATGCCCTGATAGGCTTTGGGGCTCGAAATGCTGAGCTTTTAAAGCATGCCGTCATTGCATTTCTTGCACAACGGGATACTTTCAAGGAAATTGGCCTTCAACTAGAGTTTGACGTATACAGTGATCGAAATGCACCAGCAGCCAGTGAAAAAGCCTACATTTGGGATGAAGCCTGGGCACCGACACAAGATGGCGCCATACGAACTGCAGCCCCAGTCAGCGCCCCATTGAGAGGAGTAGAAAAAATCCAACCAGACGTGCTCAAGGTTCTCCAAGACGCCGTTAATGTCGATCTTGCCATCAGGCAAGAGATTCGGTCTAACCGTGCGGCGCTCGAAGGCCAGTACCAGACCATCAACCCGGCAGCACATGCTCTTTTACAAGAAAGCAGTCTACCCCTGGGGGATGTAGATGTAACGCAGCCATTTGGTATACGAAGTACCATGGGCGTTGCCCTTCGCCGAGGTGTATGGGATGTTGTCAACTTTGTGAAGGACAATATACCCGAGATCAGGATTTATTTCCACTGGGACGCACAAGTAACCTTTATCAACTTGTCAGATTCCCAAAAACCGAGGCTCTGGGCCCAAAAAGACGGAGATGTGGGCGGCAATCTCGAGGACGGTGACGAAGGCGAGGCTTTTGATTTTGTTCACAATGCTCAAGGTCTGTTAAAAGTCCAGTATTTCGATCCCGAACCGCTTCAAATCGAGCACCGTGTATTTACAGCGCACCCGAATTTCCAGCTCATGGTACAACAACTAGCCGCAAACGGGTTGCTAAGCAACGCGGGTCTTCTTCAAGTGGGCTCAAAGATTGGGATTGTTGGCCTAGGTTCATCTGCCTACGACTATGCGTCTATTCTTTTGCGGCTCACTGATATTGTCGAAATAACAAACAATGGCTGGCGCATCAACGAGACGAACGCGCGGAGGTGGCCAGGGCTGTTGACGTTTATAAGCCCCAACAATATTGTGAGGCCTCCGCTCCATTTCCGCACTCGAGGCGATTCGTCCGACATGAGGTGGCCTCCCTTTGAAACGAGATCCTTGATCTCTACGGAGGAACTCCACGCGTTGACGCTGCAGATAAATTTCGACTGGACAAGCGTTGCACTTCCACTGCTGCTTGCCAACGTGGCCCTGTTGACAAATAAAGACGTAGACTCGGTAGCTGGACATTATCTGAAATTTCGCCCGTCAGAGGTGGACGCGTGGGTTCGCATGGCCGAATATCATGAACAAAATCAGCAATACGAGGCCGGCAACGTAACCGAGATGGCCCTTCTTCGACTGGGCCAGCAATTGCTTACCAATGGCCACGGCTTGGAGGCATATCCGGAGGACGCTGATCGTGTCTTGTCTGCCAAGGCACCCTTGACTCGACGACGAGGAGCTGCTGCGCGTAAAGCCGCCGCGGAAGAGGTGTCACGGCTCAGACACGCGGCCACGAGTCTCGACTATAGGTTTATCGAGTTTTGGAACTTGATGCAAAGCTGGAACAAGGCTGCTCCCGTCCCGCTCCAAGACATGATGGCACAACTCTTTGCCTTGGGCGTTGCGCATCATCAACAAGCAAGCACTGATGACTTTAGTGCCTCGACCACGCACGCGGATAGAGTGGCCGTACGTGATCGAACATATGATGTCATATTTGCTGCGCCAACAAACGGGGTCCGAAGCGAGTGGCAACTTGATCAAGTTGAATTCCCGTACACTAATGACGGATCCAACATTAAAAGGGCGTACCAAGAGGTCCCGGCGAGGCCCCATTTAAGAACACTCCGCAATCAGGATGGCTCAGGAATGAGCACCTCTGAGCGACAGCCAAAGTTGAACAAGGGTCGAACGTGGATAGATTCAGACAACGAACCTATACATGTATTTGACAATGGCCCAGCAAGCCTGGGGGAGAGATGTTGTTACCCAATGGACGGGCCGCGAGTGCTTGGTGTCAAGGATGCCGACATGGAGAGCTTGGCCACCATTTTCGACTGGGCGCCAACGGCCGGGAAAACGTTGGTCGCCGTCAGCGCCCTCCTCGCCCGTGGAAATTCCAAGCCCATTATGGATTTCATGCAATTGTATGAACAGGGGCTACCGACCCCTGATGTGTTCAATAATGAGACTGCCTTGTTTGCGGCAGCTTGGCGCGAGGTCAATGAAAAGTCTTGCTTTGTGAAAATCATTGTCGAGTATAACCAGAAACGTCCCATTGTTCACACTTACCTCAGGTATGCTTTCGAGGCCGACGAGCGTGAACAAGCCATAACCCAGATTGATAGAGTGTGCCCCGGCGCCAGAAGAAAGTGGCAGAGTCTCTTGGGTAGAATCCGAGTCTTTGATCCTATCAGACGCCATCAATTTTATAGGACTCGCCACATGGATTTTACGCCCGATGAGATGGATACTTTGTGGGCCAGTGTTCTCACCAGAGTAGCCAGCTAGACATGGCATGGGTGTGAGGAATGTCGGCATGTGAGATAGGTAGGAGCCCGAATATTGAGTTGAGTTGAAAGTCGCCAGGAGAGAGAATGATCATTCTGTTGTGATGTTTGTCAAGATGATGAATCCAAATGAAAACCAGCAATCGTGCTTCAAAAGACTGTCAACTACCTAGGGAGTATAGCAACCATCTCCCAAGGTAGCCCCGTAAATCAAGTTGAGCCTTGTGTTGAATAAAGACTTGTGGGGAGATTCAAGACGGGATCTAGACTAGGTACCTCCTAGGTCATTTACTCCAACTCCACGTTACACGCAAGTGACTCGACTATGGCTATTTCTTATCTGCCCCACGCGGGGGAGGTAACGTAAACTGCACAGTTGGCAATTGGTACGATATGCTCTTGTTACCCTTGATCCGTTGCCTAGCAAACCTCCATTAAACACCGTGACCACTGTAGCGTGTCCATACACACAACGTCCTTTTGATTTTGTTGGTGTCACAATCACTAGACTTTCCGCAGCAGAGGGAGATTGGGCGACATCAAAGATAACCAGGGTTCGTGAGTCAGGTCGCTATATTGCACAAGAATCAAACCTACGCATCACCTCTATCCTTCTCATGACTTCAACCACGGCCATTCCGTTGCGCCATGCAGCGAGACCGGGTTCAGCAGAAGAATGGGTGTCGATTGAATCGCCCGTCACTCCAATCGAGGCCGAGTCCGTGGCCGATCGAATCACCCGCATCCAGGCCGATCTTGCAGAATTGTCTGCATTCTACAAGGTTGATACATCTCCCTTGCGGTATTCGCGATTTCGCAGCTACTACGATGATGAGCTGAGTTCCCTGAGCCAAGCACCGTTTGAAACCTACACCCAGGATGAAAAGGTAGACTTTATCCTGCTCAAGAATTACCTCTCTCGCGCCCGACGTACAATCGAGCTGGAAAAGGCACGCGATGAAGAATTCGCTCCCTTGTTTGAGCCATTCGCTGCAGACATAAGAGGCTGGATCGAGGCTCGAATGCGTGTCGACCAAATCGACCCCCAGGAGGCAGCAACAAGCTTTCACTCGCTGGTGGACAAGGTCATCAAGTGCGAGTCTTTGGCTTCCAATAATGGTGCTCATAGGTACTCCAAGGCGGCAGGTTATCGCGCAGTCAAGATGATTGCCAAGCTACGGGATCATCTCAAGGAAATGTATGAATTTTACAGTGGCTATGATCCATTGTGGGACTGGTGGATGCGGCAACCATACTCTGAGCTTGAAACAGCTCTCACCAGCTTCACCAGCACTCTCAACACTGCAATAGTTGGAATCAAACCTGGAGACAATGACGCGATTGTGGGAGAGCCTATTGGAAAAGAGGGCTTGCTCGCCGAGTTGGAGGCAGAAATGATGCCATATTCACCCGAGGAGCTTGTCCGGATCGCCGAAAAGGAATACGAATGGTGCGAGTCGGAGATGATCCGGGCTTCCCAGGAGCTGGGGTTCGGCAGCAACTGGCGTGATGCGCTAGAACACGTCAAGGGCCTCATTGAGCCCCCGGGATCGCAACCAGTGTTTATCAAATCTTTGGTCGACGATGGGACCAATTACGTCAAAAATCACGACCTTGTCACGATCCCGCGGGTGGCAGAAGAGGCTATACGAATGGTCATGATCCCGCCTCGCCAACAAAAGGTTTCGCCATTCTTTCTCGGCGGGCCTGTTCTCTACGTTTCGTATCCTACAGCCGAAATGGCCCATGCCGACAAGATGATGAGTATGCGCGGAAACAATCGTCACTTTTCCAAGGCCACTGCATTCCATGAAATGATTCCTGGTCATCATTTACAGCTCTTTATCGCCGAAAGATCCAAGCCGCACCGTCAAGTATTCGAGACCCCGTTCTACATTGAAGGCTGGGCGCTCTACTGGGAATTAGTCTTTTGGGCACGTGGTGATTTCTTCACGAGTCCAGAGGACCGGGTGGGAACATTGTTTTGGCGAATGCATAGATGCGCCCGCATCATTTTCAGTCTCAAGTTCCATCTAGGTCAAATGACACCAGCAGAATGTATTGACCTGCTCGTCAACCGGGTTGGACATGAGCGGGCCACAGCTGAAGGCGAGGTGCGACGAAGCTTCAATGGCGAATATGGACCACTGTATCAAGCAGGCTATCTGCTGGGAGCTCTCCAACTGTGGAAGCTCCGAAATGAAGTGCTTGAGCGGGGGCTGCTGAAGGAAAAGGATTTTCACGATCGCATTCTCAAGGCAAACATGATGCCGATTGAGATTTTGCGAGCCTTGCTCCTGGACCAGGAACTGCAAAGAAACTTTGAAAGCAAGTGGCGATTCTATGGTGACATATAGGGCGGCTTGTAGGGAGAAATTATAGTTTATCTGCTACCAATGCATGCTAGAAGCGCTGATTTACACCCACATGACTCGAATGCGGTCTAATACATTGATGCAACGTACAAGTAAAACGCAAAGGGGAGACAAATGATACCCACTGTAGTCTCTTTGCAATCAGCAGTGTATCAAGAACGAGTACAGTGCTCATAGGTATAATACCAAAGGGTTCGGACGTCCTACAGTTTCCCTCCACCTCCCCGCCGACCAGTATCTACAAGAATTCAGCGGAGGAGCCCGAAAGATGAGTGGATCTTCGGCGATATCGGGCAGCCTAAAGAGGCAGGTGGGTGGGTGTCCATGACCGTTGGCCTTGAGTCGCGGCTCGGGGGCTCCGCTGTGAATAACGGGGAATGCAAAGACAACGGAGCCGAATTCTTTGCCAAGGGCATATTCAAGAAAGATAATCCTACAAGAGCTCTCTGCAAGACCATTATACACTTTTGGAAAGATCAAAGGATATTACGTGTGAATAAGCGCAAAGCTACTGTCGAAATGGACTTGAAGTCGCAAACCGTATCCGCCTCGCCTCGCTTGATCATTCATGGCGGTGCTGGCAATATACGGCCCATGTCACCACAGAAATATGCCCAATATCGCGATGCACTACTAAATATCGTAAGCTCACTTAACTGAATGCGACCAATGGTTTGACGAGATCCATTTACTGACATGCTGCAGATAACCAAAACAAACGCGTACATGACCACTCCTGTATCTCTCAAGCAAGAAGCACGCTCGTCAAGGACTGGATGCCCATCAGCTTTAGATATTGCGACGTATGCTGTTGAGTTGCTAGAGAATAACCCATTGTTCAATTCTGGCCACGGTGCTGTATTTACTCGTGATGGCATCAACGAGTTGGAGGCATCGGTCATGGTATCAAGTGGTTTTGCAAAGCGAGGCGTCGGGGTGACTGGACTTCGACGAGTCAAGAATCCCATCTTGCTTGCCCGGAAGATGCTAGAACATGGAGAAGGCGATCTGAGAGGAAAAGCGGATCTTGGATGGGCATCGAGAGACGAGGCTGGAGAAAACTTGGATATTCCTTCCGCCCAGGGGCATACGCTGGTGCACGGTCCCAGTGCAGAGCTTCTCGCGACAAAATATGGCCTAGATCTGGTAGAGCCAAACTACTTTTTCACGCAGACACGATGGGACGAGCATGTACGGGCCCTAGAGCGTGAAAAGTCGGAGCATCAGGTACACACAGAGTCGTGGGCAACAGCTACTTGGAGCGCAGACGAGTTTCTCCCGCAGGGGACATGTGGTGCAGTGGCACTTGATGCCGATGGAGTCATTTGTTGTGCCACCAGTACCGGCGGCATGACCAATAAGCTGACTGGACGCATTGGAGATACCCCCTCGATGGGCGCTGGATTCTGGGCGGAGCAATGGGAAGAAGACGGTACCCCGACAATGTCGCCCTCGAGGCGCGCGACTCCGCCATGGACAGCTTGGAGAGAGTATCTGGGCGCACAAAGTCCAGTGGTGGAGCTGAGCACTCAACTGAAGAGCATGGTTGCCCAATGCCTCCCTACTCCGTTCATCTATCAACCGGTGGCGCAAGACCAAAGGCTAGTAACTACGAGATCTGCGGGCCTCTCTGGAACGGGAAATGGCGACTCGTTTCTTCGCGTGGCGGCCGTGAGGACTGTTGTCGGTATAGCTCGCTGGACTGGCGTGTCCACTGCCGAGGCACTGAAGCGTGTAGCCGGCCGGAATGGTGAGTTGCAAAGGAGCGCCGGCGATCGTTGGGGCAAGACGGGGGAGGGCGAAGGAGGTATGATTGGGATCGAGGCAGTCGTCGTGAGAGATGCAGCCAGTGGTGACATTGTCGACATTCGACACGAGATCCTGCAGGACTTTAACTGCGGAGGCATGTTTAGAGCATGGATTGATGAGCACGACCATGCAGTCGTGAGGATATTCGATGGTATCAAGGATGGCGACTATGCAGTTCATGGTTAGCTTTTTGCCAAAGAGGGTGCGATCCTGCGCGTCATTCAACGTTGGGTTGTAGATTTCAAGCTGATTATTGCAATGGTACCGCGGCTGTTGTCATTAATCTTCTTTATTGTGATCGTAAATGCTTTCCTGTTCGCCGCGTGCTGGCTAGTTCCCCCCAAACTCCAGTTGTACAATGGGACGTGAGCCAACATCCGAGAACCGTCTATTTTTACAATTTAAACCCCTCCCTATATTGAGTATGTTGACAGACAAATCGAAAACAAAAAGCCTGGCGCGGCGCGAAAGAGTAGAGTGGCGAGGGAAGTGTTTTGAGGTAACTTTTTTTTTTGTCGAAAAACTTAGGCCAGGGCCGTCTCGTTGCTGGGTGGAGGCTGAGGGACCTGTCAAACAAGGGCAGTTAGTGATACCATTCTCAGTAAAGGAATTTCAATGGTCGTAGAGTGCTGATCGAGGTGGCAATACGCCATGTGAGGCAACTGTTCGTGGAGACGTACCTCTAACTTTGTGCTTCCTGCCAACATTCTCTGGAAACCGATACCAACACCTTCAATGACAGCAAGCAATACCGCACAACCAATGGCACCGTTTCTGGCAGCCTTGTAACCGCCTCTTATGGCCAAAGATCCACCAGTGAAGAAACCTGCAATGATGGCGTTCCAGGGATCCTCTTTCCTGCGGACACCCTTGACGGCGCAGTCGAATGTTGAGAAAAGTCCACCCCAGACACCAAAGTTTCCTCCAAGTACGGGAGCTCTGGCCTTGATTGCTGTGATTGCGCCTATCCGACGTTCGCCGTAAGGACTGTTGCGAAATCCCTTGATACCGTGCCATATTGTGCCGCCGATGGCCTAGAAGCAATACATGTCAGTCGAGTGTAAACACGCCCAGGTTCGGAATAGAAATCTCAATGGAACTTACGCCCATGGCAAAGGCACCGCCAAAGTCATTCAGGATGACCCAGGGGCAAGGGTCGCGCGTGTGATCCATTTTGATGTTCTTTTAAAGAGGTGAGGATGACGAATGCGAAAAGACAATGAAGTCGACGTCTCCGATATGTGTGATATTAGTGAGACGTTGCCGATGGGTGTTTTGAGGAGTCGAGAGGTCGAAGCGACTGTCTCGAGCGTATAATACAGAAGCGGTCGTGGAGATTCAGAATGTGATTTAATTCTTGCTGGTCGCAAATGATGCTCCCCCGGATACGTGATGGAATCGATGGCGTGAAAAAGTTGCGGTGCACTGACCATCCATCAGAGCTAACGGTACGTGGGTACATGCTTGAATCATCGGCGCATCCGTGCAGTCTGCATTATGTAATGTGGGTCTCTTGTCCCGGGCTTGGCACGTTGCTCCGGAGTCGGGCCACCGCAACGGCGCAACCAATGCCCGATCGGTATTTTGTACATCACTTTATATTGATCGCCATGCCCGGAGAGTGTGTCTTGTCCTGTTTCATGCAGGCTCTTTTCCTTATCTTTATTTGGCAACACATTTGACGGCAAAGGCAAGCTTCAGAAGTAGATGAACCGTGTAATGGTAAAACTGGCGCTGCCATGTGCTTGAATTCGTCGCAGAAGTCGGTGGAGGACGTCCTTCATGGAAATACTCAAAAGAAATTTAATGATCCATTAACCAAAAAGTACCAATATTGGTTCAAAAAAGGTTGCCTCCTGATATTGCTCTCTGTATCGTACATCTGCCTCACTTGTGCTATTGGTATCATTAAGTAATGGATGCAAGCTCAAATTTGACTGCTTTACTCGCTTTCATTCAATTCATAGGTATATTTCAGTATCGCATCCAAACCCAAATGCCATCATGATCCCGTATGCAACGCCTGTCCCATGCAAAATTTGTACATGCCATTACGGCGTCGCCACATCAGCAGAGTCGACCTTGGGTTTGGGATAGATTGACTCGATCCCGAGTGTGGCGGCCTTTAACACGTCCTTTTCTTCATTTCCACTATTGTCTCCAAATACTTCATCCATTTGCTCAAGTGATTTGCCCTAATTCATGTTAGTTGGAATTTCACAAAACAAAAAACAAAGACAAGCTCTTGATAATACTAACCTTGGTTTCTGGAACAAACCACCAGGCCCAAGCAGCAGCGATGAAACACCATGCCGCGAAAAATACATAGGTACCAAAGCCAATCTGTTCAATCATGGGTGGAGTCGCTACACCAACGATGAAATTGCTCAACCAGCAAGTCGCGGTTGATAATGCCACCCCCTTGGCTCTGGTGGAGCTAGGGAAGACTTCAGATGGCAAAGCCCAGCCAAGAGGCGAGTAAGAGACTCCGTAGACGAGGACAAAGATGAATGCCATGGCAACAGCCGCCCAGCCAGCAGCGGTGTGATTGGGCCAGTCATGAGAGTATAGGCCTACGAGGATAGCCATGATGGCCCAGGCAATACCCCCGCCGAGTGCTCCCCAGATAGCCAACGGCCTTCGACCAAGCTTATCAATAATGAAGAAGCAAACCCCAACAGCTACGAGCTGCAAGATATTAAAGACTCCAGACATGATGAGCGCCATATCTGCAGACTGTCCGATCGACTCGAATAAAGTTGGAGCGTAGTAGATGAAGGCATTGATGCCCGAAAACTGTTGAAAGAACATGCTACAAGTCAAAAACATGTTAGTTCTTGCCTTTTTACTCTTCTTTCTCGCTTCAAAAGGCAAACTCGAGCACTTACACACCAAGACCAACACATAGGCGACGCCATGTCTTTTTGCTAAAAAGATCGGTCCAGCTGACGAGTTCTTTGCGGAAACCCTTGACGCCAGGGTGTCGAATCTCTTGCATTCGCTTTTGGAACTCGGCTTCGACCAAGATTCCCCGCAGTTCAGTCTGGACGCGCTCATCCGACTCTGGCAGTCTACGCAGCTTTGCAAGATCGGTGAGAGCTTCGTGGGGTCTGCCAACAAGGGCTAGCCAGCGCGGCGAGTATGGGAAGAAGTTGATGAGTATTCCGAGCAGGGTCGGACAGACCATTTGCAGGCCCAGAGGGAGACGGAATGAAATTTCGCCGGCAAGCTCTCGAGTGCCGTATGTAATCCAAAAGGAAATAACAACACCAGTCACGATGGAAACCGACTCCAGGACAAGCAGCGTGCCTCGTAGGTTTGGGGGCGAGATTTCGGAAATGTACAAAGGAGCACCCTAAGAACAAGTCAATAAACGTTCCTGGAGCTGTTGACTGTGACATTCAGTGATTGTCAATACTAACCAAAGCAAGTGTTCCGACACCAATACCACCAATGGTTCGGCCAGCAACCAGCATACCGTAGTTGACGGCTGCTGTCTGTAAAATAGCGCCTATATTGAATATGACAACCACAACGACAAGAGCTCTCTTTCTAGAAATCTTGTCGGCCAACCAGGGCATAAAGAAACAACCCAAAAAGGCGCCAAGCTCCAGCATACCAGTCATGAAACCCTTGCCAAAGCCAGTGGCGGCAAAGGGATATACTTGATGGAACTGGTCCATGACATTAATGATGGATATGACACCCTGGTCGTAGCCGAATGAAAAGCCACCCAAGGATGCTACAAACGCGGCAAACAAGATATATGGGGAGCTGATGATGCCCCGAACCCCGCTGGGACCGTAAGCGACATCTTCGGCGGCTTTGGTGGGAAGGTCTCTGGTCTTGACGGCCGAGAGGTCAGCGAATTCAGCATGTTCGCCTTGCGGTTTAGGCCGAGCCGCATCAGAACTGATATTTATCGTGGGCATCTTGGTGTGTTTGAGGAGCAACACCTAATTAATGGTAACTCGTAATAGACACCTTTGGAAAGATGCGGGATGATTACGCATACAACTATTTCTACCATGGCGACTTGCCCAGTCTTAAATATACTTGCCTCTCGCCAAGCCACATCAAGCAGAACCGTTGGAGGACATGCTAACGCAGCACTACTGTGGAGTAAAATGCCGAAATCACAATAGTGCTTCCCCTGGTGCTGACTCGAAAGCAGACTACTTTGTTAAGGTAATTCCCCAGAGCGGATACTATACTGAAAGCCCCATGGGGAGTGTGACGTCAGTTTCGTCGAGGGATCCCCAGACCCACACGGGCGGGCCAGTCAGCTGATACGTGCCAGAGGTGTCCGTGGGCATCGTGGACCTCGTTGACGCCTTTTCTGTTGGTGGTTTGATTTATGACCATAACGACGCTTTTATTACGTCGGTAGGAATCCAGAAAACCAAATGTTTTGGTCCGTGTCTAAAGTCTCTATTTTTGATTTTTGTCTGTCCATACTCTAGAACAGAAATCCACAGAATGTTTTTGTAATTGTGCATTTGTCGTAAACGTATCTGAGAATGCCTAGCAACTCCAACACAATATGCAATGCGTATGCAGATCATGAATGGCAATCATGTACACTACATACTCTCGAGAGCAAGATGGAGAAATAGGAAATGTACTACTAGGATAGTCGAGACGACTGGCCCAGTCTGGACAATCGTACACGTACATGCCTCAAAGCAGATCACGAATAGTTCGGCACATGAGATGTGCCGGGCAAAGTCTCCGAAAGTCTTGTCGATGCAACTACAGGTTAACAAAGTCTAGCGACACGCTTTCCATTCAAGGGCGCCTTTGCTGATCTGGAATTAAACTTGCTGACAAAAGCTTGCCTATTGATATGAGCAAGTCCCGAAAGCCCATGTAGGGCAAAATCGGCGAGATCCCAAAACTGCCTAAAAGGCACAAGAGGGAAATATTTGGGTCAAGAAGCAGCTGGTTGAGAGCGAGCATGACGTCGTCTAGTGGACGTCCCCCTGTCGGACACTAATCCCGTTCCTGCCGGGCCCTGATTCCGGCATATCTCCACGATTCTCCCCACTCCTCCAGCAATACCAGCTGCACTATCCTCGCTATCCTCGATGAGCACAAACGAGGCAAATATGCAGCCGGCAAAGAGGGTTCGCCTTGTTTTCAATCCGATGCCTCATTGGTCCGGGGTAGTCAATGGCCAACATCCTGGAAGCCAAGGTTGCACATGTATTGGCTTCCCGCAGCTGTGTATGTGGATAACCAATACTCTGGTCCTGTAGTCGTATGCCACAATGCCTGGCACGGCATTCCATGCCATGTTGATACCAAACTTGTCGTGTACAAGTTGCCTATTTAGATTGTCGAGACTGTAGTCCAATTAGGAAGCATCCCCAGAGTTTCTTTCCAATAAAATTCTGTCAAAAGTCAACGGCCTCGGAGTCTCGGACTGACTGCCGTTTTGGAGACTCGCACAGTTCTTTACTCAAGCAGCACGTACCTGTGAGTTGATATCTCGTGATTAGATAACCAATAGCAAGTTCTTCCCGTCCTTGAAAATGATCAAGCAGATGCCATGGAATATTGGATATTCGCTTTGCATGGTCATCGTGCTGGGGCTTACTACCGTGGTAACAAGACGACGCAGACACATTGTCAAAGTCAGGCATGTCCAAGTCTACTAACAGATGAACCCACGTGAGGTTTATGGTTGCCTCAAGGTGCAGTCAGCTCTGATGAATATAGATTCTAGGTTGTGGTGAAACTGACAGGACACGGTTGACCAGCCTACTTTGTGCCTAGGTAAAACATCACCATGAAATTATCCTGGCCTCATCTTTCCTAATCGCAATGACCTGCTAATTGACGCTAGTCTGAGAATTCAACGACTGTCTTCTTCCATCAAGTAAGCTAGTGACTCTAAAGAAACGACAGGATCTGTATCGTGTTTGAGAAACTTTATAGTTTTTGTTAGAACTGATTGACAGCCCTGCAGTTGAAAATGAGGAGGCAAAATCTCTCTTTGCCCTGCGAATTCACAAAATGGCGCCCTTTCAAGCGACACTGGATTTCAGAAGACGTAAAACCGTGAGCTTCTCAATAGTGCAAGTTCTACGTGTTTCATGGCGGCTTTTTCCTTGGTCAGTCAAGCCTACTAACGAAAATATCAACGGTCTGTGAACCCAAGAGACCTCTGCATGGTCTTTCGAGACGCTTTAGAACGGCTACGAGGTTGCGGACAGCTCGTCATGCCAGTCGAACCTCGATCCGTTACTCGCATTTCTCCAATGGCCGAGCTATGCCAATCTATCACTTCAGGGTATACTTGGACAGTCAGGAAATGAGCAAATTTTGATTGACTCATCATGCCACCAATCTGATTCGTGGCGTCACTGTCAGACTCATATCTAGGTTGAGCAATACCGAAGGATAATCAAACTCGTGCTTTGTGCCGCTTGGAAGCAACAGCATTTACGTGCTTTCTTTTTACAGTGCCATGTGCACATCCCAAAAAACCTCGCTTCATCGGTCATTGGGCAAATGTTCATGTTCATGTTTTACCCGCCTGCAGAGGAGTTTGTAGATTGCGAGCATCACATACACGACCACCAACGATTGGTACATGGCTCTAAAAGCACCCGGCAATCAATACACGTCCGTCTTTTTACATTCATGCTATTTACATCGTCCGAGGGATGCAATTGAAAAGGAGAGAAACCAGGACGCTCATGTGTAAGCTCTTGCAGAATCGCTTAAGGACACTTTACACGGGGATGATGCCACCGTCCACGATATCGCGTCATTGCTTAGACTAACAGAACACGTTGAGCAGTCTCGGCAAAACGCACTGCCAGAAACTTTGACGGCCTCTGTGCTTGGACGAGAGAATACAAAACACTTCAAACCATCTTTAATTTCCATTTTGTATTCGAAAAGGAACACTGCACACTCCAAGTACCAATACTGGACACGCCATAAAGACACAATGGCTGTCACGGCAAAATCCAGAATCAATACCGACTGCGGCACATGTCGCAAGATCAAGGAAGAGGAGGATAAAAAAGAGACAAGAACGTCGGTGACTATCAGTCCGAATGAGAGTGGAAGCAAAGGCAAGTAATTTTTCTTTTCTCATCTCCTCCCTTCGAGTTTCCGTATTGTGATTATTTTCCCGCCTTTAATACTCTTACTACTCCCACGTTTCTCGTCTAAAATTCAACAATCTTGAACAATCAGCAAGAGGGCTTTGTATTTATAATGCAAAGACTCCAGGCATTCAATGTTCAGTACCCCAGACCCGCAGGTAGCAGGCACCCCACCAAAACGCCTGCATGTGCTGGCGTAAAAAGGGGTCTGGCGCCAATTGAGCCACCCAATTGGTGTCTCGCCCCCCTCTGACAGCTTGCATTCAGCTCTGGTAGGGCTGTAGTGTACGATAGACCCCTGGCCGCGCATATTTCTAAGGTAGTGGATGCTGGCCAAACTGCCGCAATGGCGTTGGCAGCGATTTCGGTTCACTTGCGAGTCATTGTATCACCACCCAACCACATTACGAAATACCCAAACAGCTCAAAGCAAAGTTGCGATACCCTCCACCCTCACCAGTGCTACTGCTGTCCTCTTCTTCCACCGCCTGCGGCAATCTAGGATCACACCCGTCTGGTGCCGCCGTGTTTGTCTCCTTTTGCTCAATTTTGGACATATCGTCAATATCGCTTCACTCGCCAACAGACAATTCCTTGAACCACGTTTTCCTCAGCATGAGTATTCGTATTGACTTTCAATCCAAGTAGACACAATGCCCTCTGCCACCAGCCATTGTGCACCGTCGCCGCTAATAGGTGCCCCTCCCCATACGACTCCCGACTTGGACCATGTTCTCAAGCACGAAAGCTCCGTGCTGGCTCTCGCAGTTGGCAATGACAGCATCTATGCCGGTACTCAAGATGGAGAGATTGTGGTTTGGTCGCTTGGGAGCTTTCAGCAGACGAATAGAATACAAGCACACAAGCGCAGCGTCATGTGTCTGTTCCTGTCCGATGACGGGTCTCTTCTCTTTTCCAGCGCAAGCGATCCGATTGTCAATGTCTGGTGTCCACGAACCATGACGCGTCTCTACGAAATTTACAGCACATATGATTCATTTGGCGACATATTCTCTGTAGCATACTCTTCACAGTACGAGACGGTCTACTTTGGAGCACAAAATACCACCATTCAGTGGGCTGGCCTGAAAGACTCGGGCTGTAGAGTTAGCCAGGACTCGCAGAGCCACCCAGACCGCAGAAACCACCGCTTCTTTGACTCGAGGGCTGTCGGCGGCACATCCACGCCTAGACCGACCGACGAACGATACGATTTGATCCCCCGCTCACACACGGTTTTGGAAACTGACCGACGCTGCATCAAACAATACGCCCACTACGGATATGTCTTTTGCATGCTCATGGCCAAGGGTGTCACTGCATCCGTTGAACCCGAGGATGACGTTTTGGTTTCGGGCGGAGGAGATGGGACCATCAAGATTTGGAAGCTCGGTGGCAAGGAAGTGGGTCCAGACGGCATAGAAAACGGACTCGAGGAAATCATGACGCTGGGCGAGGACAATGCCGAATCTGTCATGTCTTTGGCCATTGACGGTTCGTTTCTCTACAGCGGCAAGATCAAGGGCATCATTGAGCTGTGGGATCTCGACACTAGACAAAAGCTTCGGGTGATCAAAGCTCACCGTGGGGATGTCATGGCTCTGCAAATGGGTAGAGGCTATCTCTGGAGCGCTGGCTCTACAGGAACTGCGAGTGTAAGTTGTACTGAAAAGGACATTCAAAGCCAAATCATCTAATGTTCTGGTAGAAACACAGCACGGTGCATTATGGAGAGTATCAGCCCAATGCTGCCCAAAACGTCAGCCAGAAATACCAACTACTCACCCAGTTCAAGGCCCACGAAGGCAAGATTCTCGCATCAGCCGTCACCAATCATGACGGCCGCCAGCTATTCATCACGGGCGCAAACGACAACAATGTAGCCGTCTGGGTGGTCGAAAGCCCACCCGCAAGTGAGCAGTCTCCTCCAGAGGGCGACGAAGATATGATGATATCGAGCCTGCGAGAGTTTGTGTCCTTCAAGACTATATCTTCTCGGCCCGAGTTCGCCGAGGACTGCCGGCGGGGTGCTACTTTTCTTCGTACCCTCTTTCGAAAGCTGGGAGCCGATGTCCACATGCTGAGCACGGACAATAACAATCATCATCCAGTCGTGTTTGCAAAATTTGCAGGAAAGCTCACTCCAGCCGAGAAGCGCAAGAGGATTCTCTTTTACGGCCATTACGATGTTGTACCTGCCGACGCAAAGAACAGCAAGTGGAACACGGATCCATTCCAGCTCAAGGGTACCAATGGATATCTCTACGGCAGAGGCGTGAGCGACAATAAAGGACCAATCATGGCAGCTCTCTACGCCGTCACAGATCTCATGCAAGCAAAGGCCTTGGACTCGGACATTATCTTTCTGATCGAGGGCGAGGAAGAGTCTGGCTCGCGTGGTTTTAGAGAAACCATTCGCCAAAACAAGGACCGGATCGGCAACATTGATTATATTCTTTTAGCCAACAGCTACTGGCTGAATGACGAGACTCCCTGCTTGACGTATGGACTGCGAGGCGTCCTTCACGCCACTGTCTGCATCGAGTCCAAACATCCAGACCTTCACTCGGGAGTGGATGGCAGCTACCTGATGAACGAGCCGCTGACCGACCTGACCACCCTCATGGCGAGACTCAAGGGACCAAGGAACCGCGTGCTCATTCCAGGATTCTACGATGGGGTTCTGCCCTTGAAACCCGAGGAAGAGGCCCGCTACGACGACATAGTCTCGGTCCTGGTGAATCAAGAACCAGTCAACATGACCGCAACTGACCTCAAAAAGTCTTTGATGGCCCGTTGGCGAGAGCCCAACCTGACCATTCATCGGTTCAAAGTGTCGGGGCCGGACGGAAGCTTGGTTAGTAGTCATGCAAGCTCGCACATTAGTTTCCGACTGGTTCCTGGCCAAGAGGTTGACCAGGTCATTGAGTCGCTCACGGCCTACTTGACCAAGGAATTTGAGCACCTCGAAAGTGAAAACGTCCTGCGTATTGACGTGGACAACAAAGCCGAGCCATGGCTTGGCGATCCCGACAATTACATTTTCCGCACGCTCGAGGAGGCCATCATGACGGCCTGGGCACCTCTGTTTGCGAGCACGGATGACATGCCGCAGGATGGTGGCCCTGGAGACGGCGGCGCCACAGGCCGGCGACCGAGTCTGGAGCAACTCGACACTAGAGAGTCACATCGTTTAACATTTGGAGACTCATCCTCCAAAAGCATCCAGCTTACAGGCAACTCGGCAACACCTCTGACCAAGCCCCGAAAGCCTCTATACATCCGAGAGGGTGGATCAATTCCAGCTATTCGTTTTCTGGAAAAGGAGTTTGATGCCCCGGCAGCCCATCTGCCCTGCGGCCAGGCCAGCGATTCCGCGCATCTGGATAATGAGCGCCTTAGGGTGACCAACTTGATCAAGAGCCGGGAGATTATAGGGCATGTTTTTAGAAAGTTGTAATGACATTTTCAGAGGAAATAGTCGTTTGCATTACAGACTTGTGGGACTAGGCGGGTGTTTTGGCGTTTTTTCAGCATTTGGTAGCAATTGGAATGGCATATTGTTACGACAATCAGTATCAGTAGATACCCTTGGGAGCCTGTATCGTGCAGCGCGTTTGAGAAGGAGCTTAGGATAGCAGAATGAATAAAAGGCTAGTATCCTTGCCCGCTACCATGGCCCTTGAAAGTCATTTCCAGATGTCTACCACACTCGGCTCAGTTCCCGGGCAGAGACATCATGGCCCGTGCTTGCGGCTCTAGAACGACGCGCTACGATGACAATATTCAAGGACCGCTCGCTTCGTCGCAGCAAATATAAAAAGTCCGGAGCTTCGGCTATCGCGAGTTGGAGGCAACATACATGATAAATTCCCATGCTAGGCCCACGTCGAATTCATTTTTAAGCGCATTGCCAAGGATATATAAAGGAGGCTCTCAGTAGTCCCACATCATTCGTGCGAATTCTGTCAGCCGCTCGGAAGCAAGCGATTCTGGAAAGTGGAGACGGCCCACGGGCAGGTATTCCATGTCCGTTTTTAATCAACATCAGACGAATCCGCCGAGGCGCATCCCAGGATACCATTACTCTGCTCATTTCCTTCCACGGCGTTTGTGATTCTGCTCCCCGGACTCGCTGCCTCCATGCCTCTTTGTTTGAAACGGAGCGTCCATGGCCTCGGCGGACCGTGTTTCAATGACAATGCTACTTGGTAGGTTCAGGTGGAATTCAACCTGGCCATGGCATACCGTACAGGAGCTAGGATGGATACCAAGACTAATTGTCCATTGTCCATGACTGTCTCTTAAAACTATCGTGTCCAGCTCCTCCTTGAGCTGTGAGCCATTGTAGAACCTCTCTCACTACTTTGTCAATTGCAATTTTCTCTGCCGGCTGGTCGGTCGTTTCATTCATTCCTTGATCAATCAAACCTTTCTTTAACCCTTTTCGTGCTTTTCCATTCCATTCTTTTCAAGATGAAGTTGACCCCTCTCGTCCCTGGTGTAGCCTCGCTTGTCGGCGTCGCCAGTGCTGGTACTGTTCTCTGGGATGGCCGTTTCAATGACTTGTCCTCGGCCTCGGATCTTGACAACTGGAGCTGGTCCAACCAAGTTGGCCCGTACCAGTGGTACATTCACGGTGATGGCGAGACCACCGAGTACGTGAACTTGTCAAGCGACTACAAGAATCCTGCCGACTCTGCTTCTACCCAGGGTGCCAAGATCTCCTTGACCGACACGGCGTACTGGAACGGCCAGACGATGCGGAGGACCGAACTGATTCCTCAGACGAGTGCTGCCATCAACTCGGGTACTGTCTACTACCACTTTAGCATCAAGCGCTCAGATGTCAACCCGCCGGCCCAGACCCGAGAACACCAAATCATGTTCTTCGAGTCTCACTTTACTGAATTAAAGGCTGGCTGGTTGTCTGGAGCCTCTGGAACTACCGACGCCAACTTGCGCTGGATGGCCAACAGCCAAACCCAGTGGAACGCGACTTGGGAGGCCGACGTGTGGCATAATGTTGCCTACGAGATTGACTTTGACGGCCAGACGGTCGCCTTCTGGCACTCTACCGGCAGCGATGCCCTGACTCAGGTCGTTGCCCCAGTCTCTGTCAGCGCCTCCAGCAACGGTGCCGACTTTCACGTCGGTGTCTTGGAGCTGCCGCGTGATGGCTATGCCGATGCGGACGAGGACATTTACATTTCGGGTGTCTACATTGAGAGCGGCGACATCACCACCGAGATTGGCAGCGGAGATGCTTCTGGGTCTTCGTCGAGCGTTGCAACCTCTGCCGCTTCCACATCGACTGCAGCAGCCACCACCAGCGCCGCCATCACTACAACCTCCTCTTCGACATTGGCCACCTCGACCGTGCCGGCCACCACCTCCGTCTCTTCCACACAGGCAGTCACAACCACCAAGGCGACAACCACCTCGGCAGCTGCCTCGGCAACAGCGTAAGTGAATTCCTTTAAGGCAGCCTCGGGGCGGCTCGTGGTGGGAAAGACTAACATGGAAATTTCAGTAAGGCGGCTTGCAAGCGCCGAAAGCGCTTCCACGCCTAAGTAGCAGACTTTTGGGAAATTTTCCTTCATTCTTGTTTCCTTTTCATGGATTCATGGAGAGAAAAGTCACTAATACACCGCACAACAGTGTAGGTCAGACACTCTACGGCCAATGCGGCGGTAGCGGTTGGTCAGGTGCTACAGTTTGTGCTACTGGCACTTGCTCAGTGCTCAACGACTACTACTACCAATGCCTGAACTAAAACTCGCCCGTAATGGAAAAAGAGTCTGCAGTAACAGGCCTCGAATCGCGAGACGAATAGGTTTAAAGAAGGTTCTTTGTAAATAGTTGCATGTCATGTCTCCCTAGTCGGATGATTGACCAGAATATATATATTCATTCGGAAAATACGGGGCCCTCTTGTTCTGCATTTTCATAACACGCCTTTGCCGGTGCCAACACAATTCTCTACCAAATCAACAGCTCAATCATCGCCCGCCAAGGTGAATTCCATCATGCCTCACAGAGAGGTGACGGGATAGCTCTGGTCCGGAGTGACGACGGCGCCTCCAGCAAGCTGCTTGTCGGTATAGGCCGGCCACACAATCTTCTTTTGAGTATTGTCAACCACTGAGAGGGTGGTGAAGCCATTGCCGGGCCCGAATTGTCCGCTCCATCCACTGGTGACTGTATAGACGCCACAATTGGCACCGGTTCCCGACGTCTGACTTGCAGGCTTGCCCTTGACCGTAAAAGTGCAGGCCGTGGCCGGGGACAGGTGAGTGTCAATGGAGAATGACCAGGTGCAAGTGGTATCGGCAGTATCGCAAACGCGCTTCATGCCGACAATGGTCCACTGCGGAGCGGCGGCTCTGGTGGCCAGGCCGGCGTCCGTGACCGGGACTGCCAGAGCAGTGGTGGCTGCGAGGGCTGCGAAAAGACCGGTAGTAATCTGCATTTTGATTATGAATGGAATTGTTAATGTTTTCGAAGGGAATGTATCGAGTTGATGGTGCTATAGTATTTCCAGTCTGCTGTTGGCGCTGATGCCTTTTTATACTTGATCAAGGTGACTTGCCCGTATTGAATCCATCATATATTCAAATGTTTAGATTATTATCACCGTAATTCCAAGACATGAAGACACACAGTGGCCGGGCGTCCCAAGTGAGTGTCATTGTAGAGTGAGATTGAGAAGCTGCCATTTCATCGTATCATGCCAAAGACTTCGTGTTGAATAGAGCAAAAGAGGAACACGAACATTAAATCATCACGCGATGGACCTCAGCTACTCAATAGTCTGATTTTTTCCGCGCCACTGATGGCTTGGAGTTGGATTGCTGACACATAAATTGGAGTGATGCAACGTGGCATAGGCATTGTCGTGTGCCGCTCCAGCTAACGGTTGGACTACTTACGGTTAGGGAAACAGGTCAGGTTCTCAAGTCACAATGAGCCGTTCCACTGCGGCCCGTTGTTCTCTGTAGAATTCGTATTCAATTGATTATTCTCTCTACAGTATGGACTGCATTTTTGACAATTTGTACGAATGGCTTGGCTTGAACTCGTGAGCTTGGCCCTAATGCCAAATATGTTCCATCGACAAGACCCGTTTCGTGGCTGTTCGTGTCCTACTCAAAGGATCTCTGATATGAGGCAAACCCGAGCACCAATTCCACCGCATTGGTCAATTGCTGCGACATTGCCCTTTCTTTGACCACTCTTGCTGCGAGATAGCTGTTTCTTTCCTTGATGAATGGCTGAGCCAAGGTCTTTCGTCGCTTACAGTAAGCCAAAGCCTCATGCACAGATGCCTCGCGTCGTGGACTCTGTGTAAAGGACGGTCCTACAAATGGACGATCCAGCTTGGAAATTTCCTCGCTGCACTCTCTCTTCTGTGCGGCTAAAGCCTTGTCGTAAACTTCTTGCCACGTCAACTGCTCACTTATCGGGTGCTGGAAAATCTCATAAGGCGAGCATCGCAATGCCATTGGAATACTCACCGTGGTACCACATTTTGTCCCTTGGAAGTTTTTCAAGTCGGGATAGTCGGTCAAGAATGGATCTTTTGGCATTCTCTCGTACGAGAGTCCCTCTACTCGTCGACGGATATCCCACAATGTCGGAATGTCCATATCCCATGCAGAGACTATTGCAAGGCCAGCCTTGACCTTTGTCTTTTTGATCTCTAGAAATTTTAATCTTCTCCCAGTCAATGCCTTGACCGATTCATCCAGTTGGGCGACTGGAATTTGCGAGCTTCTAGTACTCTCGAGCGCCGGACGGACGTCGGAAGAGCCAGATGTAGAAATTGTATCGGAAGGCCTGCATCTCAGTTCTTTGAGAGAACCAGACTCTGCCACTATAACCACGCCGGGATTGATTGCATCATAGCGAGAAAAGCCAGCAATGTTGTCTTGTGGAAGACTTACTCTCAGGAATTTATTTCTCCAGGTGAAGTCGTAGCTCAACTTTGTGAGCCGATCGGCCTGATGATATTCACGCGGAGTCATACTGGCAGATGGGCTGATAGAGTGCTGTATACAATCAGGTTGCAATGCCAGGTCCTCAAGATTCACCTCGGCAGATTTTCCCGACTGTTTTGTGGCTTTCAGTTGACTTTGTTGAAGCTGAAAATATGCCGAGTACGCAATGTCTCGCTCCCTCACCCACACCCTTTTGGCCTTTTCTCGTACCTTTTTTGATGTGATATGCTTTTGAGCTTCAGAGTATTGCCTCAGGTGATCTTCAACCGTTTGCTCGTAGCCACAAAGAAATACCGCCCGCTTGTCCAGCAAGCTGCGTGCGACGTGGCGAGCCAACGGTGAGTGTGACATGATGAAGACGCGATACTCAAGCCGGCCTTGTCAATACCCTGGACCATTTGCATTGCTATTTATATTCGTACCATACAATCATGGATAAGAGGCGAAACAAGAACTTTGTCTTTCTTTGTTTTTATTTAGAGCCTTGTTCAGATGATTGTCACGACAATGGCGTCCCCTTGGAGGACCGATTTTCATTGTATACCTTGGAAGCAAGAGATGACGAATAAAAGACATTCTTTGGTCCCAAATTACCAGTGACATCAACATTGATTTCTGGCCGTTAAAGAATTGACCCAACGAAATTCATGAGATTACTCGTCGCAAGAGAATGTATGAGAAACCAGCTCACTGCTTGTTTGAATAATTGAATCAGCATGGCGAAAACAAGTCTGTTGAGCTGGATGTGTAGATAATCCCTTTACACCTATATACGATTTCTGTCCTCCACATACATGTTTCCCAGTCACCCATTGGGGATAAGCACAGGTGTAGCACATCAAAAGTTGGATCCAGCCGTGACTGATGAGTCACTGGCAACACTGACGCTTTTGACAGTGATTGACTTGCCGTTTGTGCTTGTGACCCTAACGTCGACAGTGTCGGTTCCAAATCCGCTGCTATTCTCGAAAAAGTTGTAGTCCTGCCTAGTCGTGCTCTTCCACGTAGAGCCTCCGTCGGTCGAGACCTCTAGCTTGGATATCGGCTGGTTATGATTCACAACTCTGGTGAGTCGAAACACGTTAGCATAATGATATAAGATGGAGCTGCAAGTGACAAATTGCAGGTCTTTTTGTCAGTGATGGAACCGAGGAAACTTTCCGAGCAGGTTCTTTCCAAAAACAAAAAGGAAGATGAAAGACTATTCGAATAAACGCATTTCAATCACTTACTGCATGCTAAACCAATACTTGCTGGTGCCACTCTTGTTGTGGAGCTTGAACGCAGAAGAAATCCCACAGGCCACTGGCGTGTAAGATGTGGCAATCTTGCCAGCACTTATATCGCCAATCTTTGCAAAGGCATCTTGGAATAGGTCAAGGTGGCCAGTCTCACACTCGGGACATTTGTCCACCACCTTGACAATGGGTCAGTCTCCAGTCCGGCATAACAAGAGTGATTGTGGGAGTTTTCTTACCATGACTCGAATAGTTTTGCCATTCGGGCCCGTCACGTCGAGGCATGCTCCACAATTTGCAGCACTATTCCACGAGGATCCTGAGAATGCCGTTCCATAGATACCAGATGGAAGGGAGCCCATGGTGGTAAAGGAACAAGTTCCACCACTGAGGTTTCCTCCATAAAAGGTCGAAGTTCCCGTCACTGCACGTGGTGAAATTGGTGCAGCTGGACTACCAAACACCAATGGTAGAGCCATCATAGCCAAACCTGCGTGGACAAACATTTTCAATATCAGAGAGAACCTGTTGTCGATCTGAGATGTCTACAAGATTGTTTGCGAATTTCTGAGCGTCGTGAGACTGCGTATTTAAGTAAACACTTGAACTCATTTACAGTCATGTCTGTTTATTCATGCTACACGGGACAAAATTACATCAAGTCTGTGAAACTCGACAATCGTAACAGATTTCTCATTTAATCTGCTCGAGTATATGATGGCGGCATATCATATGAAAGCCTCACTAATGGCATGAGCAAGTGCAGCCGGGCAGCGTCCCTTGATGGATTTATGCTTTTTAGTGACAATTACAAACTGCATCTAAAAGTACTCAATCTCAAGCCGTGATTGATTTCGGCCGTTATTCCCTTCTCATTGGGTTTCATGACAAGTTTCAATCAGGCTGTCAGAAGCAGGCGGCCAATGTTGTCTGAGTGGCTGCAGACTTGAATGATGAAATGGTGAGCGCCCACAGTACAGAATAGAGAGCATATTTGCTTATGCTGTCTGGAAAACATGGCTGGCGTTGGAAAAGGTTTCACATGTCCTACCACCAATGGCATCCGAGTTTCCATCGGCCAATGGAAAAGGAAACAAATCATGACATTCATTGCTTTTGGTAGTACTACACGGAGCGTGGATTAGGCTAGCCCTTTCTGTAACGGAGCCAGTAGAACTGTAGAAGCCAGTCGACTATAACACGCGGACGCACCAGACTCAAGGCTTGCTATCCACAATGTTAAAATTACCAATCCATGGCCGCGGTCGACTTTTCTACACGTTGAAGACGTCTGGCAATTCAAATCAAGCCCGTCACGGGAAATGCACTTGTTGCCTAATCACGCCCGACTCGACAATGTCAGAAATGCTGCAGGTTGACAATGCAAACACATGTCTTTTTGGATCAACGCACGGTCGGGCAACACGTCGGGCCTGGCAGGACTGCAGCGTAGAGTTGCACTACCGTACATACAAAGAAGAGAAGGGAAACGAGGTGATTCGTCCGAGCGAAAAGGCATCATTCACCTAGAATGGCGATGCAGCCGTTTATGGTACTTTGTCTCCCCCTCCCCTGGCGGCATTGGCGACACTGGCAATGACTGGATGCACTCGACGCCCTCGACGCACCGGAGCTTTCTAGAAGCGCCGCCCCAGGGGTATATCCGGCTGATTTATACCACCAATTCGAGCCTGGCTGGCATCCTTCTATAGCTCAATCACAAAGGCCTGTCCGTGCACCCTTGATTTGCACCTTGAAAGTTCTTTAGGTAACCGTTTGCCTTGCACTTCCACGGGATATCGTCAATGCGGTCACATGCTGCTGGGATCTTCGGTAGTGAATCCTCCTCGAGCCTGGATGGTCGAAGATCATGTGCTAGGGTCCGGTAGGTCCGTCACTATCGGAAGCCTCTTTTTTTTTTAAATCGAGGTCCAGTACAAGAGCCGATTGTCCAAACAAGACACACGCGAGGCTCGCAATGTTTGACGGCCCGACATTGTACCGTTTCTGTAATTTCAAAGCGTATAGCATAGATTACTCCATCGATATTTTGACAGTAACCATTACCACAAAAGTGAATGTTTGTCTGCCTCGTACTTTGTACGGAAAACCGCCGTCTAATAGGCATTCATATCGTTATCTCGAATCTAGGCGTGTGGGCGCAGACTCTCGTGTCTGCTCCTGTTGCCCCAGATGCGGTTATCAGGCACTAATCCCCTTCCGGGCCTCAAGGCCGTGGGGGCGCCCATTCCCCCTTGGCGTAGTGTGCTGCTACTCCAACGCCAGTATCACTCCATGTAGGTCTCCCCCTCGTTGCTCGTCAGGGTCGAATCCTCCCCACGTAGCAGGATGCTTATGGGGCAAGGTCAAAGTCCGCCGCGTACCTATATACTTGTAGGTAGGGCAAGGCATGATACAATGGCAAAGTGCTGGTTTCATTAGTACTCGTAGCAAAGAAACAAGTCCTTGATCTGGCTGCCATACCATTTTACTGACCTTACGCATGTAGCAAAAGTGCAAGAGCGTCCTGGCGTGTGATCGTGTGCTGGCAGGGGATATTTGACGTCTTTGCCTGACCTCCACCCCGAAATTCTCCAATCGTCGGCTAGATGCGCAGCTCGAGAGAGGTCCCAACTAATAACAGCCTGCCTTGGATCGACGACGGCTTCCAGCTCTGCCTCGCTTGTTGCCCTAGCCGACTGACTCAACTGGGGTTAATGGTTCATGGGGGAGTAGAGGCCATATTTCCCCGGCTCGAATCAAAATCTTTCTACTTTTTGTTCTTCTTCAAGTGATCCCAAACCCTTGGGCGCCTATCAAGGCGGGCCTCGAGTCCCTTCTTTTCTCGTGATCCGCTGCCCTCATACACCATCACCACCAAACAATCATCATGGCCAACTCGAGCTCCAGGCCGCCGCCAGGAGGGGGCACATGGGCGACGCCTCACGACTGGGCAACGCACCGCACTACCATTACGGCTCTCTACGAGGGCCAAAACATGACGCTCAAGAAGATCATGCAGACAATGGAAGCCGACCACAAGTTCTTTGCAACGTAAGTTTTTTTTTTCTTCTTCCGTGTGTTTCTAGACTCTTGGGTGCTTGCTTTCTGCACCTCGGGTCACCCGCTTGGCAGGGCCTACCTTCCTAAATGAGGCCGTGTGTGGCTCCCGAAACAGTAGCTAGCAGATGTCTAGCCCCAAAGAACGTTGCAAAGATCTTCTAGAAGCTAACGGCTGCGAATAAAGAGAGAGAATGTACAAGTCCCGGCTCAAGCAGTGGGGCCTTCGAAAGAACTACAGGTATGAAGAGGTGAACGAGATCATCCGCCAGCAGCAGAGCACGCGTCCTGCTACTGCTACCGGGGCAAGATCTAGTGGTGCCCCGGTGGCAGCGGCAGGGTCTCGTATACGGAAGGGAACTGGCCGCCGAGTTCGGCCGTATCGCAAACAGCCAGACAATACTCCCGCACCTATCATAGTACGGTATGGGCAGCAGCGGGTCAGAAGGCCAAGCGCCGTGTCAGTGTTGCAACGTCTGACACCACCGCCGACGGGGATTGGGTGCCGAGCTCCTTCACCACCAGGATCACCCGAGATTTCCATTCTGTTTCCTCTCACGCCTCCAGCCGACCTGTACTACCCAGAGGAATGCAGTTTCCACATCCAGAGATACTGCGCTGGGGCCTTTGAAAAGGGCATCTGGGCGCTCGAGACACCAGGTTGGATGAACACAAACCGCAGCGTGGTAGACTGGTTCAACAGGATGGCGCTCGCCAGGGGAGCCCTCAGCGGCGGACGCACACAGCAGGGCTTTAAACTCTTGCAGCTCTGCTTTGACGAGTACAAGGACATGATACTGACACAAGACCCGCGGCTGATGCTCTACACCACCGTCTCCTTGTTCTTGCTGGTTGGGTATCCAGAAGTTGTCAGCATGTTGATGAAGTACATTACACGCCTATCGAAAATCCTACAGGGGCCCTTTCACCCCCTGCACCAGATTATGGCCGCGCTTGATCAGATGGGGTTGGAAAAGATGCAAGATAATGCGCGGCTCATTTTTGATGCGCAGATTGCCGAGTTTGCGAGATACTTGCCACCCGAGAACGAAGTGCTGCAGAGCATGGCAGTCTTTTCCATACGGAATCTGGCAGTGACTGGTCTGATTGACACTGATGTTGCCCAGGCCAAGCTACTCGCGCTGCCTCGCAGTGCCGACAATGGACGTATATCCATGGCCACGGCACAGGTGCTGATGATGGGCGGCCGCTACAAGGAGGCTCGACAGGTTGTCGAAGAGTTGCTGGCTTCGGGAACCAATCGTTCTCGAACCTTAGCGGGTGCTTTTGATACGCTGTTTCTAATATGCCGTTACGAGGGTGAGGAACAGACTATCCGGGATGCATCAAACAGGCGAATCAATTTCTGTCTCGAGACCTTTGGAACCGACAATGACTGGACCGTGGATGCGTGCAACGACTACGAGACATATCTGCGAGAGATTGGCGATGTAGAAGGCGCCAGCAAAGTCTTTTCGAGCTTTGGAGTAAACATGGAAAGGCTGACCGAAGGAGTGGCTGAGCTTGAAATCAAGTAAACCGGATCCATTCTCGACGAGCAGGCTGCCAACGGCACAGGATATCATTGGAGACCCAAAGGAATAGACGAATTGGCAGGGTTTGCTTGCAACATTAGAAGGGGGACGTTCATGACTGGTATTTGCACTGCTTTGACGGGGCTGCAAAATACTGCACTCTCCTCTTGTGGAGGCAATAGGACAAAGGAAACTGGCAGCAATAACGCGGCTCCAAGACTTTGGAAATCAGAAAAGATATTATATGGGTGGAATTGAGAATGAAGCGCCCAGGCTGAGAATGGGTATGTGGCTCCTAGACAAACGGGATATACTCAGCTAACTCAAATGTCCAAGAAATGTGCCGTGGATGATCAAAATATGGAATAGATGCGTGGTGAACGTCTTTGCAATTATACCGGGGCACAGCTCTCGAAGCCGATACAATCCAGAAAAAACTGGAAGCAACTGGCAGTGACGCTGTAACGAGGGTTGCACTCGAATCCAGTAGCCAGGTCGCTACTTGGAAGTCGTCTTTGCCCAGATGGAGACATGACATTTGGTTGCAACAGGGACCTTGACATGGAAAAACTGAGGGATTTGTGCTGTAATGGTAGGAAAATGGCCTTTTCATTCACTGCCATTTTACAAGATTCTGTTCCAGGAATGTCATGTACACAAGACTTGGCGTTAGGTAAAAGAAACCAGAACATGTGATATATACCTTTAACAAACAGACAACGCCGCAATGAGAATACATGTGGTCAACATCCGGTAGCCTAAACCCTAATGCCAGTCATGGTTTCTTGCCCATTTGCATTTCTCAAACGGCGCTGTATCCACCGCGGCTACCACTTCCTTGCACTGTACTGAGCACTCTTCTAGTCCAGTCCTTCATGAGGTACGGAATATCACGAATTGTATCGCCATGAGGTAAAAGATCCCAGCCACGAGCTCCATAGCGGTTGTAGTTGAGCCAGGAGCCAAAGATTAGGTAGGCAGCCGTACCGAGAAAGACGCTGTACAGTTGAGTTAGCATTGCCCAGATTTAGAAGTTAGGTGCAGGGGCCGCGATCAACAGGAGCCAGAAGCTGAATAACTACTCACAGAATCACAATCCATGTAAAGAATCCCCAATGGCTGCTCGGCTGGTCTCCAGCGGGCTCATCCCCGGCGTCGCCGTCACGTTTTTGGCAAGCATGTTTCGTATTCCATGTCAGTCGTAGAACATCAATATTCGTGTCGCTGTCAAGAGGGCCGTATGAGTTGAAGACGAGAGCTTGCGTCCCATTGTTGTACCCGATTTGCACTGGCTTCCCGCTCTTGTCCCCGCCATCCTCCGCGGCGGTTTCGTACGACAGGGAATCCTTTAAACTTCGTTCTTCCTTGTCATCGTCACCCGGAACATATTCGTCCTCGGGTTTCCATTCGCCCTCGGTGCCTTCGAGCTCCTGGTCGCATATAAATTCAATAATGGCCCGCTGCTGTCTCTTTTGTCCGTTCAAGTCATGCCAACCGCCTTTGATGATGAGTCTGACACCATCCTTTTCGGCGTCCGAGTTCGAGTCGCTTGTGGGCAAGTAGATGGCCTCATTGTCGAGCGGATACCCGCCGTATTGCTGGAGGTTGCCTGCAATGGGCCAGGCCTCGTTGAAATCGTCAAACTTTGTATCACCGTGTTGGCCGATGATGCGCTCAATGGCGCAGATGCGCGTGCTATGTGGGCATTGCTCGTCCTTGGCCACATCGCTCTTGCGCTTCAAGTTGAAGCAGATATCCGTCGTAAATGTAGTATTGTGAAAATTAGGCCCGACTTGATGGCTCACGGTGACTGAATGGGGTCCGCCAAGTTTGGAAAAGTCGTATTTCCGTGATGATGCCACAATGTTGTCGCAGCTAAGCAGCAATCCTGCTGTTGGCGAGGCTAGCAGCGCCACTGCTGAAGGTATCTGTGAAATCTTCATGGTTCAAGCGGTTTCCAGAGACCGAGAACTGACAAATGTCGTCGAATCAAATGATGTGATCGCAGCAAGATGCAATGTCGACGACTGGTTTACTGCACTCTGTTCTTGGTAGCTTTAGACGAGATCAGAGCCGGCGCTGTGGGTGTTTCGGAACGGAAGGGTCGGAGAGTTCAGGCAAACAATAGTTGGAGTCGAAGGAATGTCACGAGAATCAAAGGTCCGATGTCTTGTTCTGTAGCTGACAATAAGCAATAGAAGTTGAACAAGTTGCAAAAAGAGCGGTTGGGATGGAATTCGAGTCTGTCAAGTCACAGCTCATGTGCTACATTAAGTTGAGGTAGGTCAGTTAGGTTGGTGGGTGCTGGCCTATCAGGTACCTTGCGCTACGTTCCGAGGCGAACAGGTTTCCAGCGCTGCCTGCTTGGGACCTGACCTACGTGACCCGACCTAGCACCGGATCTTTTTAGCGGCTGGGTACTGGCGAGTCCGCCAATTCACTGCACTGTGAATGGAGGTCAGGTTCCTGGGCAGTAGACCTAGCACACCTAATGGCTGATGGTACAGCTCTGTCGTCATTGCAACCAGCCTCACTTTACGTGAATAACCTTGCTAATCTAGCTATGCATCGTTGCAAGTTGTTCTTGGATTAAAACAAATAGTCAAAGCCCCAGTAGATTTAATGGCAAAGGAGGTTTCGATGGTGGAGCATGGGAGAGATGCAAATTCTCCATTCTCACCGTTGCTCGACTTGAGGTTGTATTCATCACCTGATTGTACAAATTGAACAGAGCACGCAAGTACGGCGCCATTCACAAGCATTTGCTGTTGGTGAATGGAAAAGACGTTTTCATGAATTGCCAAGTCCTTTTGGACCAAGACATAAACTCAAGAATGATCAAAATATTCATGATCTGTATTCTGCTATTTTCCCAGGTGCACATTGGTGTTGTACAGACATTCTTGCAAACACCACATCTTCAGGTCGAGCAAGAGTACGTACAGCAAAACGTGTTTTCTTACGTGCCGAAACTCCCAACTCTGACATTTGTCCATGCCGACACTTACAAATCAACCGCAGAAACTACAAACAAAACCATATAATCTGGGGGTATAGCGAGCCGGAAACCCTTGAATCGTTAGGACCAAAATTACACCCACAGAAACAAGTACGCAGTACCCCCATGCGTTCCGAGTCTGCCATTTGAGACAGTATTCGTACAATTCCATGACGCCAAAAACTCCATAATGTTTTGTAAATGTAAAAAGGGGGCCCGATTGCTCAAGTTTGATAAATGTTATGGTGTTTAATAACAGAACTTGGCGTGTATCTTGGGCAAGGTCCTCCGGGGAGGTTCGAGTGCGCATGGCCCTTGGTCAAAAGGTTGTGGTCATGACCTTAGACACCCTCCGTCTGCACGGATTCTTCTTCTTCTTCTTCTTCAGACTGCTGGGCCGGAACAGAGCTGGGCGTTTCCTACATGCTCATACCTCCATTCATACCATTTTGCATGCTTTGTTGCAACATTGCCTGCTGTCGCTGCTGCTGCTGGGAACGCACCATCTCTTGAACTTGTTGGTAAGCCCTTTGGTGGCAGCTGGCGTGGAATTGTGTTTGCACTTCTGGAGGTACACTTTGCAGGTTGCCATATTTTGCCACCAGCTGACCAACATTTTGTTGGTAGATGATTCGTTGTCTGGCTTGCACGGCGGCTTGTAAATTCTGGCTCCGCATCGCTGCCGCCATCGGGTTCGCCTGCACATTATGCTGCTGCTGCTGGCCTGCACGCTGTTGTTGTTGTTGCTGCTGCTGAATCTGTGCCTGCAATGCCGCGATTTGGTTTGGATTCAACTGTCCTAGTTGGGCAGGGTTTGTTCCGGCCATGTTATTCATGGCGTTGTTGTTGACCATATTTGGGTTGCCCATTGAGTTTTGCATTTGCTGCTGTTGCTGCTGCTGTTGCATTTGCATTTGCATTTGCAACTGGTTCATCTGGACATTACCCATGGCAGGGTTGCCATTCAGCATCTGAGCATTGTTTCCATTCTGTGCCATTTGCTGCGCTAGGAACCTCTGTTGAGCCTGCATTTGCATCATCTGCTGGGGTGTCTGTCCTTGCATCATGGCATTTTGCTGCATGGTCATCAGCGCTCGTTGCTGTTCTTGATATATCCGTTGTCGCTGCTGTTGCTCCATGATACGGGCCGCAGCAAAGTTGGGATTTTGCATGTGATTTTGCCCACCTAGGAGTATAGATCCAGGCGTCGGCTGCTGTCCAACCATTGGCATGTTTGGAGTCTGGCCCATCATGACAGGCGGCGAACTGGCTTGTGGGATGCGAGGTGTCTGCATGGGGCGGTTGATGGGAGTTCCATGGGGCATTTGTGGAGTGGCACTCGGCATTCTGGGCGTGCCAGCGGCATGACTCTGCTGACTGTTTCTAGCAGACATGGTGACAGCCATGGGGGCCGACATTGGATGGTTCTGCACAACAGACGAGGGCCGCGCGGGGCTGCCGCCCATGCCAGAATTTGAGTGTTGCATAGGGACATTGCCGGCCGGTACCATGGGCGACGATATGTTCATTGGAGTATTTTGACGAACCACAGGAGACGAGGCCGGTGGCTGAGAGACGCCCTGGAAGCGATGTTGTGGCAAGGTGTTGGGCATAGGACCCGGTGTAGGATGGCCATGAGACGCTTGGGATAGTTGATGCTGCATGGCAGGCGGTGACTGTGCCGTAGTGGCTTGAGCTTGGGCTTGGGCTGCGGCTTGGGCCTGAGCCTGGACTTGTTGAGCTTGCGACTGCGCCAGGGCACGGCGCTGTGCTTCTTGCTGTTGCTGTTGCTGCTGACGAGCTCGTTGCTGGCGTTCGGCTTCGTCTCTGCGGGCCTTCTCGGCAGCGGCGGCGGCGGCGGCTTCTTGCTGGCGATTAGCCACAAGCTGAGCTTGCTGAGCCTGTTGCTCCTGTTTTTGGAGTGCCAATTTGCGCTCCTGTTCAGCCTGGCGGGCTTTTTCTTGTTCCTTCTTCTCGGCATGTTCGCGTTTGATCTCCTCGATAACCTTAAATCTCTCAAAGCGAACATCGGCCGGAACGGACTGGCCAGACGCGGCGGCACCATCAGCACTACCTTGGGCGCCACTAGCAGTGGATGATAGGCGTTCATCATATGTAAGCATGAACTTTTCATGTTCGGCAGCAGCCGCCTCCTCGGCAGCACGTTCTGCCACGGTCCGCTTCCGTGTCTTTGGTTTCGGTGGATCCTCGGAATGCTTCTCGTCTGTCATGGTATCAAGAAGCTGAATGAGCTCTTGCGAATTCTTGGTCGGTTCGAGGTGGAGAGGTTCAGCTGTTGCCAGGAGGATCTGACTCTCGACGGCATGTATATTCTTCCCATCCAGTTCCATACGCTCCCTTTTCTGCTTCTTGGCAGGCGGCGGCATGGCGGCTGCTGTTGGAGTAGGCGGCACGGCCGCAATGGGTGTTGGTGGCACATTTCCATCGGCAGCGCCCTGGGGTGTGGTTGCTTTGAGCATCAGATCGGTGTGCAGACTCTGAGCAGTCGGGTGCAGGACAATCGTGATCTTTTTGGGTTTCACTGGGCCTTTGCTCTTTTGCACATCAGGAACAGCAGGCGCCGGCATGCTTTCCTTGTTTTCGCCATCATCGGTTGCCTTGGCATTATCCGACGTGGCCGAGGTTTGCGGCGGATCAGTGTTTTCTTTAGGATAAGGAGCATGTGGTGATGGTGTAATATAGGGCGTATAGTTGTGTATTGAAAATGGCGTGTCCTTGCTGGAAGCCGAGGTTGGTCTCGCAACGTCCTTGGCTTCTGCTGGTGACTTGTGGTCATGTATTTCAACAATCAAACACCCATCGTAAAACACGACGCCCTGCTCAATAAAGTAAGGTAATATGTCGTGCGGAAGAGTTTTCGAGCGAAAGTGATCGAGGAGTACCCGCATGGGTGACTTGTATGGGAAAATACTGTCCTGCTGATCGAAACGGAAATGGGCTGGATGAAGATGTACGATTAGTGACGGCGGGCTGCCGCTGTGCTTTTTAAGAATGTATTGACTAGTGATGACTGTGACGAGCGTTAGCTAGAGGCCGTATAATCGCAGTGTCTGTTCATACCCTCGGGTCGTGGCTCCAACGAATGGCCTTGGATGCCATCAGCCGCAAGACTTGCCGACCGTAGCGCGTTCAATCGTCCGTTTCTTTGACCGGCGAGACCAGCTTGTATTGATTGCTCGCGGCGTTGTCGAATGGACGCACTTCGGGGGGCGCCATTTGCCGTTGCAGGAGTCGGGGTTGGCTGGGCCTTGTTACCACCAGTCGGAGTCCGCTTTGCCGACATGGACGGGGACATGGACGGTGATGAGCGCGATGAGGCAGCATTTCCATTTGTTTGGATGCCTGGCGGAGGTGGGCGCTTGATCTTGGTGGTGGTGTTGAGGCCAAGGTTGGGCACGGGGATCGGAGTGCTTGTCGCGACGGGGGCCATGATGGCAACCTAATCGCGCGGCAGACAAGCCTCGCCTCCAAAGTAGAGCTGAATGGATAAAGAGTACTCTTGATGTAACCAGACCGAGCCTCGGATTAGCACCAGGTGTTTGGCGCCTCGACCATTGAGATGCTGTTGCCCGTCGCGCTCGAGAGGATGACGATGGTCCCTGGGTGGGTCACAAAGGACAAGGCGCACGGGCTTTTGCGGGAGAAGAAGCGCTTCGGGAGGCGTTGATCTGGGACTCTGAGACGGCGAGCTCAATGTCGCGTCGACAAGAGTCGAACAGCAAGGCGATTTCTCGATTGCGCGATGGGTTGAAAGATGAAGGTCGAAAATATCGCCGTGTCGACTATGCGCTTCGCCAGGGTCGCTGGTTGAGATGAAGTCAATGAATTGAGTGGGGGTGGTTTTCAGTGTATGCGGGAAACTTGAGTGCGGCTCAACGAGTGATTTCAAGCCAATGGACAAGGGGGAGCTTTGTACATTGGCCATGGGCAATCGCCCAAAAGATACTTTGGGCCATCGCGCTAATCAATCCTCACCTCGAGCACCTATGGGCGCTGTGTGACCACGCTGGTAGCACTTAAGCCCAGAGTCTGGAGATCCCCAGTTATTTCTCCCCTGTCCTGTAGTGCCTGGACCGTTTAGGTTCTCCGCCATACAACTTGTCCGTCTCCACGCAACAACCCCGATATCAACACTGCAAATCCGGGGTAAGAAATCGATGCATATATTCTGGCTTTGTGGAACGTGGTGACCTTTATTCCAATGTCTAAAGACTCTTGACCAACATCAGCTTTCCTTTTTACAATCACCTGGGAGCCAAGAGGTGGTGTTGAATCAGATACAAAACTTTGACGTTGATATTTAATTTCTCGAGACGATAAGAGAGCATGAATAGGACTTTTAAATAGTACTACGCCTTGTCAAATTAGTATCCCTCAAGGCCCTGGATTATAGATTCACCAGGCCTCGGGTTTATAGTCTGTAGTTCTTTGTCCAGTGGCTGTGCGGGGGACATGGTACTTCCTATATCCGTGTACTTTAACAACTCCAGCCTACATACTTGTCGATTCAAGGCCCATCAATCATGTCTGAGCCAGGCAAGTAGAAAAGAGTCCCCAAAGCCCGAGATACACAAGTGTGCCTGTGAAATCATCTCTGGGCTTTGCATTGTCCTGGTCAAACCGTACTAACCAAAAGGTCATGCAAACGCGTAATGTGGTATTCAGATGTGTGCTATTTACTCTCAAGACAAAATACTTGACCATATCCCGTTTCAACGTCAAAGTCATTAATCAGCAGACTAGTGCTGTTCAACCCTATGGGCAATTTCAGAGTAATTTGAAAGAGAAGAGGCCCAGCCTTACTCCTTGCCTTGCACCCTACGTGCCCAATCGTCACTAACCCTCAGACTGTCCACGACAACGACACCTCTTCCCCTTCCAACTCTGTCCTCTCTGTGCCACCACTTTTCGGGCCCATCGTGCTTTTCAGCTTCCGACTCGCTATCGGCGAGACCCCCATGTCCGCCATTAGCACCGACAATCAGGATAACGTCGTACCTGAGCCAGGTCTGCAAGCGAGTAATCTGACTGCCATTGTCGCCAGCCAGTGACTCTTGCAGGTACACAATCTCGGGTTGCAAATGGTGTAGAATATGTACATGGCCATCTCTTGTTGAAAATGGAAGAATCATGGTTTCCTTTTCAACCAGGGTGAGGGCCTGCGAGTACACGGCATTGAAAGTAGCGTCTCCATTCGATTTCAGTCTGCACCGAGGTGAGCATTGTGCGTAAAGTGGGCGAAAAACAGGTGGGAATAACGTACAACGGACTCTTGGTCTCATCTCCAGGTGTCTGGGCCTGGTTGTGACTAATGTTTGAGAATGAAGAACTTAGAGACGCTGGAGGCAGGTTACTTGCTGGCGTTTCAATGGTACCATCCTTGAGACCGGGCGAGTATATCAAGATGAATAGCTTGATTCTTGAGAAATCAGTGTTTCGAGGGATATGCGACAGAATGGACTGTGTCAATATGATTAGCCAAGAGGTGAGACAAGAGTTGCAGACACATCAGGCTGCTCGTACCGCATGCTCATGGAAATTGGCCTCGTCGAAATCTTCCATGTTTGAATCGGCAGAGACGACCACGGCAACCGCCTTTCTGAGCTTGCTCGGGTCGCGTGATTGATTCGGCACGGACTTGTCCTTTTCTTTTCTGGAGGAAGCTTCCTCGGACCAAGTTTCGTGGTCTGCATAGGCAATGTTGTCTTCTCTTATGGCGGCCAATGCACTGCCCATGGCAGCGCCGACAGCGCCTACACCAGCCGTAACAGCCTTGCCAGCATTGCTGAGAAACTGCTGCGGGCTAGGTGTCCGGCGCAATGCTCCAGACATGGAATTGCCCCATCCCGCATTTTGCTGAGCCTCTAGGTGTGGATCGGTCACACCATATGTAGCACTCTCGGCCTTGGAGTACTGATGATTACGAATGATGGCTCCGTATGCGGGATTGTCGCCGTAGTCGGCATTCTCATAATCGAGATCGGCCGGCGGAGACTCCTCCCCTTCCTCCTCTTCCTCGTTTTGGCGCTGGCTCCATGCCCAAGCGGCAATGCCAACAGTCGCAACAGTGACGGTGACGGCAAGTGGAACCCAGTGGCTCCAAACGCCTCGCCGGCGGGTTCTCGAATCGGAAGACATTTGAGGAGGATTTCAGGTCGATATCATGGCATGGAACGTCATTTGCCCGAAACGAACAGGCTGCAAGACGTGAGGGACCAAAGATGAATGATTACTCGAGGCGCTGCAGCGTCCAGAAAGACCCCCCAAAAACTCGTGGGCTGGTAGCTTGGAGCTATAAAGGCCCCCGGATCCAAGTTATCGGTGGCTGGTCAACAAGCTACTAATAAGCGACAAGGCTGATGGATCCGATTCCATGGCAGCTGAACGAGTCGGACAAGAAGCCGAGGTCGATCTGGGTAGCGGGGCAACGGTAGGAGTGTGACGGGAGCTGGCGGCCGGCAGACAACTGCTCAATGGCTCAACAGCGAAAGACCGGGTTCGGAAAGCATGTGGCAGAATCATGCACACCTAGGAGGTGGCTCTCGGACTGGCATTATTCTATCCAGACAGAAGCGACGAAAAATAGTAATTGGAATACCGAGAGACATTACATGATAGGATATTACGATTCCAGAATTGCCGCAAAAGAAAAGAATAGATTTGGTTTTATTGCTGTTTGAAACATGATTGGCTCTGCTGATTTGGTCGCCCCACCTCGAACACAGCGTAGCGATGACTCTTCATGGAATTTCATGGCACCTTAATGTGATTTTGCCTGCAACTCTGTCTCGACAACGTGAGGTTGGACTTGACAGGAACCCAGAGAGCGGATTCGTCAACCATCTGGTTACAATCTCAGTCATTTCTACATTAATCATTTTTTGAGCTACTCTGAAATCTCCAGTATTGGTCGGCGAGCGCAAATTCTACCATTGGGTTTCGCACCCCACTACTACTCATTCAGCGACAGCAGCACTGCATCCTCGACGGTCCAAGTACAAAGGTCATGCCTCATGCCGTGTCGATGCCCTCGCCTGGGCTGCAGGCCATCATATTATGTGGCCCAGGTTCATCCTTTCCCACCTTTACTGCCAATCCAGACGAAAACCCAAAGGCACTGCTACCCATTGCGAACCGGCCCATGGTATGGTATCCGCTCGACTTCTGTTACCGAACTGGTATAACCGGTAAGTGGCCATTGTCTCTACTATCAAGTATCGCCAAATCCTTTTGGAGTTCCCAGTAAGGACTGTACGGCCCCAAACAAGTGGTACAATGGGTGGCAATGGCGTGGCGATATATTCATGTCTTTGGACAACGGCGTGGAACGTTTTTGTGGCCGTCGTATAAATTTGTTGGACCTGGTCATTTCAGTTATTCTTTTCCAAGCCAAAATGACACAATAGTCTATGGTACTGATCATAGTCTAGACATTACACTTATTTGCCCACCGTCGGCGGCCACTGCAATCAAGACAGCCTTGAACACCAACCCGTTCCTGACAGGACTTCCACACCCGCACCCAGACCTGGTAGCACCAGAGGACTTGGATCTCACAACAGGCACAGCCGAGATTCTTCGACTGCCCCAAGTCAAGAAGATTCTGACTTCCGACTTTGTTGTCCTGCCGTGTGATCTTGTCTGTGAACTTGGAGGCGACAAGCTGCTCCAGGCATGGATGGTCCGCGCGACGGCTCCTTACGCAGACCCTCCTCAGCCCAGTGGAGGACTGGGAGTGTGGTACGAGACAAAGACGACTACACCCATCAAGGGCGAGGAGACAGACTTTATTGCGACCACGCCACTCGCCCAACCGACAGTGCCGACTCCCAAGGATTCGTTATTGTCGCAACTATCAAATCTGGCGCTTTCAATGCCCACCGACTCCCTCAAAGATCTTACCGAGGAAAAGAAGGGCTTTCCTATTCGCCATGGCTTATTACGAAAGCATCCCAGACTTAGAATGTTGACTTCTCACCGCGACGCTCACATTTACGTTTTGCCTCACTGGATACTGGACTTTATTTCGAAAAACCCACGTCTAGAGACTCTGGGCGAGGACGTGATTGGTTGGTGGGCCAAGTCAACCTGGCAGGATGGACTCGCCGAGAAGCTCGGCTTCTCAGACATTTTGAAATCGTCAGAAGGTGATGCTGGCGGCAAGGGCATCATGAGCCCCTTTAGCGAGGGCGATGCATCCCCTACAAACGAATCCCACTCGCCAACGCGTGATTCTCAGATTGGAAGCTCTTTGGCTTCCTCCAAGCCTCGAGGCTCTGTGGTGCCGCCGATCCTCGCATACCTGCAACCCACGGAGCCGACAGGTCCTCTCATTCGCCGAGTCGATACTGCACAAATCTTGCTTTCAGTGTCTTTGCAGTTGGCCAAGCTACCATCTATCGAGGAAGCGGGCGCCGAGGCGTCCGTCTTGGCCCACTCCCGCAAGATTGCCTATCCCGAAGGTGTCAAGCCACGGACCACCATTACCAAGCAAGACTCTTTGCTGGCTGACAATGTCACCGTAGAGGAAAAGACATCCATCAAGGAGTGCGTCATTGGTGCTAATTGCCAGATTAAGGAAGGAGCCAAATTGTTCCAATGTGTACTGATGGATGGCGTCGTGGTTGGAAAGGGCTGTAAATTGACACGCTGCATCCTGGGAAAGAGAAGTGAGATTGGAGAAGGTTCTACGTTGACCGAGTGCGAGGTGCAAGAGAACCTTTTGGTGGAACCCAAGAGTAAGTCACAGTCCCCATGACATGACATTCAAACATCTGACCGATTGCAACAGCCGAGGACAAGGACAACAAGTTCATGAGTAGCGAGGGTCTTGAGGCCACGGAAGAAGAATTGCAGGACGCACTCATGGCCGACGATGACAATGTCGACTTGATGGGCTAGCTGGGAAAGTAGCTTGCACCGTGTAAGCAGCACGCGTATAGTGAAGCATATTTGCAAGCAAAAAGAATTGGCGAGAGAGAGATGTTCTCATTAGATCATAACAGAAGGGTGCTTGCTGGTGCAGGTGGAATAGATCAACCACCTCAATCATATCGATTGCATTGAAAATGACGCTTGCGACTCTCATGACTTTGTATGCCAACGTCTTGATCGCATCTCAATGTGCTGATTAGTACCTTCAGTCATGGCTAGGTGGGCTCGAATCCTTTCGCGTGGTCCGAGTCGATAAGCAGACATTTTTCCACTTTGGATTAGTCAGTAGTCCGACTTGGCAGCTGATAGAGCTTGAGGAGGTGCAAAAGCCCGAATGAATCGGGATACTACGATGCTCTTGTCATGTTTTGCTTTTCCTGATGTGGTCACATTAGTGCCATGTTCCCTCCCACTGCCCGTCGAGTACTTGCTTGATGACTGACTGGTGCGTGTGGCAATGATCCAAAGCCCAATCAGTAACTGCTCGCTTCAGCATGCAGCATGTACGTCCCCCATACGGCAGGGCTTCTAACCTAGGTGGCTTTATCCACTTGCATGCCTCTTGGGCACTACGTAGACCAGAATTGTCACATTACCGCTGATTTCAATTCCAACCTATCATGTTGTCTGCATGCTGGACCAGTCAGAATGACAAAGTCATGCCGTCGGCCTTTTCTCAAGACAAGGATGCGTACAGATTTTCGGCTCCTGCGGCAAGCATTTTGATAAATACGTGTGCACTGGGCGCCGGCGCCATGACCATGATTTCTTCCAATATGTTTCGCTGTATTTTGGCATGGCATGCTGCATCATGCATGTTAGCTTGACATTCCTGGGTGGAGAGGTAAGTAGGCAAGTCAGAATATAGCCTCGATAGAGTACTTGCGTAGATCCGATCCCAATACCAAAGTGTACAAAGCCAGCGGGGAAATGACGAGTAATTTCAGGTACATGCGTATTCGCAGCTTGATGAATTGGTTTCCAGTGTCACTCGGTTGTCTCTTGCATGCATCCGGAGTATGACAGCTCCAAAGACCCAGGAAACAGCTTGGCGATGATTGACGTCCTCTCTGCCAGTCTATGAGAAATAAATCATACAGCTTCAGTATTTGTCAATAAAGTCTCTGCGAGCACAACGAGAGTATTGACGAAACAGTGAGTTAACTTGGGCTAGTCAGTCTGGAAATGACAGATTGAAATGTACAAACTCTACACAAATTCATCATTATCAAATGCGGCTCATTTAGAGTTGTATAATGCATATATAGGGCTGAAAATGACTCGCTTACACGACTTGGAGCCAAAGTTTTTATTCACAAAGTAGATTAATGTAATGAGTGTGATTTCCTTGACACCGTTGGGGTTTTCTGACATGTCCATCTTGTCGCCCACTGTATATCATCTCCAGGACCTCCCATGTCCTTGACATTTGATTTCGTCAGATTTGCTCCATATTATGAAGCCAGGGGTGCTGACATTGGTGTTCATCCTGCACCAGACGTGTAATTCAATCTACTTTGTTTTGTTGATGGCTGGTTTGTGGTCTACTTAGCAACTGCGCATTCCATAAATGTGTTACAAAAGAAAGCGTCTACTTACCTGCATCTTTCTCCCTGTGACCTTTTTTGGGGCAAGGGTCCTTGCTGAGCGATTCTTGCCTCAATGCTCTGGTTCTGTCGTCACCCGTCTCATTAAAGTTGCTGTTATTGCAATATCCGTACTGCATGAAATCGTTGCAATAGACTCGCTCGACACCCTCGGTACAAGCGGGCTCACAGTTGTGAATGAGTACTCTATTGTAGCACATGGCGAGATTCAGACTTGATGCTTTTATGAGAATTTGGTAATGGATTGTAGAAGGGTGTGATCTGGATGAACCTTTTCAACGGCGTCTAGGGAGGAAATCGGTGATATTTATACACCAGAAAAGTTATAGAGCGTCAATATTGTAAAATGGTGCTGTTACGGAAGCGCATTCTCAATCTTTGCCCCCCGACCTTTTGACCCGCCCGACAATCTTCACTCCCCTGGCATCTGAGTGATTCCATCGGATAGTAAGAGCCTGAAGAAAGACATTAGAGATCATGTTGCCAAGGACGCAACTCATAAAAATCCCTTGCACCTCGATGATGACGGGTCTGTCCCGATTGGACTCGTTCTGGTGTTCTGCGCAAGTCAATGATAGACTCGAGACTATAGGCTTGTGCATCCTGCAGCAGCCGACGACGCAATCAAGCACAATCCAATAATATGATCATTCTCGCACGAGGCTGGCGAGAAAGAGACGGAAGGGGCAAGCCGGCGACTGTGGCTACCCGTGGCCAATGTAGGACTGCTGACGGCTTCGCCGGGTGTGACGATTCACAGCGGCGCCTAGTAATACAAGATCCTGCAGTCTTGGACTGTGTGACCTTGCCTGAAGCCTCGAGCAAATTAGTCATGACAATACTCCACAACAACTCTGTAAAAAGTTGCGGCGGCGGTATAGATTTCGGTCGAATTGGATCCGTGCAGGAATACGGGCACAGTATGGCTTGCGGCTTTGAGTGACAAATTTGGGAGCCATGGTTTTGTGAAAGATTGTATCCCGACGAGCTGGCTGCTCCGGAGTGGTATATAGATTGTCAGATCACTACGTCCTGATCTGGTAGTGAGCGACGCAGATACAATACCTTGGCATTTGATCGGGCTTGTTCTGCTTGGGATTCTCGTCAGCTTTGCTTTACTCGAATGCATGATCTGGGGTCCGTCAGGGTCTGATCACTTGCTTAAATCCAGACATGGTTCCACTCTACCCGGCTCCGAGATTGGATTTTGGTAGAGGGCAGCACCGTTTATGATAAATGATAGAGTTGAAAGGGGAAGGGTATGCAGATTCCCTGGTGCAGACTTGCTTCTTCGTATATGACCCCTCACGAGCTGCTGGACATTAACGAATAACATGTACGCAAAAGACAGATTGGTGCTGTGCCAATACAACATGATTGTCAATTCCATCCTTGATTGAGTACAGATGGCACAAAGGCGGGTTTGAACGACTGGAGCATTAAAAATCATGTCCAGGTAGTTTGACTTGAGACAAGAAGATGCGTCCAAGGCGTTGGTTGCTTCATTCATGTCGTTCGGTCTAGTCTCTGAGCCAAGCCCGCTTAATAGAATACCTACAGATGGGTCGTAGATCTAGATCGACGTCAATGGGACGAGACTACTGGACCGGAATGGTAGGGCGTGTCTCTCTTGGCCAGCCCGTTGAGTCTCCACAAGGCTTATGGGTAAACCTTGCCCTGAGAAGACTCAGATTCCCTGGAGGAGCAACGGCCAGGACCCAAATGTTTCGATCCATCTAATGCAGCACATGAATTGAAAAGCCGTTGGTTACCTACAAAGTAGTGCAGGGTTGTCAGAATACTTCCACCGCAGGCAGTACCAAGGCCCACTTACGCGACCACGGTGACTGTGCCGCTCGACTGCGTGGCGTCATGCTTGATGCTTGTATGCAACCTTGAGCTGTTCATTAGAAATGAAGAGACAGACTAGTGATGAGTCCTGCTCCTGCTGCATGCTCGGAAGTCGAACCTGTTGGCTTGTCTACCATTTGCATTTGTGCATGTGTTGTATACATAGGTGGTGATGGTGGTGATCATTGCCATTCCGTCGAGCAAACAAGTCAAAGGCGTGCTCAATCAATAGGCAGAATCGCTCCATGGTGAAAGATGCGTTGTTTTCCTTTTACGCATCATGGACAACATTGGCATGTCACTGTGTTCACCACAAGACAAGCGAGATTGGCATGGTCGTTCGCAAGGCATTGGTGTTGAATGTCTCCATGTTCCCTTTTAGAAGAGTATAGAGATCGGAACTTTATATCCGTGCCACGCTAGTCGACGCGCCATAATCAAAATAACGCGTTTTCCACCCTTTTTTTTATTTTTTATATTATATATTATAATAATAATTATTTTACGTTAATTTGGGACCGAATTATCCGGAAATCGCTAAAAAAACGGGGAGTTTTCTAAGGAAGCCCGTATATTTATTGCCGGTGCCGCTATAACTAATAAAAAGCATATTAATATCGCGGACGCGTTCGGCACCGTACGGCGCTAAATTATTACGGAAATTATTACCCGTATTAAAATAAATAATATTAGGAAAACTGGCAATCGCCGAATAAGGAAATATAAAATAATTTTCCGGGAAAAGCGCTATTTAGTTATTTTTGCCCGTAAATACCCGGAAAATATTTATTCCTAGCTTATTAGGAGGAGCGCTTTTTTTATTTATATAAAAATTTATAAAAGGATTTTTTAACGTTATTATTTTAGGAATTAAAAAAAGGCTAAAAAGATCCTTTTTACGGAAAAAAACGCTACGGCTAAGCTTGCTTTTGCACAAAAATATTTAAAACCGGCGGAGCTACGCAAGCTTTTCCGAGCTTTATTTTCGGACGAATATACGGTATATAATAAATCCGGGAAATTTAGCTAATAGGTTTTCCGTTTAGTAAACGAAAGATTTTATCCCGATTTTATAAATATATAAAGCTATAAAAAGCCGAAAATTTCCGTAATAATTTAGGGAATAATATAATAAAACCGTAAAAAAAGAGGAAGGTCCCCGATTATATTTTACTAAAAAAATCCGGATATACCGCGCTAGGGAATAAGCTTAGAGTCGTATATAAAGGTCCTCGAGGAAGGCCTATTTCCGCTATATATATTTAGCGATTTTTTCGTTTAAAATAACGCTCTAATACATAAAAGTTACCGTATAATAAAATAGCTATCCGACGAAAAAGTGGAGCTTATCGAATAGCTATTTTATAGCCCGGATTTTAACTTTATCGAATACGTATAATAAGAACTAAAAAAATAAATCCGTAAATTAGAACCTGCTTTTTTAAAGCTTAAAAAAATATTACCGACGAAATATACGCGAAAAAATTAATTTAAAATACGTAAAAAAAAATAAAAATAAACTTAATTAATACCTTAATCCAATTTATCCTAAACCGGCTGCGTATAATTAAAAAAGCTAAGGGGTAATATATAAAATACTAAATAACGGTTAAAATAAGCTTATTCCTAGTTCCGTAAACCCCGTGGTGGCTGAGATATCGTAATTAGAAAGTGGTAATTGGAACTGAAAATTTATGCATTTTGGTCCGTGCACGCATATAAAGTTCCGGTCATTGTACCTATGTCTGTCAAATTGTACATGATGTGCAATGTACGAAATTCCAACTGTACACTACATAATTGTGTGCCTATGTACTGTGGGAGCTAGTGGGAGCATGCAAATGCTAGCTAGCGCTTTAGGGCAGCCGGGTCGCCGCTAATCGACGGCCTGTAGTGCATGTGTGCATTTGCCTAGGTAGAAAGACCCTGACGCGCTGAGCGGTACTCATCCATATTTGCCATCTTCTTGTAGATCTTGGGAGATCTCTACAGCCAGGATTTTCGTGCATCTTTCTTTCTATTTACAAATGCTCCTCTTTAAATTGGTCGTTCATGTATTGTAAAAGGTGTATAGGTTGACAGGTAGGTAAACTTGTAAAGCATCACTGCCTTGCTCGCCTTGTTTGCTTCCCACTCATTGGGGGCTCTTTGTGTTCCGTCACACAAGTCTAATTGAGTTGTGCCTCGTCCCTCCAGATTCGGCCACTCCATTCATGGTATGAGATCGGGCCGCGCACTCGACCCCCTCAGCCCGTGGCTTGCAGCCCAGTAACGCCAGACATGGATGATCCGCATGAACGTGTTCGCAATTACAGTGCTGCCGGCCAGAAGAAAGCAGTCGGGGAATTAGCAAAGCAATAGTGTCCCGTAGGAACTCGACCTAGGTAAAAGACAGGGCGTAGATAACAAGACGGTTCCTTCTCCTCTCTCTCTCATCTGGGTATCTATCTACTTACTTCTGACCAACAAAACGGAATAACGGTGGCCTGGTTCCGGGGTGCACATTAATCGAATGAAATGCTTGTAGGAGAAAAGTGCCTCGTCAAGGATGTTCCCAAAAGCCGGAAATACCCAAGTTCCCCCACGCTTTTTCTTAGCTACCATAGCGTTGATCATGCGCCACGAGAGCAAACATATGGGTAGCCGGGATCCGCCAATGCAATCATCTCCTTGAGATCTGTTGCCCGTCATTGATACTGGTAATGATTGTTATCCGCAGACAAACGTGCCATGCTTGCTTGCATGTCTGGGTTTGGCTGCCCACGACATGGTGCCGTCCCCACAAGTCTGTTGTTCTATTCACCTCATTCCAACCTGTTCCCATTCCAAATGGGGAGACTATACAAAACATCCCTCCTTGTGGCGACTCTGCAAAAAGAGAATTTCAACAAGCCTGTCTGAAACAGCGCCCCCTCGCACGATGGGTGCTTCCATGTATTGCGTACTCAAAAAAGAAATATCCATGGTTTGCTTTTCATGAGAATGCCGTTCGGTAATCTACTCCAAGACCATATCCGATTTTCAAAATACCATCATGGGGTTTTCTAATTATATGATGACACATGTGACAACAATAGCAGCAACAGAGATGCTCCTTGTGCTGGGATATTTGATCAAACTTGCCCAGAGTAGGCTATGCACTCGTACATGAGTTGTTGGTTCTAATTCCTTGCAATCATCCTAGTTGACCAGACTCTCGGGTCTTGACCGTGGATTGAATTGGTTGGATTCTAAGCAGGAGACTTTTTGCTGCCCTCCAGAATCCTCTGCTCAGAATGGCTTGATTGACTCTTTTCTCCCCTTCTATTCATTGCCGATTTGTCAAAGGTACGGCCCCAAGTCTCGGCCTCTTATCATGGTCTTCCTTTCCACACCTGTAGACGCCACACAGCGCGCCTTTTTTTCTTTCCCAAGTAGCATTCCTACCAGGGGCTCCGCCCGTGTCTTTGCAAGTCTTTCCATTTGAAAGTCGACTATTCCTGCTTGGGGCTTAATGAGACTCATAGAGGCGCCAAGGGAGGTGTGTCTGTCAACTTCAATAGTGCTGGACCTCTTCTGTGCTGTATATCTATTCTCTACCTTCCTCATTCCTCCTGCACACACCACGAGCTTCTTCAACTCACTTTGGTTAAAAAACGTGTTTGTTTCGCCAACCACCAAAAGCCCTTTCTGTGAGCTGCCGTCATGGAGCATTTCAATGTGGACATGTCACTGGAGTATGACGAGGATGAGTTTAATAGTTTCGGAAGCCAGCTCTCGAGTGCCTCATCCGCTCGTAGCTTTTCAACCGCTCCTTCATGTGTACCAATCACACCACAGTCTGGACGGTCCAGTCCCCAACAGCACACTGCCTCAATGAGTTTCACGTCTATATCAGACTACAATTTCACACCACCTGGTTCCTCCATGGATGGATACTTTCCATCAAACGTCAAGTCAGAATTTCGCCCACGCGATATGGAGCCATCAACGCCAAGCAAAAAGTCTACAGTGTCGCCTTACAACATGAACTTTGAACAGTCTGCATTTCTAAACTCGACGTTACCTTGCTATGAGCATATGATGGACTTTCAACCTCCTGGCTTGGAATACTCCTTCTCCGACCAAATGCCGACGTCCCCTTTTGACCACAGGCCGCCTCCCTACTCAACACATCACTCCGGCCCTGACAACGGGGCACTCTGGTTATGCCCTTCACAAAGCTCTTTTGCCTACTCGGAAAAGCTGTCTTCCCCTCAGTCGACGACTTTATGCCTCAAGAGCCTGTCTCTCCAAGAAGGCAGCAGTGCACCTTCACCGTACGTGTCCAGCAACCTAAGGAGGCAGGTGGCCATTGACGACGTCCAACAAAAGTCCAGCTTGCTTCACCGCGTACAAAATGGTGGTCGTGTTGGCAAAAAAGGCAAACGTACTGGCACCATGGGCTCCCAAATTACTACAGTGCCCCCTAGCAAGTTCAAGTGCGAATACCCAGAATGCGCAAACGAAAAGGCCTACAAGAGAGCCGAGCATCTCAAGAGGCACTGGACAACGTAGGTCTCCAGGCATTCGGGCACATGATCGCTGGACGAACTGACCGAGTATACTAGGAAACATAACCCAGACGTTGAATTGCATCATTGCCCTTTCTGTGATCGTTCATTCAACAGGTCGGATAATTTTACACCACATCTGTTTCTACACGTGGACCCGGTACAATCTGGGCCAAAGCGGACAAAGTACCACCCCGACGCCAAACGAGTATACGAGGCAGAGATGCTGCGAAAGAAAAGGCGAGACGGAGGGAAGAAGCAGTCAGTCTGAGTGGACGCCAACTCAAAGGGCACTCGGCATCTGTTCTCGCGACGTTTCAGACGCAAGTTCATCTTAATCACTAGCATCACGAGCTTGAAATCTCTACCCGGAGTCACACTTGGGCATTGGGTAAAGGGCGGTAATTATTCTCACTTGATGCAAGTCACATAGTGTCAAGGATTCAATGACCAGGCGGGTAAGACATGTGCACGAAAGGGAAATGGAAGGACAAAATTTGCATCATGAAAACAAAATACAGGTTGTTTCGGGGCTTCATGGCGTTACCACCTAGTTTACTGTATACTACAAGATTATATTACGAAGCGCTGAATCATGATTCGAGTGCTATTTCGCGCCACCATCTTTGTAGTCCCGTGTTGCGTGATCGGCGGCAAGGAACATTGCGGACGGAATGAACATTACATCGCATACATGCCTGCCCGGCGATGCACCACACCTAGCAGTGTCTCAGATCTGACGTGTTGACTGCGGGACCTGACAGATATGTTTTGCCATTTGCTTAAACCAGACCAGGAATGGAGCGAATCCATGTTTATCAAGTCTGCTCGTCTCGAGCCCTTATTGCCAGACATGACAGTCCTCTGAATCGCATAGAGCCTTGGAAACCTATCCGTCAGAAGCTTGGAAGAGATCTATTGTACAAAATTTAACACTGCGTTAGTCATTTATATTGTATAATTTGCAAGACCACTGCTTCTGATTTTCCATCTGGCCGTGACCTTGAATTCGTAAAGCTGTGATGATGGGCATGTCAATAGCGGCTTTTGCTCCCGAGAGCCCGTGCCGTGCATCATTATAATTTGTCATCTGATTGGGAAAGATCTTGGAGAGATCATCATGACGTGCCCATTCAAAGGTAGACTCTCGAAATCAACACTTTGCAGGATTGGATCAGAGGTCAAATAAGCAAATGACGCTAATGCGGTTGAGAACAAAGAAGCAAATGCCATAAGATCTCGAGCGGCACGATGGTCAATGTGAGTCTACGGAAATACATGCTCTCTACTTGTGCATACAGGAGAGGTATCTAGATAATGTACAGAGTGGCAAGATGGAGACTATTGACTCACCAAAAACTGTGGTCCGGCTAGGTTCACATCTGTGCCGTTTGGCGCCAAGAGTCGCCAAATCTCCGTTCGAGACTGCGCAAATAACGACCGTTTCTAAACGTCGGGCCTGTCCACCCAGCCAGTCAATTCTGATTGATTCGCGCCCCCTCCATCAATTCTGACCAAGACATCATCAGCGCGGGGCAGCTCCGGGCACACCAGAAATATTTTTGCGTGTGCTAAATTTACTGTCCCTTTTAATGTCGAGGATTAGTAAATCAAGACCAAAGACGACCCCCAAAATCCAATGATGAGGGTCGGCAGTGCCAGATGGGCTGGGAGACGTCTGGTGTCAAAAGACAGCACCCAAACGATGAAGCAATGCAAAGTACTCCGGTCGAAATCCAGCATACATGTACCATGAGGGTACCATCTTGACCGTTATAGAGTACATTGATTCGAAGCCCGCGAACTCACCAACGCGGATGCATGGCTTCTTTCAACCCAGTAAAGCTGGAAAGACAATGGAATAGGTCTGGGCCATTTTCAGAAGGAAAAGGTTGTTTGGCTTCAACAGCAAACATATCTGAATATAGCGTGGCTTAGGGCTAAATGGAGACTAGACGTCTTGGTGGATATTGTAGTCATGGATCCGAATTTAGCCCCATCAATATGCTCTGGGCATTTGAATCCAGTAGTATCCTGGGGGTAGAGCGCAGCATTGGTTGATGTTGCTTGTGCTCATGCCTCTACGCTTTCGAGGGTGGTGCTTCTAAGACTTGACAACTTCTTTCTCCAAAAAGGTATTCTTGTCCTTGACAGCAACTGTAGCGACATGGTGATCGTCTTACCTCCCGAGCAAGGAATCTACAACGACTATTCATAACGATCTCTCGCCAGACCCATATGCAGGTGGTACTCGGGTAATGCAAGGGTCTAAACTAGGATAGCTGAGGACCATCTCTGCATCTCGTTCCCTGCCCAGTATGTAAGCAAGGCCACGATATCCAACAATATCGCTCGTCAAAGGACGTCTCCTGCGCATACTGGAGACCAGCAACTACATGTATCAAATCCAAGTTGCTCTGTCAAGTCACATCAAGACTTGTCGCGTGCGCAAATCGACATGGAGAAAGTGCAGGGCCGAGACCGTATCCGGCGCGTTATAAACAAAGCTTTAATGACCTGGAATGCACTTGTGCACTATCATGTGTGATCGCTGCCAAATCACCACTCTAGAGTCACGTCTTTTGGTGGAAGTCACAGTATCCTCAACACGACATCTCATCATCTGTTTGGAGTGAAAAAGATTTGATACAACAGTGTCTAGTATCATTTGTCCTTGCGCCAAAGCATCTACATGTGTAGACTGAGCGAATCCCAATGTGACAATCTCGAGCCAACATGATACTGCCAGAAATAGCACAATGCTCATGTGTTCCTCTCGACGTCGAAGAGAGTCTGGCCAAAGGGGTTCGAGTGAGAGTCGCGGTACACGTAGTTGTCTAGTTGTCAAGACTTTCGAGATCGGGTCGCGCGGTCGCTTGGTTCGGATTTTTTTGGTGTTGGTATTTGCAAGCATGTTTATCGAGCACCTATCTCCTTTTGGCACTAACGGTCCACGCAATGCATCACAGGAAAACGTTTCGTTACATCCATTTTGTTCTGCCACCCAAGCCATCAGGCCAAACTTCCAGGCCGACTGAAGATACAAAGCCATGTCCATCAACGCCCAGTCATGATGTCTCGTAGTGTGTATTCGCCCGATCAATTCATCGTTTATTTCTCCTTCTTGGCCTTGGCACCCTTTACCTTGGCGGTACCACGGAGGGTCTTCTGGCGGTTCTTGCGCTGCTTGCCTGTTGGGGGAGTTGGTTATTGCACATCTTTGGTTCGGAAGACTTGGTCTGTACGTACGCTGCTGGCGGGAAGCTCTCTCGGGCTTGGTAGCGAAACCAACACGGACCTGCGAATTGATTAGCTCCATGCAAAACAAGAAACCGCACACCCCCAGAGTTCCAGCATACCAGACGGTATTGAGGCTCGAACTTCTTCATGGCCTCGGGCGAGTCGTAGATGAGGGCGAAACCGGTGGTCTTGCCACCACCAAAGTGGGTGCGCAGACCAAAGACATTGACCTGGTCGGGGGTAGCCTTGTACAGGCTGGAAAGCTGCTCGCGGAGGGTGGTCTTGGAGATGCCGGCCTTGCCAGGGTGGAGGACGTCACTGAAAATCAAAGGTTAGTTGTGGTTTCGGGAGGAGGGGATTCGCGTAAACTTGCACCACCATCTGCTTCTACACACACAAAATTCGTTAGCATTTGCGCCTGCGCATATGGAAACAGCAAACATACTCTACCCAGCAGAGGGTTGCGGATGAACTTCCGCGTGCGAATCGTGACGGCATCCATGGTGATGGCGTGTTGTCGACGGTGTGGTTGGGTGGATGGGAAAGTGGGAGGATGCAAAGTCTGGAGTTTCGAACTTGCAATTGATTGACAAGGCAGACAAAATCTTTTCAGATCGTGCGGCAGCTGGGCTGATTATACGCCAGCTGGCAGGCTTGGCCAGTCAGCTTGACCCACCCCGATCTTCGAAGCGGCCTTTGTGGGTCTTGAGCTCGTTCCCGCACCCACACCTCGGTGTGTTGCTGGGGGCCTATGCCGGGTTTAGCGCTTTCAATACGGACTGGGTTGATTGAGAGCTCGGTAGTAGTCCGTTTTCTCAATCTCTTGAACTGCGTACACTGGGATCATACTAGAGAGGTCCAACTTGTCCATCCGTCAGTAATAATACATTGATCAATACCTTGCAGAGTGTATCCACTCAGGTGTTGCTCATCTACGTACTCGGTCGGACAGCGCGAATATGCAACTAAGGGAGAACATCTTGCATTTGCATTTCCTTGAATTAACTTCTCTCTTGATCATTCTGTTACCGGCCTGCGAATAACTGGTTTTGCATTAGTATTATGCAAGCACACGGACACGTCAGTTTTGATGGCAATGGCATTTCAGTTACTCAGTTAATGGCACTTGGGTCATTGCTTTTTTGTAGTTACACATGAGGCAGGCTGGACTGCACGTACTGAAACAACAAATGCCGCCATTTGCAAAAAGGAACAGAGGTATCAGGTCTAATCTTTGTCTTTGCCCCTGGTTTATTCAGGTTCCCAAACACAAGTGGTCGGGTTGACTTGAATCAAGGGCGGAGACATTGATGCTGCTCCTTCTGCATACACTAATCTCGCCAAACATGGAAACCTATGGGCCTCTCATGTCATCGAATGCAACTCATGTGTGTTTTAGCTTGTCGAGGTTGGTGTCTCTTTATTCGAACCCATCCATAGTCTCGGGGCATAGACGTTCACCTTGTCATGCAATGTAATGATGATTGTTCGAGTGAAATTGGACATGATCCCCATACCACACGCGCAAAGTGTACTAGGGAATAATGTCACTCACCGCCACTCTCTATCATGCATATTCCTCTACCAACACTCAAGCATCGGGTCACATCCCGTGGCTGCCGATCAAGAAGCGCAAGGCGCCGGTCCGAGGTCAACGCACAAGGATACATGGTACAGCCAGAGTCCCAGCAAACGGGGCAGAATGCCCCCAGAAGTAACCCTTGGAGCATGATAACATCTTATTGCAGGGTTCAGTTGGATCCGTGATGGAAATTGACAATTAGAATAGTAGAATGGCGGAGTTCGGAATTCAGGATACAAAACCAAACTTTTGTGCCACCTTCCAATCTGGTAGAGGCGCAGGACATGACAGGGGACATGTGGAAGCTTGTTCATGTCGGATGCTGCCATGATCAAAATGGTAATCAGGCAATATTCCCATTTGTGACTTGTCAGTAGTTCAAAGTATGTACATTGGCTTTTCCCGTCTACCGCGGCTCCCACCATGGCCCAGGCTCAGGATTGTGTCCCTGAAAATGACACCATGTTGGTAATCACCTCTCCAAAGACTACGCACAGTTTCACTACCAACGGATTCCTAAATGCCTCGCAACAAGGTGGAGCAAAGACATTGTATCGTGTATACATCTCTCGCTCCGTCTGCCACTGAAAGAAAGTTTTGCTCCGCAAAGTAAACAGGTAACCGTACGGGATGCAGGGGTCTGAGGGGAATTTCTGCTTGCGGAAGATATCGCCGCTACCTGGCGTAGGAAAGTCATGGCGAAATCGCAAATTTCAAGATTGAACATGCGAAATTTGTATCTAGTAATAGGGAAGTCGTACACAAGCCCAGCGCCATCGTGGAGGTAACTAGTCTCAACTTACAAGAATGTCACGATGACTGAGGCGGCCAGGGCTTGGGGTTTTACAAGACTTCGATTACGAGATTGATATGAACATATACATGACCACCAAATGTATGAACAACTATTTGTATGATTTGGACCATGGTGCAAGACCGAAAGTCAATCAAGTGCTACTCGCGGTTTCTATGCTGGAAACAGCGCGGTGCCAGTTGGGTAGCAGCACTTTTTGAATCGAGAAAATCAGACAAATTCAAGCTATTGATTCTTGAGCTTCCATGAAAATTTTGATTGAAACCATAAAAAATCAGACATCCAGCCCGTCAAGATCGTGTGCTCGCCAAGTATGTACTATGCGTATTCCCAAGATAGCCAACATGGACGCCGCAAACAACCCGGCGAGTCACTCATTATGGGGTCTTGTTTGACCGAATATTTTATACTTTGGGCGAAAACCAATCACTTTGTCCGTAACATCAGTTACGAATATAATCTGGAAACTAGCCAGTTTCATTCATATAAAAGCTCGTGGCTCTGCTAATATGTAGCAAGCTTGACGAGGCCAGCTGGCAGCAGCTGCGGATTGCTGACTTTGGCGTGATATGCATGTGCTTGCACTGCTGCATGCGATCATGCGAGCAATCACCACTGTTGTGTTCCTTGCAAAGAGCATATCTTTACGATAATTCGGGATGAGGTTCCTACTCGAGCTTGTCTGATCCATTTGTCGACGAAATCTGTTGCAAAATGGACGGATTACCCTCCTACGAGGAGGCTACAACGCTGCCACACTGGCTTCAGCTGGCTGCCCCATATGTACCCATGGCTGACTGGCGGCGATGCTGCCTTGTCAACTCACAATTCCACGAACAATTTGCTTCTCGACTCTGGCTGGACCCGCTCGTGACTGCAAGAGCACATGGTCTGCATCCTAATGATGGTGAGCATGGCCTTGCCATTGTAGTCATGCAATATTCGCACAGGCGCTCTACGTGATTGCTCTTGTTGCTAACGCTTGGTAGACCTCTCTTGGTATCGAAAGTTCATCAATGTTCATCTCAAGTCGGTACGACCAAGTACACGTGCATTGGTTCGATCGCTTGATTTCCGAGACTTTGCCATCGTGGCCTCTGGGCTCTATTCATCAGATGCAAGTGAGAGGGCCATTTCCGAAAGTCTCAAAGGTTTACCGACGTTATTTCCAAACTTGATATGCTTGCTCATTGCTGGGCATCCTGAAATCAACTCCGAGTCACTTGTAGCGACTCACACGGAAGAAGCAAAAGGTCAGGTTCAGACGGCGCTGCAAATGCTCGACCTTGCTGGCTGTCTGCACCCACTTACAACTCGGATGTTTCGCTCTTCTTTTCTTCGGGACCTCGTTTACCTGGATATCTCATTTCTTCCTGGATCTGTAGGTACTCTCGTGCAAACATCCTTGAATCCAGAATTTGTGCCAGAATTACGGATACTCAAGGTGAGGAGTCGAGAGATGGATGATGCCACTGCTCACCTTTTGCTTGAACGTTTCGGGAGACAGCTCTGGAGTCTAGACATTTCCGAGAACAAACTAACCGATGCTACAATTGAATCACTAATTGAGCACTCCTTTTCTGAACTTACATATCAGTCAGATCAACATTTCAACGTCGAGGGCAAGCTCAAGAATGATCGCTCATGGGGTACCAGGGAATTCGGGCCCTTTGAGTCAATTTCCGAGTCAAACGAGAGCTCTTCGTTCACTCATCGGATGCGCTACGTGCCAGATGCTCCACCTTACCATTGCCATGCTGGCCAGCAGGACTTGCAGGAGTGGCAGGTTGTACGTTTGACTGGTGTCGAGAGTCGGATCAATGACAGTGCTGCGGGCGTCCTACAGTGCCTGCTTGATGACGCTCTGCAGCCCGTACCCGAGGCAAGAGGTGCTGCATCGAGCATTCGTCAAGGCAGAGGCGGTTTGACACATCTCTACCTGAATGGCAACCGCTTCACGTCGGCTGGAATCCAAAAGTTGCTTCGATGCGTCAAGGGACAATTACAGCACTTTGAATGCGATTCCTCACGGCTTTCATGCTTGGTTCCCGATTCTCGTTCCTTGCCGCAGGTGCATGGTCTTTTCGGTCTCTCGCACCTATTTCGACCAGTCTTTGCGTCAAATCTTCGATCCTTGAGGATCCACCATTCGGCTGTCACGTGTGTACCGAGACTTGAAGCAGACTGGCTCCCGCCACGTGAAGCTGCAATACAGGCAGAAAGGGTATTCCGACAGCACATCCAAATGGCGTATCCGTGTGCTTTTGTTCCAGACATGAATCCACGCATTACCTCACTGACACTGACTCAAATTCCTGCGCGCTCTTCTGGCCCGCTCATTCGGGCAATCACGAGATTCCTCGATCTTGCATCTGACCAGCAGCTTGCAATGAGGGAATCAAATACCAATGCAAACCGGCGTGACTCGGCCAACCTAACAGGTCTTTGCCACATTCGTTTGGAACTATTGCACGATCATGCTAGAGACTTGACAGATGTCTTGTCTGATGAAGGTGTGGATTTTGACCAGCTTCTCGATCCTGTCGCGCCAGGCGAAGGTCAGGGCGAGGCATTTTGGTGGGACCATCCCAAGCACAAGCTACGAGCGCACAGCGTCAGCAGCAAAGTTTCTTGTGAAGCTCCAAACGCAAGTAGTGTCGACAATAATCCTGTAAATGGCGACGAGCTATCCGTCATACCGCAAAGCAGTGGTATTCGGCACAACAAACAAGAGGAATACGTGCATTGTAGAATCGATGCCGCCGATTCGTGGACTGGCAACATGTTTACGGTTCCGGTATGGGTTGGTTGTGGCGTCGTTGGACCCTCGCCGGCTCTCAATGAATACATGTCCAATGTATTGGACTCTAGTTGCCGAAAGAATATTGGGCCAGCCATGCCCGATCAAATCGCCGCTGGTGTGCCTCCAGGATCCTACATCTTTCATGATGCCTGGACCATGATGGTCTTGCCCACCAGTCTCCGAAAGTTGGACGATGAATCAAAACGCGATCCAATGGATTGTGTTGCTACTGCGATCAAGGAGTATCGACAGAAAACAAAAGGGACAAACAGGCACTGGAATGGTAAACTTGAGCTGCTGAGAGTGGCATAGAGCATCTCAGTGAGACTCTGACCCATGTTGATGTTGTTGCGAAAAGGGCCGTCCTGATCAGACGTTAGTGGGTAGTGGTAGCAATGTAGATTCATTATGGGACGGTGGATAAGCTCGACGGGTATCTCTACAGTATTAAACCAAACCAGGACTAGTGCAACCTCAGGTTCTGGGGTCGTAGAGACACCTCGGCTCGTGAGACCACTTCCCCACATTCAAGCTTCCCCAGACTTCAGCCAGGGCGAGGTTGTCCGGGGCTGGAAGCTGGAACTTCCTCGCCGGCTTCCGAAGTCTTCATCAGACAACGAGCTTTTTTTTCCTCTTTGCCATTGATTACGAGCGTCTTACTTTTGCGTGGAGTTCAACATGTCAGACAAGGCCAGACAGCGGGTGGAAGCGATTGGCAAGCAGCTCGCGCCCGTACGGAAAGTCGCTGGCGCATCGAGCGGGCCACGGCTGCAGGGTAAAGTTGCCATCATCACGGGTAAGCTCGCCGAGTAGAGAGGCACAACGTCACGGGTTTCTCTGGTAACATGAGCTGATATATTGTCTGTACAGGCACGAACTCGGCGCTGGGCATTGGCCGCGCGACCAGCTACCAATTTGCCGAGAACGGAGCGAAAGCAATCTACCTCTGCGACTTTGACAATAGCAATCTTGAATCGCACAAGCGTGATATCAGTGCGGCGTTTCCCAATGTCCAAGTTCACATACGCCAGTTCGATGCTGGGAACGAAGAAGCCGTCAAGGAAGTAGTTGGCCATGCCATCAAGACATACGGTAGACTCGACGTCTTCTTTGCCAATGCCGGCATCGTAGGCAAGCCTGTACACTTCAAAGATGTGGAAAAGAGTGAATTTATGAAGGTCATGGAGACCAATGCTGCCAGGTTTGTCCACAATTGACAAATCCATTGCCGATTGACATTGCTGACCACACTTTGCCGCAGCGTATTCCTGGCTGCAAAACACGCTGCGCCGGCCATGATGAAAACCTCGGATGAGAAACCTGCGCCTTGGGGAAGCATTATAGGCACTGCATCTGTCGCGGGTATACGGTCTAATGCTGGCCCTACTGCATATTCTGCAGCAAAGGCAGCCGTTGTATCGATTGCACAGACATGTGCATACCAGCTTGCCGGCACCAATATTCGTGTCAACTCGATATGTCCTGGCCTGATTGAAACGGGTATGACGGCGCCAACTTTTGAGACAGCGAGGGCTCGTGGGACTGAAAAGAAGATTGGTCAATTGAATCCTCTAAAGAGAGGTGGCAACGCTGACGAGATTGCACGTGTTGCCTTGTTCCTAGCCAGTGACGAAGCAAGCTATGTCAACGGACAAGCGTGGGCAGTGGACGGTGGACTTAGTGCAGGTCATCCTTTCGTACCGGGCAAGATTGCATAATAGGAGATGAGCGACTGTCTAGGCAAATCCAAGACGAGATGAACTACCACGTCGAGTGACCGAGAGTAGGCATTTCCGGCGTATGAACACACATTATTCGGCGCAACCTCTTGATGCATTCGCATGACCGAGGCTTTTGTCGATTATTTCTCATCTCTGACTAACCATTTCAACTTTTCTGTCGCATCTCCACAAGGCATGCTGCTCTGTGGAGTTGATATCACAAAGTAAACGCAATCAATCATTTTCAACAGTTTCCCCGGCGTCACGCTTCATCTATTTCCACCCAGTTTCGTCGCCAGGCCAGGTTTGTTTCCACCTACCCGCATACGTAATTACCTTGGCTCTCCTTTCGTACATTCTTCTCGCTTGGCTGGCTGCATTTCACATGTTGACTGTGGACCATTTTTGGAGTTGAATGCTCTCTGATAGCCAGGGCTCACAAATACACCGCGTATGATTGGATTTCATAATGGCTTGGCAAAATGATCGTCGTTTTCAATTGCCATGGTATTTAGTAGGACGCGCAAGAACTAACCAGGGCCATGAATGTTCTGGACTCTGCATGAGATGCCACGGGAGGCAATGCCGGAGTGGCTATACCACACATCTTATGCACAATGCTAGAGGGTTTGTGTGGGTAGGCCTGGCTTCCTACGCTTGCCACGTTGTGTGCTCACAAAAGCTCCTATTGCAACATGGCAGGTTTACTGAAACTACTACTCTGCAGCCAAGAAAGATGTCCCCCCTGGGCCCCAAGGATACCCAGTCCAATCCGGAGAGTCGCCGAGGGAGTCTGCCGAAGAGTTGCGGCTCTTGTACCGGTGCCTCAGCCTTGGCGTTTACTCTATCCCCGGAAACTAAGCAAAGCCGCGTAAGCTCTCCCACTTCCCTAAGATCGCTGTAACTGTAATTCAACTACAGCCTCAGGGTCTTCCGGACGCCTACCCCGGAGTCGTCCAGTCTATCCGTCCACCAATCGTGAAGCCATTGTCAACGTTATTTGCAAAGCCTAATACCTTATTGGCGAGCTTAATGCCCCTAAACATTGTAAAAGTGGTCATCTCACTCTTGGTTCCATCCACAATGCCAACCCTTTTCAGTGGATTTTGCTATATGTCGCCTACAGAGGGCCGCGCAGACCCTTGTGTGAATCCTATGCCATCATGGGAATGGAATCTGTTTTGACAATCGTCATTAGATGTTTTCCTGGCGATTACAGGATTATGAGGGCGTCTAGCAATATGCAACCACGGCGGCTGTGGTGCCGTGGACTCACATGGTTGAGTTCCGAGCAACTTGTACAGGGACAATGATTTACAAGGTTGAGCATGAGCAGGATCGGTCACGATTCGAGTTCATGTTGAGAGGAACAAGTATAAAGTGACCCCGTCTCGCACGACTTGACGATTCCTCTGTTTTCTTACCCATCCCGCATTGGCTTCTCATTCCTTTACCTTTTCATTTGCACTTTTGCTTTCCAGCACCATGGTCAACTTCCGCAACTTGGCAGCCTCACTGGCCGCGGCCTCGGCCATTGGCTCCGTCGTTGCTCACCCTGGCGAGGTTCACACTCCCGAGGAGGTCAAGCGTGAAATCGCTGTCCACAAGGCCCAGCAGGTCAAGGCTCGCCGATCCCTGGCCGAGTGCGCCAACTCTCCTGCCGCCATTGCTCTCAAGGGGCGTGCCGTTGCCCGCCGTGCTGCCACTGCTCAGAAGCTCCGCGAGCAGCGTGGACTTACCAAGAGTAAGTGCAAGCCAGGAAGATGTTCCATGTATCACTGGCTAACATGTCCCAGAGTCTCTCCAGTCCAAGCGTGACCAGACTGCTTTGGAGCAGTGGAGCGCTGTTGACCATGATGTTTCCAGCACTGGATACACTCTGGACACTCCCCTCGCCACCATCTTTGACTCCAACTCGACCTGCGCTCTGGTCCCCGAGGTCACCATTGGTCCATACTTTGTCTCTGGCGAGCTGATTCGAACCGACATTACTGACGGCGAGTCTGGTGTTCCTCTGCACCTTGACCTTCAGTTTGTTGACACGTCGAGCTGCACTGCCGTCGAGGATCTCCTGATTGACATTTGGCACTGCAATGCCACTGGTGTCTACTCTGGTGTCTCTGCTTCGGGACAGGGCGGTCTCGACACGACCACTTTCCGTGGTGTTCAGGCTACCGACACTGACGGTGTTGCCCAATTCGACACCATTGTCCCTGGTCACTATACCGGCCGTGCTGTTCACATTCAGTAAGACTAGTCACTTTTCTTGTCATACACGGTAATGAATTTGCTGACGCGGCCCTACTATAGCCTTCTGGCCAGCGCCGACGACACTATCCTCTCCAACGACACTTATGAGGTCGGCTCTGTCCGCCACATTGGCCAGCTGTTCTTTGACCAGTCCCTCATCACCGAGGTCGAGGCCACTTCACCTTACAACACCAACACACAGTCCCTGACGGAGAACACCAGCGATGGCATCGCTGCCGAAGAGGCCACCTCCGACTACGACCCCTACGTCGACTACGTCCGCCTCGGCGACTCCATCGAGGATGGTCTTTTGGGCTTCATCACCGTCGGCATTGATACCTCTGCCGACTACATTGACTCGTACACTCCTGCTGCTCACTACGAGGAGGGCGGTGGCGTCGACACTGGAAACAGCGGTGGCGGTGGTGGTGGTGGCGGCGGTCCTCCTTCTCGCAAGTAGATGGATCAAACGTTTTGATTCATTGCAGAATGACGTGATCTTTACAGGACAGGGTACCTAGGTGGTGAGATGTTCCTGTGAGGGACGAAAACAAAACTGTATATTTACTTTCTTGTCCATAGCTTTCCAAAGCAATACTGTCGTTACCGCCCATGAGTTCTCCGCATATTTAGTATGCAATGTGAAAGCAAACCGGCAAAGTTTTTGATTGTTTTCAAGACTGGCTCGAGTTGTATTATGACGTCAGCCGCAGCTTGTCTTTGATGAACATCTACCTGCGTAGCTAGCCCCTTTCTGATTGATCATGGTCCTGAGCTCATTCCGTGATTCCTCTTTGGGAGGGTTTGTGGAGTGTATAGTCTCGAATTAAGCGAGCCCCGATTTTGTTTCCACGAATCAGCACCGATTCTGAGGACTATTACCCAAACACCACTTCAAAGCCATATCATAAATGATTGAAACAATGGAAAATGTAGGGCTGCTACTGCGCGGGGACTTGGAAATATTCTCCGAGCCGATTTCTAATTTCTTGGCGCACGAATGTCAAATTCATTTCACGACCGAGCACATGTTGGCGTTCCTGTGAAAGCCGTAGACTTGTTTGTATACTTGAACAAGAAGCCGAGTGACAATGATGGCCTTCAAGACGTTAATCACATTCGGATTCCTGGCCGCGACCGCGCTGGGCGTGTATCCCTTGGCGCGACAAGATGATGAGCCCTCACTTCCTGACCGTCAGCCATTTGGATTCGCAGAGCAAGTTACCGGTGGCGGGAATGGCACAGTATACATTGTGGAAAGCATGATGGATCTACGGACAGCTCTGACTGCCGCGGAGCCACGAACTGTCTATGTCAAGGGAGAAATCAAGGGCAATCAAATCAATGAGTCCACGTACGGAGACTGTCAATTGTACATCGATACGAGCAGCGTTCCACAGTACAACTTTACCCTGTACGTCATGTCCTTGAACTCGACGTATACAGATTCCGTCAAGGCAGCTGTTGCTGCCAATGAGACCTTTGAAGGACGAAATGCTACCGAGTATCTGGCGCTTCTCAACAAGCAGAATGTAAGCATGGAAATCCTGCCTGGTATTGAACACGGGTTAATTGCTCGTAAATCTAGGGATGGCGCGGAACAGCGCAAAACGTTCAAAAGTCGTGGGAATCCATCGGCGTCGAGGGAAATCTCACCTTGATCGGCTGGGACTCGGATGCATTCCTCAATGGTGTCTCCCTTGTCTTCAACGTCCAGTCCAACATTATCATTCGCAACCTGCGCATGGTCCCACCCCGAGACTGCTTTCCAGCTCCAGAGACATATCCAAACAGCTGGAATGCGCGTTATGATGCCATCAGCGTGGTGACCTCCAATCTCATGTGGATCGATGGCAACATTTTCGAAGACGGTACATCGGCTGTGGCTCCGGAAGAGTTCATCTGGGGATGGCAGGTTGACCGGTACGACGGTCTGGTTGATGTCGAAGATGGAACAGACAACATGACCTTTTCTCACAATATTGTCGCCAACCACCATAAAAGCCTCTTATGGGGAGGAGGAGAAAAGGAAGGGCCCAGAGATATTGGCAAGATGCATTTTACAGTCTACGGCAATCACTTTGTCAACTCTCTCAGCCGCAACCCTTTAATGAGGTTTGGTACCTTTTACATTACCAACAATGTGTTTAGCAACTATAACAACAAGGAACCGTTGTTTGACTCTACGTCGACCGCATCATTGCATCGAAGGAATGATACTTATACACCCGACTTTCAGTACAACATGGGTATCTATAACATGTAAGTCGGTTGCATTACACTCAAGGCATATACCGAGTCTGACTGCTGCACAGGTCGTCCGTGCTTGTATCGGGCAACTACTTTGATCAGTCTGGTTCGGATCCAGATGATCAGACTCGCATCTTTACCTTTAACGACCTGGCCACGCCAGAACTTCCCGCTACCTTTTGCTCGCCGCCCGACTTGTCAGCCGACCAAGCCGCGCTCTATCCGCAGCTGGGCAATCTGACACAGCTTGCTTCGTCGTTCAATGGCCAGCCTGTGAACCTGACAGACAATGTCTTTCAGACATTCGAGTATTACATCAACTCCAAGACGGACTCGGTCGCAGGCGGTCTCGTGGAAGGCTGTGCCAATTTCGAGGCACAGGCTTTGCCTCAAACCTTCACAACTTCAGATGAGGTATTGGACTATGTGACCAGTAATGCCGGGCAGCTTGGTCGCACTACGCCTTGACGCAAAGCCAAGCGAACCCCCAATGTATATTGGCAATGGCATCATGTCATCACCCCGGTTCTGTATGGTTAGATACAACACCTGGTCTTATTACAGCAATTGTCAATGCAGACGTGAATCTAAAATGGATTAAAACAGATCTATTGTACAACCTCCAAAGTAAAAGTGACTCCCTCCAACTGCTTCTAGTCTGTGATTCTATGCTCTATGCATGGAAGCCGTGTGGAAATGTTGGAATATTGCCCAACTCTCCGGCAGAAACTCTAGAGGCGCATACAATGCTTGCAAGGAGAAAACCTGCAAACCCATCCTACGCCCAGTCTAAATGCATCAAGAACAAGACAAAGAAAAGCATCCTCTCAAAGCAGCCTGGACGTTATGCTGCCATCGAATTGAGAAGCCGGGGGTGATGACGCGTGGCAGTCCCAGCAGCGCCTTGTTCATATCAGGCGTACCAGTAAGGTCGTCGTATTATCTTATCAGTCGATTACATCCTCTTCACCATTGCGCGTCCCCTTGAGCTGTGGATTGCCGTGAAATAGCTTATTTGCCGATCTCGACACCACCGGTGGCACCAAGAGCCTTCTTAATGTCACCGTAGATGGCGAACTGACCGGCGGTCAGGGTACCAACCATGACCAGACGGGCACCGATACCACCGTACGAGCCCTTGAGACCAAGCTCCTTGGCAATCTTGATCAGACGGCTGGTGGTGCCCTCACCGGGCAGACCCTTGGTCTTGTTGATCTTGGACAGCATGGTGTCGGCGGGCTGGGAAACGAGAGCGGCGGCGAAACCGGCAATCAGACCAGAGCCCAGGTTGACAACGGTCTGCTGGCCGTCGGAGAGGGTGTTCTTGGGGTACTTGCGGAAGACGGCCTCGGCAACCTTTTCGTACACGACAAACTTGGCCATGGTGTAGGGAATCCTAAATGACGAGTTAGCTTTGCGGTTTTCAGTAGGCGTTGCTTGTCTAGACGTACTGCTTGAACAGGATGGGACCGAATCCGGCGTAAAAGGCACCGGCACCCTCGTTCTTCAGCATCTTGCCGAAACCAGAGACGAGACCGCTGGCGTAGGTAGGCTCGGAAACGAGACGGATACGGGTAGCCTCAAGAGGGCACAGGGCAATGTCGGCAAAGAACTCGGCGCAGGCAGAGGAGGCGAGGTAGACGAGAGTGCGGTTGTTGGAGGCAGTCTCGTAGCCAAGGGTGTTAATGGCCTGCTGCTTGAACAGTTCGTAACCACCGAACTTGAAGGCGCCCTGGAGGAAGTAACCGGCAAAGGTAGGACCGGCACCGGTCAGGAGAGCGCCAGCACCCTCATTCTGGATGACCTGCTTGAAGCCACCGATCATACCCCGGTTGTAGGTCTGGGGGTCGAGCTGAATTCTTGTCTTGACGCTGGAAAGAGAAGCATGTTAGCGACGTGGGCTCGAAGCGAATGATTATGGCGTCATGCGTGAAAGAGTCGCGTCGCTGCCGCGTCCATTGAGCAGAGGCGGACAAGAAATCATCGCGACCTGCCAATGATTGATGGACGCGTTGGCTTGATGACCAAGACTCCCGAGCCGTGGCCGGGCTTTTCCCAAGTTTCAACATCAAGGCGAGGAATTGGCAGACGCGGTGCTGACGGGCGCGGGCGCGTTCGTATGATTGAAATAACATGATACGTACACATCGACGGGGGTGAGACCACCGTGGGTGATGGAGCAGCAGATGGCACCAGCAAGGGCGAATCTAGAGTAGAGAGCGAGACCGGTAGGCTTCTCGGGGGTGTTGGCCTTGACGGTCTCAACGGCAGCTTCAATCTTGCCAGACATTTTGACGGAAGTGAGAGGATGCGATGAGAATTGACAAAAAAAGACTGAGTGGAGAGTTGACGACAGAGAAAGAAGTCGTCGGCGCGCAAGGGAAACAGAGGATGGTCAATGGACAAGAATCCTCGTAATGAAAATGGAGGTTGTAAGTAGAAACTTTTTTGTTTTTGTTAGTTGCGGCTTTTTGAAAGAGACGGGCTGGAAAACTTGACACTGCTTGGATCGCCACTAGAGCCTTTAGTTACTCTCAATTCACCGCATGCTTTGAGTTCTGCCGGCGTTGCCGATACTTGAACTTTTAGCTCTAGTAGGAGAATGCCGATGTGCTGATGCCGAAAACGTCACAACACCGCTTCCGACTGATCAAAGACCGCCTGCGCGTCCGAGAGGCAAACTGACAATGGCAATGACTATAACATGAACACGTGACAAGATTGCACTTTTGCTCATCTTGGTCATTCTCCAATCATTTCCCCGCCTGAAGCGCGGCTGTCCCTATCCGTTGTAGGTCCTCAGTGGTTAGGGGTTCCGTCTCGAACCCATTTGCAATCTGATGCAGCATACCCGCAGCGATTTCCACGAGCGACAGGCTAGGAAACATATTCGTGACTCGCAAAAAACCGCCTAGGACCGTGTGCAGCACACCGTCACCAATAATCAGGCCTGGCTTTGCAACGGCCGCTTCCCAGCCGTTTTTGGCGGCATACTCGAGAACCATGTTTTCTGTTTGACCCTAATATCACTCGCATCAGTCTTGAGCCCCTATGAGAGGAGAAATACTGGAAGTATAGTCATCTTACGCGCATCAGGCCATAGTCGGCCATGAAACGGGGCTTCTGGGTCTGATCTCTCGGTGCCGCAGCGCCGCTCATGTAAAGAAAGCGAAATGGCTTGTTGACGCCGGCCTCTTGTATGGCTTCCATACCAGTCAAGGTGTTACTCTGGCAGACTCTCTTCACCTCATCCCAAGGCAACGACCGCGATCTCATTGGCGTTATGGCCACTGTCCTAATGTGCAACAAGATCAGTATTGCTCGTCACTCGGTCCATATTGTTGAAATAACCTACCAGATGCAGCCATCCGCGTCTGCTAGCTCCTGCTTCACGTCTTCTGAATACTCGCCATAGTCTTTAATAATAACATTCTTTAGTCTGCTCTGGTCGATGCCTTCTTCAAGGTCCAAGGGTTTACGAGATAGTGCAACGATGGAGGTGAATTGATTCGATTGCAAGGCTTGACGGACCACTGCAGAACCCACGAGTCCAGTTGCGCCGGCGATGATGACCTTCATATCGACTACCTGGCTTCTAAAAGGAGTAGGTGCTTGACTACCTAATTAGACGCGTTGTCAAGACGAGTGTTTCGTGGAAAAGAAAGGTTCAAAGTGGAATATTGTAATCCAAGGTCTCTCTTAGAAAAAGAAAAGAATTGATACGCAAGTCAATGAGGCATGTTCTGGCAGACGCTGTTGATAAATACAAATATCAATGGCGGTTTCGCATGGAACAGCGCTTAGCCCCGAGGACAGGCCTGAGCAATTGACGGACGGCGTTAGCTGCATGACAGTCTGACGGGGGAACAATTGGCCCGGCGCTGCGGCACGGAAAAGGCGAATCGCGAGCAATCCTGCAAATCCTCAGAATGTTCTGTTATAACCCAAGTACTAGCTCAAATCTATCAACTTCCACCTTTGGCAGAACAACAACTTTACAGCTCCCAACCGGCAGACTTTGCGATTCTTTCCAACAAGCGATGGGTCTTTGTTGCTGACTCGAATGTCGCCTCTAGCCCTTGGCCTTCAGCAAAGCTTTGGTACAGCCTGGCAGTATTGGTTCCGGGCTGCTCTACCATGGAAGCCGGTGAAGTGTCAAGGTCTTTCAAATCAATCTCCTGAAAACCAGTTTCCTTGCCCTTCTTCAGCCTCAGTGACCAGTCACTAGATCTCCCGTGCAATCCAAACTGCCAATGTCTTTCCGGTGCTGTAAGCACCAACTCCCCATCGGTTCCTGTAATGATCCAGCGAAACCCAACTTCATCGGCAGCTGCCTTGGGCTTCCTGAGAGACAAGGAAGATACAGCACCATTGAGCAATATTCCTTGAACAAATATATGATCAGGAGATGACTTGGCATGTGCCGGGTCGAGCACCTCGCCAGTGGAGGGGTCGATGACGGGCACCGTGGTGTACTGTGACTTGAGCAGACCTTGGACGTCGGAAAAATCTCCCAAGACATGAACAAAGGTGTCGAGGACTATTGATCATTAAAGTTAGCTCCTTTTTCTTTTTGACATGGACTGGCAAATCAGAGTCTCACGGTGTCCGAAGAATATGGTGAATTCATTCCCACCGCTCTTGAAGTCGAGGTAATACTCGGCGCCATGAGGCCACATGTCGACGGGTACAGTGGCGGTACTGGCCGTGAAGACCGAGCTGACGATTCTCCCAATCTTATTGGAAGCAAGGACCTCCTTGAGCTTTAATATAGCGGGATCGGCTCGTGCCTGGAGTCCGACAATGGTTCGCACATTGTTTGCCGTTGCCAGTCGGGTTAGTTCTTCTGCCTCGGCGATCGATGCACCAAGTGGCCACTCCACAAAGATGTCTTTCCCTTTTTCCAGGGCTGGCTTGGCTAGGTAAAAGTGCTTTGCAACGTTTACACTGACGACAACGAGGTCGACATCGGGATCAGCTGCGATTTCGTCGGGCGAACCATATGCTTTGGTCTCAGCGGGCAAGCCGTGGTGCTCAATGGATCTTTTGGCCGAAGCTACGGTGGAATTTGCGACAGCGACAATCTCGTAATCGGCAAGGGCCTGGATTGGTCGAAGATGAGCCGTTATCCCCCATGTGCCGGCAGTCATGGGCTGCGTATTTGTACTCAATCCAATGAGACCAACACGAATCTTGGCCATTTTTGGTGAAGCTTGTGGAATATCTGTCTTGAAAGTAGGTATAAAGGTGATGCGATGAATCGAAGTGTACAGAGATGGACTTGAATACCATGGCTTCAAGTCCATCTTATATATTCTTAAATTCTCGGCGAGTGACCGGTACTCTACATCACAATTGTCTACTTGACAGGAGAGCACGACTTGCAAAGTCCGCGCACTCCGCGCAACTCCGCTGGCACAGCTCCGGATCATGAATAGGATCTGTCGATGCGACAACACCTGATTATTTTCTCGGATTGCATTCAGTACTCCTCAAGTACCCAAGTTATTGCGAAAAGTATATGGTTACTGCCAAATGACATGCGATGCCGCATGGCTATTACTCGAGGTTCAAAATATGAGCAGGGCAATTCATCAAGATGGATTAGTGCAGTATGCCCTTTCAAGAGTAAATATCGGATCTCGGCCGTCCACTGCATTACCAGTAAATTGAAAAAAAAATCCACCATGACGGAATCTTGGGACTCTTTTTCTTATTATGAGAAAGTTGGAGAATCGGCCGGCTTGTTATTACAACTACTGGCATCTATAGCGTGATTCTGTGAGCATGGTACCGGGACCCACTTGAACTCCGGCGCTAAATGGTGATTTGATGAGTTCCGGTCTGCTTAGAAATCGACATTCAGCGACTTGATGAGGCAGCATTGATGCTGGTTGCAGCTGCAGAGGTGACTCTATCGAATGAACATATTGACCGGATTTACTTGCAAACACTATTGACGACACATTTTGAAAATGCCCATTTCGCGACGGAAATCATGCTTCGAGTGTCGTGCCGCCAAGGCTCGTTGTAGCCGGGACCCAAACTGCTTCCGGTGTGTGGAACGCGGACTGAACTGCGACTATATGTTACCGCGGCCCACTCCATATTCCCGGCCGGCGGATGATACCCCCCCTCAAACCGGCTACATACGGCCGGGGAATGTGGATCAAGCGACCGTTTCCAATGAAGTACCTCTGCCGGCGGGCAATCCCACAAGTTCCTTTGACGTCGACCCCGAGCTCCCTCTAGAGCAATGGCCCAGCAGTGGGTGGCTGAGGGATAGTCCACTTGGCTCAGAACTTGGTGATTTGTGGCAGGAAGCCCCGACTCCCTTGATGCCAATGGGAGACTCATCTCAGAGAATCACTTCACAATTACTCGAAATGATAAATGAGGACCAGCCTGATTCTCGATTTGCGTGCTTTAAAGACTTGGACCAGCAGCAGCCGAGTCCTTTTGCGCAAATGGTCAATACACAGCTGGATGAGTCTAGCTTTGGCCGCAATCACGTATTTTCGATCCTTGGGAACAAATGTCGCACAGTATCCGGCACCCAGTTTGACATGCTGGCAAAGCCCAAGAGGGCAATCACCAGCAGCTCATTCCTAACGACACAGGTACTATTGAGTCAAGTCAGAGAGTATCCCAGCATGCTGCTGAGCGAGCGGTTACCTCCATTCATTTATCCCGACTGCGTCTTGAACGGTCAGCGCACAGACGCATGCATTGAAAACGGAATGCATGTTTGTCTGCCAAAGCCGTTGGCGATTTGTGCTACTGTAGTACAATTGTCATCCTCGAGGAACCGACAAAATAGCTCCTTTGTCACAAAGATTATCCTAGAAGAGCAGGGACGTCTAATGGATGGAGTAGGTTCAAACTTTTGCGTCTGGCCCCATGTTTGTTGGTGTTACCTCGAGTCTGACTCTTATTGAACACCTCAGGTCGAATCATTCGACACCGCGGCTCTCTTGGCAGCGACTCAAGCAAGCATGATATATGTTCTCCTTCAAGCTCAGCGCGCTTCCTCAGCCTCCAGGGATGAGCTCAAATTCATGATTAGCTGTCTTGTTGTAAGAAATCTCTGATTTGACTCTGCAATGGTTGGAGACTCACAGCTGCTTGGCAGGATCTACTCAGTCGCCTGCACGAGTCGAGTATATACCAGTCTGATATTTACTCAATCAAACCATTAAATGAACGAGAGTGGGCATTGCTTGAAAGCGTCCGAAGGTTTGTCTGGTTCCCTCAATTCTAAATGCAAGCCTCTCTAACCCATCACAGGCTGGCGGGTTTGCTGTTTGTGATTGAAATCGTTCTTGGGGTCGTGTTCGGACGAACCGACACGGCAAATTGTCCAGGCTTTGCCAATATTCCCTTGCCTTGCCCAAAGAACCTATGGGACTATGAAAGTAAAACATCATGGCCTTATAGAGTCTCAAGGTACACGAAATCTAGGTCAAGTGGAAGCCATCCAACCATATCCGATCTTGTCGCTGCCTCAAATTCGAGCGCAGATCTGCAGACCATTCCCCTCGAGAATCAAACGTTTGGAAAAGTAGTCGAGTGGTGCCAGGCTCTGGACGATCTCGGAACACTTGTCTGGATGGCCGTCTTGCTTGACAACTAATTGTCTGCAATCAAGGCTGTCTTGAGTGAACATGTAGGCATCTAGTAGATACCTTTGTCACGGCTTTTGAAGCTAGTGCGTACATTCTACATTTAAAGATTCTTATGCTTCTTATCCGTAATACCAGTACAAACGCCTGCCTGTCCCAAAGATGCTAAATGCTGCCAATTCCAGAATACGACTACTTAATCGAACACATCTGTTGCATATCGTTCGTTTCTCAGCTCAATCCACCACTTTCGAGCCTCTTCTTCAGATGCCTCGACTCCATCCAGCTCCCAACCTCTGACGCGCAGCTTGATGGCAACCTCCTCGACCGCAGCGCCAACCTTTCTAGACCCACACACGAATAGTTTGGCATTGTTCCTCCACATTTCGGCAATATCTTTCCTGTCGTCCCACATGGCATCTTGGACATACTTGTGCCCATTGCTCTTATCTGGGGTGCGAGAGAAGGCATACTTGACCGTGACCGCGCCAATCTTTTCCCACTGCGAAAGCTCCTCGGGGTACAGGTCATCGCGACCCGGTTCTCTGCACCCAAAGTACAGCGTCAAGGGTGCCACCTTGCGCCCAGCCTCGATGAGAGCTGCGCGCTCCTGAATGAAGCCTCTGAATGGAGCCAAGCCCGTGCCGGCTGCCACGCAGATCACGGGAGTCTTTTCGGGATCTTGAGGAAGGTGAAACGACGAGTGCGATGGCCTGACTGACACGTGAAGTTTGTCGCCGGGCTGGAGGCTGTTGAGGTATGATGTGGCGACGCCGACGTGTTTGCCTTGGCCTGATTTGGAGGGCTCCTCAAGCAGGGAAAATGTGAGGGTCACGTTGCGCGAGTTCCAAAGTGGTGACGAGGAAATGGAGCTGAACATTATTAGCAGGAGTCCTCGGTTGATTAAGAGGAATAGGAATAGCTCACTATTGCCTAACTCTCATGGGCGGCAAGCAAGCAAGGAATGAACCCAGTGGTAGCTTGACAGACGGGTACTGCTCCAGGAGGTCCAAGATGGACACCTTTTTATCAGAAACAGCCTCTTCAAATGACTCTGTAGCAAGTTTCTTCAATGCAGACTTGTCGTTTTCATCATTGGTTGCTTCCGAGAGAGCAAGAATGTTCTAATCGTTGGTCAGTACAAGGAATAGATTTTGTTGCAAGCACAGTACGCACCCTCTTGGTAGCAGGCTGCGCCAACTCGACGTAGGCACCAAATATGGTGCTCGCTGGGAGTGATGCATTGGTCGGCAGAGGAACATGACCGCCTGTCTCGATAGTGAGGTGCGAGTCCCACGGAAGCTCAAACTTTCTCATGACACGTGCCACAGTCTCCCTCGGGTTGATGGGCAGCACAGCCAGGTAATCTCCTGCCCGGTATGAAGTTTCGGACGGAAGCTTAATCTCGATATGCTTCTTCAATGGCTCGCCCTCTGCAGTCAACAAGCGGGTCGAGACAACCTCGGCCTCTTCTACATCGGCACGCAGGGCTGAAGTGCGAGGGGTCGACACTGAAACCTTGAGTGAGAGGCCTTGCTTGCCAGACTCTTGGTCAGTCGTTGTACCGTATTCCTTGGTCAGCGCTGGCCATAGGACATTGTCTTCCCAGGTCTCGAATGCGACAAACATGTCACCTTCACCAGCGTCAGCAGTGCCCATGCTTGCCAATCGACGTCCACCATTCTCGGTTATCTTTTCGTCGACCAGGTTTGGAATACGATAAAAGGTCTAGATTTGAAGATTAGCTTTCTTCAGTAATTGGCAGCCAAAAAGGTCACTTACCGATGCCCAGTCGCGGTGACCGCATCCGAACACGGCATACGAGACGCCCTTTAGTGTCGACTTGTCTTCGATGCTCTCGAGGTACGAGACCAGGTGTCGTGCATTGTCTGGAGCTTGACCCTCGTATGAAGCGGTGACGATAATGACTGGCTGGTCTGTGGGGAGATTTCCATTTGCTGCAGTGTCCATGCAATCGAGGGTGGTTGCTGTGAAACCATGCTGGGAGGCGTCGGCAGCAATTCGATGGGCCATTGCCTCGCATGTACCACTGTTGGAGCCATACAAGACTGTCATGGGCTTGCCTTGACCAGCACCCTGGACAGCTGCTGCAGCCTTGGCCTCTGCAGCCTGAGTCTCATCGGGCCCATGCCCGGCCAATCTCCTTTCCAGCGTTGTGGGTGTCAGGCCATCGCGCAAACTGGCTCGCATGTGGAATCCCAGTGGCTTGATAGTCAAGGTCTGCTTGTATGCAATGTTGTAACTTGGGTCGTCCATGACAAAGTTAAAGTTCTGGAGGAGCATGGCCATCACCAATAGAGCCTCCTGCCAGGCAAAAGGACGGCCGATGCAGCCTCGAACACCGTTGCCAAAGGGCTTCCAGGCGTTCTTTGGAAGCTTCTCAAACTTTCCATCGAGCATGCGCTCAGGCTTGAACTCGGCTGCATCTTCTCCGTAAACCTTTGGATCCAGATGCGACTTTTTGATCATCATTGCAATTTGATCATCCTTTGACACTGCATACTTTCCTCCAAGAAGTGTGTCCTCGGTTGGGCTCACCACAATCATTGTGATGGGTGACTGTATTCGCAGAGTCTCGCGCAAAATCTGTCGTTGATCAGCAGAGGACGCAGTGATAAAATCAAGAAAATACCTACAGCAGAGATATAGGGCAATTTTGACATGTGTTCAACCTATAGGAGACGTCAGCATTTGCTCTGATTGGCTACAACATGTGCAACCGACCTTGATTGGGCCCTTTCCAATAACGCTGTCAACCTCTTGTTGGGCTTTGCGATATTCATCTGGGTTTCTCAACAACTCGTAAAAAGCAAATGACAATAGTCCCGAAGTCGTTTCATGGCCGGCAATGAGAAAGGTGATCAGGTTATCGACAATGGACTGGTCAGTCATGTGGACTCCTGACCGCGGATCCGCTCCTTTGAGCATGGCAGCAAGCAAGTCTTTTCGGTCGCTCTCGCCAGCCTTTCTCTCCTCAAGCACCTCAAAGGCGGTCTTGCGGAGAACTTCGATATCGGAGAAGAACTTGGCCTCCTGATTCTTGTAGAACCAGGCCGGCAGAGGGGGCCGCCGTGTTCTCGTGCCAGCTTCGGCAAGAAAGTCACCCATGGCGTCAATAAATGGGTGGAGCTGGTTGGTGTAAAAGCTGTTGAAACGGAAACCCATGGCGCACAACGCTAGGGTATCCAGCGTCAACCTTGTGAAATCATCGGTAACCAGGAGCGGCGTTGACGGGCCGTAGCGAGCCCATTTCATGGTCAGCTGAATAGCAATGTCGTGCATTTCGTCAAACATGCCGCGAATGCTCAAGGGACCAAAGGCCGGCATGAGAACTCGGTGCGCAATGCCCCAGTTGGGCTCCTCGAGCTTTGCAGTAAAGAGGCCATCATTGACACCATTTCTGATCTGTTTCAGAACGCTGCCGGGTATCTTTTTGAATCGCTTCTCATCGCACAGCTCGTCGACCAGAGCATGCGTCGACACGACTATGAGTTTTGATCCTGGAAACTGAAGACGGTATATCTCGCCGTATTTGTCTGCAAGGCTCATGAACGAGCCAAGTGGAAACTCTTGGTCAACTGTGCCAACGTGACCCAGCAGTGGTAGAGCCGGTGGCTCTGGGATAGGAACAACCTCTGCCATGGCTGTGTTGATGAGGCTATATGTGTTTAGGTTTCAGGCTGTATCAACAAACCAAACCTGCAGTTATTGTACGAGGCGACGGGCCTGATTATATACTCGACGTTACGTACCTACACAGGTCATAGTTGACATCGTCAGTGGCTAAAAGAGTGGGACGCCGAGGATGATCGGTCGAGGCGGAAGCACGGCAGTACCAGGTACGCATGCCCTAATTAATGCCGCCCACGGCATTGGCTGGGGCCCGGAACATAGGGGTTCACGGTGGTCTTATGGAGCAAGCTTGCCTATAGAAAAGATACGTTAGGCAAGCATCCATGACTTTCATCTCTCCTTGCCCAACGGAGACCGAGTCATGGAGCAAATGCCAGAATAGAGGCTGTACAAAGTAATCAGGAGGATGAACCGGGAATTACTGAATTCCGTTGCCTGTTGTGCATGCACTACGTTGGTTGTAGGTACTGTAGCCACACGCGGGACATGTAATTGACCATACGACATTGAACGGCATTGGTGATCGCCAAGACTACCACACCTTAAACTTTAGCGGCCGTTAGCGGGCAGGGTGTCGCTGTCCATGGTGGACCTACAACGCCTTGCTGCCGAGGCTCTTGCCCCTTTGATAGGTACTTGTGTAAACAATAGAGGGAAATTATAGTCGGTGGTGATTATTGAAGTAGGACAATGGAGATGGAAAAGGCACATTGGCTCCAAACGATGGCCGATATCATAAGCTACAAGAACGAGCACAACACGAGGAGCGCAAAATTTGAAACCGCATGCATGTGTGCGTCCTTGATCGTGCCGTTTTCTCTCTATACATGGCCAATCGGCAGCGCCTGAGCTACTGCTGTAATGCGCAATTTCTGCAAAGCAAAAACGACGACATTCTAGAAAAAGGATACGTCAGCATGATAATTGTAGACATGCGATTCGTCCTCAAAATACTCATTGCCTTCGGATTTCGGGCGTCGGTTATCAAGTGCAAACTTGGCAGCAGAATAGGCGGGTACTATACTCCATATTATCCTCCAAGGGCCGCACTAAATAATCGAATAGACCGGCTCGAGTACCGAAGCAGCCACCAAGCCACCCGCCTACCTTATTATCATAGCACGGAGACAGTAAAAGCTAGATAGGTTGCTAGTCGGGCACATTTAGGGCTTCCTACTTCCATTTGAGTTCGTAGACGACATCCGAGTTACCTTGGCGGCGGGATACGAGACGGACTTGGGAAATTGTTGTCCAAAATTGCCTTTTGGTTGAAGCAGTGTTATCTGCGGGCCAGCCGAGTCCTCAAGGTGGGCATCTACTGTAGGATAATGTCATGTAACATATATGTTGCAGTATCCCTTTACCATTAGATGCTAATAAAGTGCTTAGCCCCTGTCCATCCCGGCAAAACTAAGCGAAAGCGACGGGGTTTTTAGTGCAAGTAGGCGATTGAGCCCTCTCTCCGCCCCGACAAACCCCGTCGGAGCTTATAAGCGACAATATCGCCGGCCAAGATAGGGTGTTTTCTGTGGCACGGCGACGCTGCCACAGGATAATCTTAGATCTGCGGTATCATTGCACCATCCCGATCAGTGACATGAGTTCCAAGAAGCTGGAATGACCATCTCTAGATTCCATCTTTGCATTCGCCTATCGTAAATAAATTACAATCCCTGTCAGGCGGCTCGCCCGCTAAGCACAAGCTGATCTGAAAAGAATACAACTAAATGTGACATGTACCGTTTGATCTAAAGTCAAACTGTGTCGCAAGATTTGCCCAAGAATATCTTCCACAGCAGTGGTAAACTTTGCACGAGATAGCATGAGGTGCACTGGGTGAGTAGGGATTAAACCTTGCATCCAAGTCTTGTATGTTTAGTTTATATATACAGATGTACCTGAGTATGGGTATCAACTAGGTAGGTATTCAAGTTTGCCAGCTCTCCATCCAAGATTAGTCCTTAGTTGGGTATCCCAGTGTTGCTTTCAGCGAGTGTATCTGCTTTCAGCGCAGGACGATCTGCTTTTCCTGCGGTTGTCTACCATGAGGGTTAGTAAGTCGGCGGATTGCACCTAGCCGGACGCGTAGCAAGGAGCGTCAAGGCGGCGGTAGGTGGTGTACAGGTTACTCACGCCGCCATCAACTGGCATAACAAGTCCAGTGATCCACTTGGCTTCCTTACTGCACAGAAACAAAATCGCTACGGGGACGGTCAATAGGGCTGTCAATACAGTAGATGGGCTTGTTTTTACCATATCCAACGTCCCACTGGTGCAAGTCTCAAGTCAGCAAAACCCTCCAGTCAGTATACTGTGTAGCAGACATGGTAGATGGAGGGGTATGTACAGAGTGTTGCTAGTCTCTGTGTAGATCATTGTAGCCAGCGTTGTGTATAAAGAGACGGATTGCCTACCGCTGTTCCCTCTTGCTTCAGGAGATTTTGATTGATTCGCTGTGTCAAATCAGACAGGTATCCTCCACATCAAGGCAAGCATATCTCAATTACATACAGCTTGTCGCATCTCATCTGTCATGCCTCGGCCCCTCACCATTGGTGTATAAACCATTCCAGGGGCGACGCAATTGACGCGAATATTTTCAGGCCCGTGCTGAGCAGCCATGGCTCTGGTCATTTGGATCACGGCCCCTTTGCTGGTAGGGTAAAGCAGTGACGGATTCCCCCCAAGCACTAATACATGCGATAGACGCCGGAATTAGTAGTGTCAATGCCCATGACAAAAATGTGACTTACAACCACTGACCGAGCTCATATTGACAATGGCTCCTCTGCCATTCTTTCTCATTTCTGGAATTGCATGGCGAGACATGAGCATCATACTGGTGACATTGATGCGAAAATCTCTTTCCCACGCATCAACATTGAGCTCAACAGCATCTCCCATGGCACCGCCGACTCCGACTGTCGCTAGTATCAGGTGTGGACTGTATTTTACAGTATACCGTGGACATACCAATATTGACGAGAACATGCACTGTTCCGAACAACTCAATGGTTCGAGCAACAGCTAACTTGCAGCTTTCCTCGACTGTCACATCTGCTTGGATCACTTCAGCAATACCTTGTTCTTTTTCAATCATTCGCTTCGTCTCTTGTGCCCAACCGAGGTTCGAGTCCACCAAGGCTACACGCGCACCTTGCCTGGCAAGAAGTATGGCTGTGGCTCGTCCATTACCAATCTCACCTGTATAGACACAAATTAGTGGACGTCCCAAGCACTTGGGCAGTGCGGAAACCATCTTACCGTCCATACGCGAGCCCGCGCCTGTCACAATTGCGACTTCACCAGAAAAATCAAAAGCCCTAAAGACAGACATTTTTGTTGCAGATTCAAGCCAGAGTTGAAAGATTGGTTCTTCTATTACGTGAAATACCCCACGTCATTTTGACTGGGCATCTTTGCAGAAATCATTGCACCAATCACACACTTGCAATCATGTACGCGTGGCTAGCAAGACATTCGAGCTTCTTTACAACTAAGCTATCCTATAAGGATTGCTTTTGAACTACACCCATTCGTTCTCTTTAGTATCGAAGCATCCCTCCGTGTCAGCAACGGTCAGTTGCCACGGAGCATCGCCGTTGTCCGCTGATCCAGCCCGCATAGGCCCATCTCCAAATCTCCAATCCCATCTGCATGTTTTGCGCTGGCCAAGGCAATGCCCCGCAGTCGTTGCGGATACGTTATATGTGCTCACACTGTATAAACGATGTGGTGTCTACGGAATACAAAAGCAGGGATGATTTGTTATTACAAATGAAGCCTCTTATGCAATTCCATATTCAAACACTTTGGTTGCACTAATTATGGCCATGTAGATTGAATAAGTGAAGTGAGTATTCACAAAAGTTTGTAGACTTGAGAAAAGTTCACATCAAAACCTTTCGTACATCTATTGATTGAGCCCCTGCCCTCTCCCAAATCTAATATCTACCATGTAAGCTGTCTCGGTGAATAACCACGACATGAAACCCAACAGACTTGCGATGCTCAATCTAGTACTTCATCACTGTGCTAACCAGAACTTGAGCCAGCCTATTATGCCTTGCAAGCTCTGTTCCTTGACCCAGCCTAGCAAGTCATTAGCCGGGAAACGTCAGCCATGCAATAGGTACTCATACGTTGATATGGATCTTCCGGGTTCCCACGCAAGGCAAACCCGTGTTCGACACCGGAAAATAGTTGTAGGTGGTACTTTTTGCTTTCAGATTTGAGAATACCAATCGCATGGTTTCTGGAATCTGTTGAAAAGGTGTGGTCTATCTCGGAACACGAAAGGAACAACGGTTCTGCGCGTGTCAAAACATGCTCATGTATGATTTTCTTTTACTGCGATATACTTACGGGTGAGGTTGCGGAAGTGACTCTCCTTGAGAAATGCCGGGTGCGCAAAAGCACCAACCACACAACTGCCACCTTCTGCAAGTTCTTTGCAAACATAAGGGGCACCGAAGCAGTACCTAGTTCTATTAGTATGAGCACTCTACGAGGACTAGAAGATGCTGCTCACCCAACACAAGCAAATTTGGCCTGCAACTTTCCATACTCCTCTTGTACCGCCTTGATCCAATGAGGGACTGCTTGGTCGGAAAATGTCGTGTGTTTAAGTTTCCACGCCTCAAAGTCGAACCCTGGCTCCGTCGTTATATCATGACGGTCCTTTCTGTGTTTTGTAACAGGGTCCTGAAGATGTCAGGACATTGGACGCATAGAAAGTCAAAGATGATGACTAGAGCTTACACCCCTGAAATAGTCTGGACCAAGGACTAGGAACCCAGCATCCGCGAACCCATCCATAATCAACAGACCGTTGATGGCCATGCCCCATACATCAGGAAAGTACAGGAGGACATGACCATTTGCTTTGCCTGCTGGTGGCTCCGAAACGTATGTCTCAATACCAGCAATGATCGTGAATCTTCCCTTGGGTTTTCCTTGATGAATGGTACCCGTGAGACAACAATTCCCAGAGGGCTGTGCCAGATATGCATCGTGACTAGTTGACATCTCTGCGGCTGGATAATACTTGTATCAAGGAGCTTGGTCTAGAGAAAACATGGTGACAGAAACCTCGCGTCGGCAGGCGTTACATCCTGAACTTCCCTTTTGTAGGAATCCCTTCTACTTGAGAATCACGATGGAAGTTATCCGGGCACTTGGAGGAGTCCGCGTCATCCATCTCCTGCTGTGATACCCGATTCGGATTCTCCACACCATCATCAGCAGCAACTTTTGCGGGGAACAAATACGAGTGAATGTAAATAGACAGTGCTTGGATTTAAGAATGGATACTGTGGCTATCATGGCTGCATTCCCAGGATTAACTTGCCCGTTTGCAGAGCGCAGGCCCTTCCCCAACCAACAGCAACCTATCACAATCGAGACAAAATGTATGGCCAGGGTGTCGGGCTCCCAGGCCACAACGATTCCTGGGGCCAATGTTTATGTGCCTCGTCCGTCATATCATACATGAGTATTGATATGAGCCCCTCTTCAAGATTGTGTCTTTTCAAGGCATTCAATGCGCTCGACAAGAAACACTGCATAATATCCAGAGTATCACGGTCAACATGACAGAGAAGGATCTTGAGGCTGTGGCTCCAGCACCAACGGCGAGCACCGTGCCCGACGAGCCATCGTCCAAGCTGGACACGATTCAAGAGGTATGTTATTAGTTGCTGTATCCACGAGGCACATTGACTGAGTTGCTGCAAGAACGATGCTGTAGGATACCGTGAATATCTCGAAGGTCTGGATGTGGAAGTTTCGGACCAGGAAATGCGCACAGTTCGCTGGAAGATTGATCTCATCGTTCTTCCAATCTTTCTCGTCACTCAGGCGCTTCAATTCATGGACCGGACGGCTTTAAACTATGCCAATCTCTTTGGCTACAAGCAAGCGCTGGGTCTGGAAGGCCAACAGTTCAATTATCTCTCAGCAAGTAAGCGCAACGCATGCATGCAACGGCAACCTTGCTAATGCTCCATCAGTTGTCTATGCTGGCTATTTCTTTGGGCAATACCCCTGTGGATGGCTCGTCGGCCGCTATCCTGCACAGAGGGTCATTTCCATGGCCACGCTTATATGGGGCTTGACTGTAATCCTTTTGACTCAGTGTCGGACTTATTCGAGCGCAATGGCTCTGCGTTTCATCATGGGCTTGTTCGAGGCTGCAGTCACTCCGGGGTTGACATTGATGACTGGCTTCTGGTGGACGAGGCGCGAGATTCCCCTTCGTCAGTGCATATGGTATTCGGCGTTGGGCTGGGGAGGGATCGTCGGTTCATACATCTCCATGGGAATTTCCACCTTGCCAGCAGACCATTCTCCAGAGCGATGGACCCTGGTTTTTTATATTCTGGGCGGCTTCACCATGCTGTGGTCTGCGGTCATCTATTTCTTCCTCCCAGACGCGCCATCAAACGCAAAGTTCTTTAATCATCGAGAGCGTATCGTCGCGGTCAAGCGGGTAGCCGGCAACGAAACGGGCATCAAGAACAAGTCGTTCAAGAAGGATCAGTTCTCGGTGGCCATCAAGGACCCCAAGACTATTATCCTATTCATCTCCGTCATAGGCGCTGCGATCCCCAATGGCGTCGTTAGTGCCTTTTCCACCGTCATCATACGCGACATGGGCTTTTCGACGACCAAGACGACAGAGCTCAAGTCGGTAGGCGATGCGGTTCAGGTTGTCTCGCTATTCATAGGCGGTTTAATCACGCTGAATGTTCCAAACAGCCGACTGCTAACTTCAACCGCAGCCAACATTCTGTGTACTGTCGCTGCAGCATGCATGGGATATCTACCAAGATCAAATACCTGGGGACGTCTGGTCAGCTTCTGGCTCGTGAATGCGCAATCCGTCGGGTTTACCGTGTCTCTCACAACCATCTCATCGAACATGGCGGGTTATACGCACAGGTCGTTTGCTAGCGCCGCAATCTTTACAGGATACTGCTGGGGCAACTTTGCAGGAGTCTTTGTAGTCAAGGAATCCCAAGCACCATACTATAGTGGCGCCACGATCGGACTTTTGGTTGGATACTCTATCAAACTCGGCTGCCATCTGCTACTACTGGGTAAGATATCTCCATCTTGGCCTTGCCTGATTTGAAACGTTCCATGCATCGAAGACTGACACCATCCTTTTCAGGTTATATGTTTTACAACAATCGCAAAAGAGATAGGGTCTATGGGCCCGCGAATAAGGAAGCATCCGATGAGGCAGGCATGCAGGACAAGACTGAATTTGAGAACAAGGATTTCCGTTATGTTTTGTAGTGCTACACTATCTCTTTGGTAGTAGGCTGAATGCAACACTGAGTCTTGAAGCATGATCACCTTGAAAGTCTTGGACGTTGAATACGAGGTGATATCGTTGTTGTTCTGGGGTTACTAGGTGCTGGAGCCTGCCCAGACCAGCGACCACTCGTGCGAAATCTCGTCATCTCTCGATACGCCTCTATAACATCCGGCATTGTCGTCTAGTAAGCTTTTTCTAATCGAATCAAGGCCTGCCAAGTCTTGATAAGATCGGTAATACGGCAAATTGGGTCTCCAGTCAGTCATGCAGTCTCTCACCAAGCTATTGCTTGGCAGGCTTGAACGGTTCTAGATGCGGCGGGATCCATGCAGGAGTCAAGGGGTATTTTCTATACGTGCCAGAGATATCCATAGCCAAGCCAGGTTACAATAAACCCCGCAATCAATGGATGTCCAATATTAGTACTTCTCATATCTACCGTTATCATGGATAAATTCACGAGGCTTGGTACCTGGGTCGACGTAGCATTTTGATTGGAGATTCTGCTTGGCAGTCTTGTTAGGCCCATGGCAGCTTTAGATATAGCCAAATAATTTCATGGGCATCAGTTGAGCCTTGGCAATGTGCATCTACATCCGTTTTTGGTATTCTGGGTCTCTATCATCCCGTGACGTGATGGCATCACGATTGATTCAATGCTACCATATTGGACTACTTGAACGCCGTGGTGCCCGACGCCAGAGGTTGTGACTTGTCCTGTTCCTAGACTCCATCATACCATTGTCCCGTCCACATTTATCCATACTTGCTTCACACTAGTCAAGATGCATCTTCCAGCGAGCCTCGTGTCCATGGCGGCCGTTGCCTGTGCAGTTTCCGTCAACCTCGATCGCCGTGCCACATTGCTGAATGTGAAGCTAGAAATGACAGGCAACACGGCCGTCAAGGCCATTATTGCAAACAATGGAGCGGATGACCTCAAGATCTTCAAGACTGGAACACTGTTGGAGGATATTGCGACAGAGAAGATCAATGTCTTCCAGGCCGGTAAGATTGCCAAACAGAAAGAGCAGACCGCGGATACTAGATACTGACAGATAAACCCAGACTCCAAAGTCGCCTTCGAGGGCATCCGCCTTCGTGTCTCCACCGCAAGTCTGGAGGAAGATGCATTCCAGACAATTCGTGCTGGCGAGGTTGTCGAAAAAGAATTTGACATTGCGCACATGCACGATCTCAGCACCGGAGGAGCCTTTGACATTGTTGCCAATGGAGCCGTCTCTTATGCTCATGTAAATAGCACTGAGCTTTTGGGTACCGTTCCGCTGGATAGCAACACGCTATCAATCCAAGTGGACGGGGCCGAGGCACAGGCTTCCAGAGCTGCCTTTATAGAGAGGCGCACAGTTGTGCAGTCGGACTGTACTAGCTCAAAGAAGACCGTCGTGACCACGGCCATCAGCAACTGCCGATCGTGGGCGACAAAGGCTCAATCAGCGGCCAACGCAGGCACCAAGCTGACCGAGTACTTCAAGAGCAGCTCCTCGTCCGTCATTTCCACAGTCTCGGGCGTCTTTAGCAAGATGGCGTCAGAGTGCGGAAGTACAACCTCTGGTATATCCAAGACATACTGCTCGGATGTCTATGGTGCCTGTTCATCGGGTGTCCTAGCTTACACCCTGCCGTCGGGAAGCTACATTGCTTATTGTAACCTCTTCTTTACAGCCCTGTCGCCCGTCACTTCAACTTGTCACGCCCAAGACCAGGCAGGAACGGTAGTCCACGAGACAACGCACCTTTCCCAGATCAAGGGTACCCAGGATTATGGAGTATATGGATACAGTGCTGTCCGCTCACTGTCAGCTTCACAGAACCTGAACCACGCCGATACATATGCTCTCTATGCTCAAGGTAAGTACACGACATCCAACAGCAGAGTCCTTTTCGCTGACCCATGACAATATAGCGGTCGTGCTGAATTGTTAAATGATATTTGCGACTTGGTGAATGTGCAGCATTTGTTGTTCATGTGGGAGGGACGGCAGTTTGAGGATCCAAGCGCATACTAAACAATGATCTAACCCAAGTTGAAGGCGGCGCGTATTATGCTGGTATTGGGCTGTGCCTGAATTACTACTAGGTATAGTATTATGCACATGCTGCGAAACTAGTTGCTCACCGTCTCATGAATATCAGCCAGTTGACTTCCGCACTGCTCGGTTTTCCGTGATCTCCGGTATTTTCTGTTTCCCATTGGCGTAAAACTCATAGAATGATGACGTGACATTGAGCATCCACCCGTTTCGGCACCGGTATCCGCACGTCTGACCCCCCACAACAACAAGTGAATCGGTACGAGACATGCTGGGATCCGCAACGTACACATCAGGTCTTGCAGTATACTCCTCGCTTACCCAGGGGCCATAAGCGCGGGGTAGTTATACTATGTCATGCTCGTGAGCTCGGAAGCCGAACCCTACTCGGCGCTGAGAATCGGATAACAATTGGAGAGTGATGGAAAGTCTGACATCATGGTACAAAGATGGTCATGATTGTAAATTTGGAGCTGTTCGCTTCGAGTCGTACCGCAGTACAAGAAAGTTGATGGGTGTCGGCAGCATAGTTTTGAGCACTTCACGTGATTCTATTTCAGCGTCGTATGAAACATCTTCTATACTGTATCTAATTATAATCTCCTATAATGGCAACATTGGCGCTAGCCTCTTGGGCAACGAACCTGACATATAGCGACCTCACTACTTCAGTGGTAGACTCAGCCGTGAAAAGCATATACAATTGGGCTGGTTGTGCAATTGGCGGGTACGGCCAGGACGCACCTAGCATCGCACAGGCAACCACACAAGCCTTCTTCGGCGGACCGCCGACGTCTAGTATTCTTGGCTCAAACGGGTCCATTGGAGATACATATGCGGATGCCCAGTTGGCGGCGCTGATTAATGGCATTGCGTCTCACATTGACGACTATGATGACACGCATCTCGAGACGATTATACATCCTACCGGGGTGGTAGCCAGCGCCCTTTTGGCAGTGGCAGAGTGGCAGGGCCCCGTCACGGGCGAGGACTTTATCACTGCTCTTGTCGCCGGCATCGAGGCGGAATGCAAATTGGGACTGAGCGTCTATCCACAGCATTACGACATTGGCTGGCACATTACCAGCACGACAGGATCGATAGGGGCCGCGGTCGCAGTCGGAAAGCTCATTGGCCTCAACACGACGCAGATGCAAAACGCGATTGGCGTTGCCTCGACCCAAGTTGTCGGCATGCAAGTCTTCTTTGGCTCCATGACCAAGTCTTTCCACGTCGGGCGCGCTACCCAAGGCGGAATGCTGGGGGCCCTTCTCGCGAAGAATGGATATACGAGTTCTCTCGAAGCCCTCGAGGCCGAGTACGGTTGGCTGCACGTCGTGAGCACTAGGGAGAATGCCACAGCGTACTTTGATCAGCTCGGCAAGGTCTGGGAAATTGAAAAGAATACATTCAAGCCCTTCCCTTGCGGCATTGTCATGCATCCGACCATTGACGGCGCTATCCAAATCCACAACGAGTCGGCGAGCCAGGGCAAATCTGTTTCTTCCATCAAGAGCATCAACCTAGTGGTAAACTCTCAAGTTCTGGTCTTGACTGGGAAAACCGCGCCGACGACGGGCTTGGAGGGCAAATTTAGTATTTACCATGCAGCGGCCGTCGGGCTCCTCTACGGAGAAGCGACACCCAGCCAATTCACTGACGAGGTTGTCAACAATGCCACGGTCGTGGCCATGCGACAAAAGGTCAACGTTACCACCAATGACGCCGAATACAACACTGCCCAAGCTCTGGTGACTGTCGAGTTTGACGACGGGAGCACTGTCGAGAAAAACATTGTGCACGCCATTGGCAGTCTCGAGAATCCAATGACAGAGGCTGATCTCAAAAAGAAATTCATTGACCAAGTGACCAAGCAGATAGGGCCAGCCAGAGCAGAGAAGGCGTATGCAGCATTTACCAACATTGGAAATATGACGGATATAGGTGCACTACGGACGCTCTATTAATAAGGGTCCGCCATGCTTCTAAAGAGCTAGTCCCCGACGCCAGGCGAGTGGTACTTTATGCCTTTTCGCCATGGTGGAGCGCAGAGGGTAGATAAGATATCGAACACGGGTCTTTTCAGATGGAAACAACCATGATTGCTTTAACCTCGAGACTTTGGCCATTATCCTGTCCCAGTGGTTGAGTTCTAATCCAGTGTCGAGCAGGTGACTAGAGCGGTGAGAGCAGATCTTGCTCGACTCATGCACACTACTTCCAAGGCAAGATAACCACAGCCTAGTCTTCGGGAGCCCAACATAAAGGCTCGGCAAGGCACTTTTCGTCGGTAGCATCGGATAGTCGATCGTTGCGTCAGATAGGTAGTTTTGAAAAAAGGTTCTATAGTATACTTGCCACCTCGAGTACGCAGCTCTCACTCACAGACTTGGAGGTATTCTAATAATCAAAGATTTCACCTCAACTCAAGGAATGCGAACAATACTGAACGACTAGTATAGGAGTATGTAATCACCAAGGACTATTAATCAGGAGACTAACCTCGACTGCCGAATGAGGCTGACAAAACATCTTGCGGGCTGCCGACCAATCTCTCTTTCACGGCGATAGCACAACGCATAAGTGGCCCACACGACGGCAGGGAAAAAGACTCGAGTCCTAAAGTCGGTAGAGCCGGAGTGCTTTTCCAGAATCGTCCGTGTCCGCTGCGGAATCGCTGCCGCACCGGTGGAGCTCTAGGGGCAACCGAGGCAGAATGGAAGCCATGGGAATTTTCTTCAGCAAAAGGTAAAACTGAATTACTAATGCAATAATGGCCCGCGTCATATGGAGACGCTCCTTTTCAGTGGAGGACCAATTTGTTTATAAAGGAGGGCGTAACGAAGCCTCCCAGAAGTTGAGATGGAGATATTGTTCTGCATTCAATTTCATCAGCGTTGCAATCGACCCACATACCACGTTTTTCTTCCTTGTAGGCACGTCAGCACCTTAAATCCGCCAAGACATATCTGGTCAAACTAGGCTATTTCCTATATCCGGCAAGATGGTTCAGAACAAGACTCTCATCTTCAAGAAGACGCCCGTGGGCTACCCCGTCGCCGGCGAGCACTTGGTTGTCGAGGACCGCGGCTTCGATGCCGAGGCTCCAGCTCCCAGCGGTGGTATCACCGTCGAGGTCCTGTCGGCCTCGTTCGACCCGTACCTGCGTGGCCGCATGCGTGAGGCCCACATTGAGAGCTACATGCCCGCCTTTGAGATGAACGGCCCTGTCGTGAACAACGTCGCCGCCCGCGTGCTCAAGTCCGAGAACGCCGACTTCAAGGCCGGCGACCTGGTCATTGCCTTTGTGCCCATTGCCGAGTACGTTGTCATCCCCGAGCCCGCCAAGGTCTCGGTCAGGAAGATCCACAACCCCTACAACCTGGAGGTCGACTTGTTCCTGGGACCTCTGGGCATGCCCGGTCTGACTGCCTGGTCCGGTCTCTACAAGATCGGCAAGCCCAAGAAGGGTGAGGTCATCTTCATTAGCTCCGCTGCTGGTGCCGTTGGTCAGGTTGTTGGCCAGATTGCCAAGCACGAGGGCCTCAAGGTCATTGGCTCCGTCGGCAGCGAGGAGAAGCTCGACTTTATCATCAACGAGCTCGGCTTCGATGGTGGTTTCAACTACAAGAAGGAGAGCCCCTCTGCTGGCCTGAAGCGCCTGGCTCCCGAGGGCATCGATATTTACTTTGAGAACGTTGGTGGTGAGCACCTCGAGGCTGCTCTGGACTCGATCCACAAGGGTGGTCGTATCCCTACTTGCGGCATGGTAAGTTATAACACTCTTGCAATCATTATGAAGAAATGTATTTACTAACATGAAACAGATTGGCGACTACAACACTCCTGTCGAGAAGAGATACGGCGTCAAGAACATGTTCCAGGTCGTTGCCAAGACCTTGGAGATGATTGGTTTCCTGGTCGGCAAGCCCGGCTACGGTGATGTGTACTTCCAGGAGCACCAGGAGAAGATGCAGAAGTGGCTGGCTGATGGCAGCTTCAAGCCCAAGCTGCACGTTACCCAGGGTATCGACAACGCCGCTCACGGTCTGATTGGTATCTTCAAGGGTGAGAACTTTGGCAAGGCCGTCGTCAAGGTCAAGGACCTGTAAAAGACGCCATGAACATTTGTTCGCCACGACATACTATGAGCATTGCATTGGGCCGGAGTTATTGCAGCATTTCAAAATTTAAAGAAATTGGTCTGATACCATTATAACCAACATTACTAGAGTTTTAAAGTAAATATGGAAATATGATACAATACAATTATTGCATCCATAAGAATACAATGTCCCTACATGAAAATATGCAGTCGACGCGGACATGACCACTAGCAGTGAAATGGCCGTTTGCGGAAGTACCGGCGGCATTGCTGAGTTTCCTACATCCATCCTGATTTTATCTGCTTTGGCTCACATGCCAATGAGACAGATTTCTGTACACTATCTCAAAAAAACTTTGAACCTGCCTGGTTGTGCGGGTGATCGGCGTTGGAATGGCAAGCCAAGACCAGTTGACCTCAGTGGAAAAAAAAGAGCCACTGCACCGCCTCATTGGCCACATAGGCAATGACGTCACATGACCGTTGACGTGGAAGTCACAGCTAGCGTCAACTCAGTCCAAGCTCTCGGGAATTGTACCAGCTTTGATTCACTGACTACCAATGATTCCCAAGCTTGTTTCTTCTTCCACGACGCCTTGTTTTATCATCACTTCAATTAGTGCAAGTTTACGTGTCTTTCAAGTCATTTGAGCTCCAAAATCTTCCAAACAACACTAGACAATATACCTACATATACAACTACCATTCAAGAGCTTGGCGTTTGCAAATACTCTTTCCACTCTTCTACAGCAAACAGACTCTTGTAACTCTCCGCCTTTCATCAATCATCAGCGATAATGTCTCCCACTCAATCCGATACTTTTAACGTGGAGGCCGCCGCCCCTACTGGTGGTGAGATGCGCCAGTCACAAAACGCATCACCACAGTCACCAATGGAGGAGATCTCTCTCCAGCCCATGGCATCGCAACCAATGAGTAAGTTGTTCCTTTGCCAAAGTTCTGAAAGCAAACATCGTATTCCGTCGCCCCTATCACCGGCTTGGTAGAGCAAACCCGAGCTATCCGCATTGTCTCGGCAACTTCTTGGGGGGAGCCATGATGATGCCTGTGCTCTTTTTTTCCTCTTTGCGACAGCCGAAAGCTCGCAACGCCCGTACCCGACCTAGCTGACTCGGAACAATAGACCCAGAGGCCCCGCACGAGGAGTCGCAAATGGGACTCCGTGGCGGCGACCGCGGCGGTTGCTGTCCAGGCCGCTTCTGCTTCTGCATTCCCTGTCCTCTTCCGTGCGACTTTTGCATCATCTAGGCCTTCTTGTATTTATGGCCTTGCTGGTCGAAAGCCATTCAATACCACAGCTGGCTCAATTGACTATGATATGGATGGCTGCGGCTTGGAAGGAGCCTCGTCGTCTTACTCATCTTCCAGGAAATGAATGAAAGACGGACTGGGTAGCGCACACGAGAAATGGTTTTTTTTTTTTGTTTTTGTTGAACCACTGTGATGGTTTATTAGGCGCAAACATGATTTCTAGTACAAGCGAATATACCTTGTTTCTGCTAATATGCTGCAACATCATGTTTGGTCAATGGGATCAGTTTATTGATTTCAATACCCGTGGCGTACGATTGTCCAAAGCATGATTACCAAGAATGAATCGCATCTGCTGATGAGTTTACGCCAAGCGTCAGCATCAAAGGGAGGGTAGGTTGACACAACAATTAACACGGGACGACGTTGTGAGCTTCAATATGAATGTATTCAGCCCTCCGTTGAAGCCTTAATTCTTGCGATGCTCAACAATAATGAAATTGCTAAAAGTGCCCTAGTGTCTTCCACCCAGTTTGCCCAAGCGTCGTTATCTAGTAACACATGCATTAGAGTTCCAAGCCCTTTGACATATTTTCTCCGACCATCCAGACTCTGGCCAAATGTTCCATATCCCCTTGTTTCGTATTGTCCATAGACACCAACAGTCGGTGTACTCCCATCAAATGCTAACCCTTTTTGAAGAGACCCAATCCAAAACACTACAACGCCCAACAGGAACTGAGATGCATCCGTTTATGTTGCTTCTCACCGCCGATTTCATTAGTCGTAATTCGAGGGAAAATGTGATGGCTGAGCTGTGAGTATCAGATTGCCAAAACAGCATTCATTGCTATTGTCCCATGAAAGAACCTTCATACAAGTCGTTGATAATCTCGCTAGGCACCCAATTACCAAGCCAACTGGCCATGTCTGACGACTCGAAGCTGCCGAGAGCTGGTCCAAAATCCGTCTGGTTCTCAAACGTCATGAGATCCATTCCTTGACCTGTCGACTCGAGATAGGTAAATGTGCCCGTTGCCAAGCCGTTGTGCGTAAAGTGAGACGTTGCCATGTCTCCAGAATAGGCCGTGACCGATGTGTTGCTCGAGTTCACATTGGTTCCTCCATGCGACTGGGCCACCGTCAAGTCGGTCATTGTGCTGGTCGGCGATGCTCCTGTTGGAAAGTTAGACGCTTCGTATCCTGGAGATGGGTGCGATGACGGGGTATGAGGGTTTTGCGGGAGCATGCAGGCACGAGGCTGAGAAGGGGGGTCTATCTGAAAGCTGTTGATGGTGTCCGGAGTAGTCGGTGCGTGGGATGCTTTATCAGGGGGCATGGCATCAATTCGAGGCCACGATTTGCCTTGATTGGCTGCACCTGACGTACCTGACAATTGACGCGAAGAAGCTTGGGTCATGGAATGTCGCAGTGCCGACGTATTGGGCTGAGGGTATGCAGGAGGATACATTTGCGAAGTCTCGGGCAAACTCTGGCGGATTGGATCGTAAATCATGTTGCCAGGAGGAGTCGGCGCAGACTGGGGTGGCGGAGGGGCTGCTGTCTGGGCCGATGCTGAAGGAACGTTTGCCACCGGATTTGTGCTGTTTGGAGGGAACAAGAGGGTGAGACTAGGACCCGGTGTGTTGGTTGTCCCGGTCAAGGACCAGGCCAAGGGGGGAGCAACCGGCTGCGGCGTTGGTGAAGCGCACTGCTCAGCCTTTGCTGCCATGAGCCGTTGCAGAGAGCTTCCACGTCGAGGCAGCCTGGCGCTCTCGTATTCTTCACGCGTGTAAGTTTCACAATCCCATATGCCCTCGGATTTCTGGTCCAAGGCTGTTAGTATATATCGTACACCGCCCCAATAGGTATGCATATGCTGTAATGCCTTGTAACAGGCCTGATAGTTCTGATTTGCGGCTGACGCAAGCAAGAAATGCCGTGTCGAGGGACGAGCATCAGCCAAAGGCCCGTCTCTGCGATCCTGGAAACGCGGGGTGGCCCACGAACCACGATCGGGATGAGGAGACGGGGCTCGCGACACGGGCTGCGAGGCGTGCGTCTTCTCCGACTCGACTAGAAAGGCGCATGCGGCTATATATATAGGCTGGGACGTGAAGGGATTGCCAATGAAACTTTTGGCGTCAATGAGGTTTGCAAATGCCAGTATATCAGCAATTGTCTTGGCACTAGACATGGATATCTCACGACTCTGAGATCCTAGTTCTCGACCCTGATCATACTGGATCAAGGGCGCCAGAAGTGCCGGTTGGTGCAGTACAATAATCATTGCATGGAACCAGAGATGAAGCAAGATGAAGCTTGTTCCTTGTGCTGTCTGAACGTATGCTTGAAAGTGCTCGGCGTTGAACTGTAAATTTGGATGCTGTCTCCGGTGCAACCTAGTGAGTTCATTCTCCAGGACAATAAGCTTGTTCATTCTTTCGTCGGTGAGATCACTCGGCTTGACAATCTCGTTGAGGACATCGGAAACTCTGCCATACAAGTGAATCATCTGGATGAGTGTCGGAAACGGGTCGGGGTGGGTAGTCCCCAGATTTGCAGAAATCGTGGGAAGATCAAGCTCAAAATCAACATCCCGAAGAGTGACTGGCCGACCAGTGCCCGACGATATGACCCTATCGAGCATAAAGACAGTCCAAAGAGTGTCCATTCTCTCTTGCTCCAACTCCCGCTGCTCTTGCAAGCTCAGGGTATCCTCGTCACTGGGTTTGTTCAAGCTGGCGCCGTGGTCATGATCATCTGTCTGGCGACTATAGGCTCTCGTGTACCAGGCATCTTTCTCACCTTGATACTTGACGCCATCCTTCTTGTGCAGACCAAGGTCGACCGCCATGCGTATGGCTAGGCCGAGATACATCCAAAGCGCACTATCCTGGTCAGCCCCGAAGCCCTCGTAAGCCATTAGCAGACACGCTTGCACAGCCGCCACAGAGGGGCAGGGGAAAGTGTCTACGGTGGCTGCTTTTGCTCTCTGGGCAAACACATGACCATTGTCGGCTCTGAAAGACTTTTTGCCATTGGATCTGTTGAGAATCGGAGAATCCGAGAACCGAGCTGCGAGTGCGCACACTGCATCAACAAGAATAGGCTCAACTCTTTTCTCCTTGACCCATTGCGTAAACTTTTCTTCGCGCAAGAATGGGTAGTTGCAGCCTAGGTGAGAGAAGAAGACGCCGATCAAGTCGAGGATGAGCCGATGAACTGGACTGGAATCATGAGGATCGTAAACAGGAACATCGTCCAACTGGTCGTACTCGTGCTCGGATTGTATTGACTTGATACTCGGAAATGAGACACCGGAGCCAGGAGAGGTGGCTGACATGGAGCTGCGTCTTCTATCGTGAACCTTGACGACCATTTGCTTGAAGCCCGGGACGATTGCAGTAGGCCCAAAGTACCTGAAATACGGAACGCGATAGCTATCAGTGTGAGAGTGGTTGTGGTGCAATGTCGGCGACCGCACACTAGGGCTGCGTCCATCTTGGGTAGAGAATGATGAGTGTCGCGCATATGTTGTTGGCCTTCGTGGTAGCTTACCAGCTCCATGTCCATGATGGGCAAGCGACTGCGACTCCTCCCAATCCACAGTCTCGGACTTGAGTCGCACGGAAGAATGCGTGGCGGGTTGCTGCTGTGCAGACTCGGACAACCGACGTGATGAGGATGTGCTGTCTTCTGTGTCGCGACGACCGAGGCCGTTCCTTTGCTGTTTCCAATTGTCATGTCTGTGAAGACCGGGCAGCTCGTCATCCGAGTACTCTCCGTCTTGATGGTCAATCACGGCCACTTCGGAGCCGACGCTGCCCCCAGGGGCCGGGTCCTTCTTAAGTGGTTTCTCCGGGACATCGGAGTATCCGAGACACTTATGGCCATTCTTGACGCACGTTGAACATTGAGGATGCTCGCCCGCACAACGTGTTTTTCGTCTTCGGCAAGTCAAACATCTAGTCATGAGCAACCTGGTCAGCAGGATGCTATTGCGATAGCGAGGTCATGTAGAGTAGAATATCCACAAAACGTCAGTGCCCCTCTACCTGCGCGTCGGTGGGTCTGTAACTGCAGGAGCACTGACTGCCCAGCACGAGCTGGCCTGGCTACAGGCGGGAGGTGAAGGTTCCTTGAACATTAGAGGAAAAAAAAAAAAGTTGTCTCCAATTTCCGCGACAGCAGCAAAACAGTACTTGGCTGTATGCAAGGCAAGACACAGCAAAAACGTAGAGGACGCTGCTAAAGACCTTGAAATATCTTGAAATTAAATCAACTTACGCCGCATTGATTCTCCTTCGCTTCTGTGGCGGTTGGCCCTGATTATTGACAAAGCGTATCGTTTTGGGTTGCAGTGGTGGTGCATCGTTTGGAACGGTCGCCATGGTGTTCGGGCGGGCGGGCGGTAGCGGAAGTCTGGAATCTGGTTGGTCTCTTTCGGGAGAGGCCTTGGTCAAATCACCATGATGCTAAGGGCCTGACAGAGGTGACCCTAAAAAACAGCTTGGGAGTTGGACGCGTAAAACAAGTTCCAAGGCGAAAACGAAAGCGGTAGTGGTAGTGGTAGTCTCGGAGGTTCTGGCATTCAGGAAACCTTGGTAGAAGGGAGACGGCGCTTGAGCGGGAGGTATAGTTCAGCTCTTCCAGTGAATCTTGTACACTATAATCGCGGGGGATCGTCGCGGGGGGATTGCGGCGTTGGGCGAGCTACTGCTAATGTCGCCGGTGAGATGTGTATGTCGATTTATATGGCAATAGAATATCGTGACTTGCGAGAGATCTGGTTATGGAATTTTGTGCTTGGGTTCCGTGTGTCTGTCTGCCTGTGGTCTGCTTGTCTGTCTGTCTGTCTGTCTGTCTGGGATTGGCAACAGCTTCTTGCCCAGCCAGTCGAGTCGCTTATTCGCTAAGCCGAATGCTGATCTGTGGCTCGCTGGCGTCGTGCGAGAGCAACCCTGGTGCAGTGGTGCTCAAAATTAGAGTGTTCCCTGCCGTCCCTCCTGTCAGATGGGCTAGAGTCCCTGACGCAGTAAGGAGAGGAGAATTCCCCGAGTATTGGTAATCGCGGTAGTAATCGAATTCATCGCCGCTAGGAATGGGAAAGTTTGAGTTGTCCGGGTGGGCGTTGGTGCGGTGAGATCGACAAAGCAAGCAAAGAGGCGTTATTTTTCCCTTCCTGTTTTGCGGAGGGGTGTGTATACCTTAGATACTAAGTGTTGCGGGACTTGCTTCTGGTAGGATGGACATCGGATGGGGGGTCATCAAAACCAAGAGACAAGCTTGGGGGGGAAGGCAAGATACTAGGACGTAACGTAAGGTAGGTATGCAGTCAATCATACATGGCCATGTAAGTGCTCAAGTAGTACTCAAGTCATGTATTCCGAATGGCCTAGTGTTGTTGTCGTCATTCAATTTGCGCCGTGAGCCGTAACAGATATCATGTAGGTAGCATCAGACCATTGTACCGTTACAGACTACTACCAGCTCGAGACTAGGCTTGGCAACATGGTCTATAGGGAGAAATAGTGTTGTCGCCGCCGGGAATATCAATGAAAGGAAGAGAAGATGAGGGCGAGAGAGAGATTTGTGAGCAAGGACGCGCGCACACAGAGCCACAAGGGGTTTGGGGAAGAAAAGAGACGAGATCATCAACGGAAATATTCTCTAGTACTATTGGATTCCGGAAGGAATACACTAGCTCGCAGGGTCCAGCGAACGATTTGAACCCCCGGATTCAGGGCCTACCTCCCCAGCCTATTGAAACTCGGGTGGTGGGACGTGACGGGAAGAGCCCTTGTACAAGATAGCGTATGCGAATAAGTGGATGAGGGGGAGTTCTGGAGAGTTGAGGAACAGATCGCTGGGGCCGCGACCCGTGGGAGGCTAAGGCAAGGTAGAGAGGGGGCTCCGTCAATAACTCCGTCATCCAAGTAAAGTAATCTGTAATATAGTAGGCAGGTTAGGCGATTTTGTATCCCTTACATCATGTACATGAATTTACACATGTTGTAGTCAGGAAATAACAAGCAACGGATTAAATTCACGAGTAATAGAAGACAGACTGTCTCCAGATGGGTCGCACCAATGCTCGTTGCACAAGACTTTGGCACTTTCGCGACCTCTACACAGCAGGTAAAGTCCTGGCGAGCACGCCTTCATCAGACCCCAGTCGAGATATCCCGCGCCCACGATAATTGCCCAGTTACATGGTGCCCTACATTACAGTAGCAATAGTCTTTTAGCAGCCAACTAAAAAGCCCAAGGGTCGTGAGGAGTGCTTCCACACATGTCTGCGGAGTAGCTGTGCCGTTGCGAGAAGATCAAAACCCTCATCATTTTGGAATCTTGATAGAATTATGACTTGAGCAATCGGTCATCACTGCATGTGTTCGTTTCTTGGTCGCTCGCTACTATGCAATAGACATGGAGGTAATTAGGTACCCTCTGGAGACAAGACTTCGGCAGGGCAGGCAGACGATAAAGAGAGAGTCTCAAGCAACCTTAATAGGACAGGGTGGGCAATATAGACACATGGGCATGTAATTGCAAAGTATGTTTGGGGGTTATTGAACCCCGCGCTGTGGCCGCTTGCTCACCGTGGTGGCACTTTATAACACAGCCAACAAATTGCTTGTTGTCATTGCACCAATGAAAAGCAAGCGAAATGCGCCTTCAGTAGTTGGTCGTGGTCAAGACCCAAGAGGATAGATCCGCGGACAACCTGGCCTGGCGTTGATGGAAATCTTTCCAGTCAGGGGCACTGCCAGTTTCAGTCATGTGCTCCGTTGAGCGGTTCAAAATATTGTAACTTATGTTCCGTGCCTAGCTCCCGAGTCTCCGAATTATTTGTTATCGTGAATCTTATCTCTGTATATGTCTAGTCCCGGCACATGTATTCTCAAAGATAGTGGGTGTCGGCAATGATGGATTGCCCGACTCGACACTTCTTGGCTCACGATTACTGCATGTGGCTTTCGATTTGTTGAGAGGGCAAAGAGGACGACACAAGCTTTGCTGCTCGTTGGATGCCTGGTTGTAAGAGTCGATATACAACACCTAGCTTTCGTGCCTTGCTTTTTTTTTCCCCATGTATCTCATTATATGGCCAAGGCGGAGCTGGTTGTGTTTGGTCATGTCTATTTAGACTTTGTGCTGAATCTTGACCCTGCCCGAGAGGGCAATGCATGCTAATCTTCCCCATCCACTCACGCGACACAGGCGATCGCTTGGGTAAGCGGCCACCTCTCCCAGACCTGTCCAGGCCTCTTCACACCCAGGAACGATATCGCGTGCGTGACACCCACCATCTCTGCTGCATTTGCCCACATTATGGAACGTTCACAACGTGTGATCCCGAGTGCTCAATCACTTGGGCGATAGTCTTCCGGAGGCTTGTAAGATTCGCAACCAAATGCGGTTTCCTGCAGGTCTGGTGGCTCAGTAATTGCTATTATCCTCCTGCAATGTGTAATGCAGTTGAGAAGCCAGTCAAAATGCACGAAAAAAGGCCCTGTCATCTGGGAAGACAGACAAACTCCAGAGTATTCGGGTGTGATCAATCTGGGCATTCCAAGCCCTGGACACGCGTGGCCATCGGCTGGGGACACCAGTAAATATCAGTCCAGCATTCGCTTCCATGTTGGATAGATTTGCACTCAAAAGTAAATTTTCAGCTCAAGTCTAGGTCCAACTCGGGACGAAACTGTAAAAGCCCTTGTTACTTGGTGAAGAAAATTTGATTGGTATACTATTAACTAGGTGGTTTTGCTTTTTCCTGTTCACCTGCATTGCGCCGTGTCCCATGCAATCACTTCTCACCGATCCGACAACGCTGCACATGAGAATGTCCCAAACTTTGATAGCTCAGAATGCTCGCAAAGTTTGCCTTGTCTTTACTTGAGCAAGATTATCCACAGCCTCTAGGCTCTTTAGCCCAAAACAACGCTAATTCCCATTTCCTTGCTGACCCGTCGCCACAAGTCAGCATCCTTGGAGCCGTACGGGGTCACGCTGAGAAGATCGTGTTGCTTCCAGACTTCTCGGACAACACCCCAGGCATTGTCGATATTCGTCATGCCCTGATGTGTGTCGTATTCACCAAATGTCCTCTCGGCGGAAGCTCGGTCTTCTGTAGTTATGGCTTCACATGCGGCAACAAACAGCGGCCACAAGAGAGCACCCATTGGCCCCTTGAACGCAACGCATCGTGAACAGTAGATGAGCGAGTCATGCACATGCCTCTGCACCAGTGCATGATCGGGCGAATATCCATATATCGACCGATACAAGTAGACGAATGCGCTGGAGCGGTACGCTAGCGCGTTGTGTAGGATCGAGTTGAGGAGGTCTCGTTCTGGCATTTCCTGGCCTTTAATCGATTCGAGATGGCCATCCTTGAGGACGATATTCGGGGGCAAGCTGGGCTGCCAACGATCGAGCGCCATCTGGATAGCCTGAGACGTTGTCTCGAATTCCGTTCGAAGTACTGCTGCTTTGGAATTCTGATGACTTTTAACTGCATTGTCCAGTTCATTCTTCAAAGAAAAGAGGTTCGAGAGTCGATGCATGATGGGCCAAAGTGTTGTTGCCATGCCGAGCAACGTGTCGACATTGCGCAGAGGCGAGGCTACGGGAGCATCTAGAGGAGGTAATGGAATCAGGCAGCCTGCAGCCGGCGCTGTTGCGATCGGCGCAGTGCCCAGAGACAGTGCCGTAATCACATCGTAAAAGCGAAAGGCCTATATCTTCATGAGCCATTGATAATATCAAGATAGGATGCGTTCTTACCCGTTCCAGAAAGATACTCGTAGGACTGGCATCTCCTGGAGAGGATTCCATAATAGTGAGTGCGCCGCGGAGGTGGCCATCAACAATATTCGAGCGTCCCTTTTGAACCAGCTATACACATTTTAGACCTGATTGGTTACGTTTGACCAGATTCCAGACTCACGACTTCGTAATACACCAATAGCATAATTGCAGCTAGGAGCTCATTTTTATGGGTTGCTTTGCCTCCAGCTTCGATAAGTTGGGCAAGGCCCTGGATCGCCTCGTTGTGAAAATAGAGGGATTTTTCGCCGGACGAGACGCCTCGATATTCGAGATGAGCACTGGCTAGAGCGTATATCGCATTCATGACTGGGGAACTATTATATGAGAGCGGTAGAACCAGCTGCTGAAAAGGATTGCCCGATTCTTCCCTAAACACGATAAGGTGAGAGAGAACATTGCAAAAGTGATCAACAAGAGCACGGCGGCTTGGTCGATCCGAGAATTCGTTGAAAGCCGGTATACAAAAGTCCAACGTCGGTGAAGCCAAGGGGCAAGGCGCGATCAGTGCCAGATCAGGAGGCAGACACAAGGGGTTGGAGGTGATGCTGAAGCCAGAGCTCCTCCGAACCAAGGTTCCGAGCTGGTGTCCCTTGACATCATCGTCGGTGAAGCTAAATATACTCGTTGCGGTCGGTGATAGCAGTGTGTCTGTTTCTGTTGTTGACAAGGCATCTGTTGTTATACTGCCACAGTCATCTCTGTGTATTTCCTCCACAATGTCTCCGCCGAGATGCCAGTGCTCGTCGCCATCGTTGTTGGCTCCGTCTCGTTCTTCCAAATCTACCACTAGTCCAGCGTCGGAGTCTCGTTTCCTACGTTGGCGGGGTTTTACGGCTTCGTATGTGCATGGCAGAGATCTTTCAGCGCAGCGGGCGCACTGAGGTCTTGTTTCGTCGCATTTCTTCTTCTAAAACGATCAAAAAGGTATTAGCTGGAATCTGTGCGACTCACTCGCAACCATGCCTGGTTCAACTTACCTTGTCCTTACTTTGGGATTATTAGTCTTGCTGTTACTCGCGCATAGCAGTTCGATCAAGTACATCGGGGTTCAATGGCAAGTACTCACCAAGATGTACAGCCTGCAGTAGGAGACGGCCAAAATTAGCATTCATGATACACAAGCATAGATGAAAAAAAGACCCCGCTTCTGGTGTTCTGCGAGAAAGATGTACGGACCTGCACGGGACCGCCTTTTGGGTGCCTTTGGGGCCGCCACTCTGGTATAAAGCAACATTTTCGTCTGCTATCCGTATTCCAAGCCGAACTGGATCAACGCCGCCGTTCTCTCCATTCACGGCCACCCGATAGCTGCCATGCACAGCTCTCGCGCTCTGGGTTCTGGGGGGGCCAGAAGCGATGTGCGATTTCCCCCGCTGTCGGATTTGGATGTGGTTGCGCTTGCAGAGTCGGTCAGAGGAACAAGTTGTCAAAGCAATCAAGTTCCAAAAGATGCGCAATGACTGAGTGGATCGGAAGCGCAAAGGATGGCAATGGCAGATCTTTCAACACGGCGAAATGGTACGGGCGGCTAAGAACACTCGTCGTAACAATGTTGGAACGAGCAAGTCAAGTGATAATGCAAAGTTGCAGAAGCGGACAGCGGACAGTGGACAGAGCGGGCTTTGAGTACTCTTTACGAGCCATTACATGGGCTAGAACACCAATGGCAAACCCGTCGGCCACCTTCAACATCGTGACCATTTTAGGCGTCGCGGTCAGGCCCTTCTTGGTAAAGCTGCAAGGGCGTCCAAGACCTGGGGTGAGGGGGAATGGCGGACGCCGGTCGATCTTGTGGAAGGACGATCCGAAGACAGGCGCGGAGAATCCGCATGCGAGCCTATCACAAGCTGGCTTGGGATCGCGGTTGCTGGGGTTGACGGTGAACTTGGATTCGACCGGGTTTCGCTAGAGCCTGGCTAGCCGTCATTGCTGGCAACACTTGCAGTGCCTTGCACCTGGGGGTTGCATCCCCAAGGCGTGGAGGAGATTGCATTATGCTTGGACCCTCCGCATCTCCAGCAATCTTGGGGCCAGAGGAGGCGAAAAAGAAGGAAAGAAAAGAGTCAATTCAAGGACTCATGTTCTGTGAGTCGCACCAATAGACTGCCTCATCAACAAAGCCTACCTAGCAGGTCAGACTCTCAACGACAGGGACAAGAGTTACGGGTGGCCACTTGGGGCTGAGTTGGCCACGCTTCTAGAATGATTCGAAACCACCACTAGAAGTAAACTCCAAATACGAAATCCCTAAGTAGGTAAGGTCTTGACTAACGAAAGTAAAGAATGGATGGGTCGTTGTTCATCATTGTCATGGCTCGTATGTAAACGTTGACGACGCGATAAGGTGCATGGCATGAGCTGTGGGCGACAATCAGTGATTGCTGGCAGCATCGACTTTGTGGTTCAACAGACACTGGGCCAAGAATAAACGTACCGCTAGAGCCCCGAAGATCTTCTGAGGACAGAAAACCTCCATAGGCACACTGGCACCCTGGCTGGCACTTGGGCACTTTTAGTTTGTGGGGAAACCGCCGACGGAGCATTGCCGCTAAAGTGTACTAGGTATGGATGTGGAAACTCCCTGGCTCTGCATCGCATTTCTCTGATTGAAGCATTCGTGAGAAATGAACGGCTCGAGACCAAAAGTTCCGCGCCGACAATGGCATAGTTCGCTCTCTTACATGGCAGACGTTAGGCATATAATCCAGATAGTATCATGTCAGATTTAGTATATACCCGTGGAGCTACCGCAAGGTACGAGAGTGTAAATCGTAGTGCGCACATTGCAGCCATGGATACTGCGAGGTAGGTACTATAAGCAGGTGCGCTGGAATAATTCAGGGTTTCTCCACAGGTTCGCAAAATGCTGGGGGTTACCCGAGTCCCGTTCCACGCTCCCGGATCTCCCTCTCTACTTCCTCTTGCGAGAACAATGGACAATCGACCGTCTAAACCCCAGACTTGGTGGTCAGACTCTCGAGTGTTAGACTTGCTGATCGTTTCTTCTCGGAGCCGAAGAGACATTGTGCGACACAAGTGAATCATATACAATGGTAAGGCTGCTACTCGAGGTACGTGATAGCTCATAATGGCAAGATGCCTTTCTGCATGGCCTCCAGTCTTCAAGCTGTAATCCCTTTACACGTTTTACAACAATATCATGTCATGAGGACAATGCCTATATTTAGCTGATATCGGGACAGTGGGCATACATCGACTTCGTGGTCGACTAAGACTCTACTCGTCAAGTTGGCGCTCCAGCCTTTGGGGGCTGTTTTTAGTGACCATCTCGATAGCCATTGCAACTGCAAAAGCTTGCCAGCCGCGGCATCACTATTCACGCTCGCATCGGCATGCTAATGACCTGCATAATCTGCCGAATGCACGACGGGCTATCGCCACCGTCCCCTTCTGCATAGCATCGCCAGCCGAGTATTCCGGTACTCGAGACACGAAGCGCGTGCAACCCGACTTTTGGATTGAAATGGACAAAAGTTTTTTCTTGGCCTCTTAGTCCTCAGCCCATGGAGAAGCCATTATTTCAGTAAATCTCCCCCAACCAGAGCATTAAGGTCATCAGCCTTACGGAATATTCAATCGTGTCTTTCCGTGTGTACGCAGATGTGAGCACTTGGATCAAGCGAGCCAATGGAGGGCGACTCCGTTGCTGACACGGCGGACGGAGGTGTCTATCATTGGTGACGATCCCGATGCAACACATGATAGTGGGTGCAATTGTGCAATCAGAGTCTCGGGGGCTGAATCTGCGGATTGGATACTCTTGTCTGCCGTTGGTCAGATTACACCCTGGTGAGGCACCCATATGCAGCGCCGAGACAATCCTCTGCTGCCACAAGGTCGGGTTCATCGATATGCCCATCCCACAAGGTCCCATTCTCAAGATACCCATCCTTTCCCAAGAAAATACCTTCTTTGAGATAGACAAGTTTCACTCAAAGAACACTGCGACGACCAACATTATATTCCTGGAACAGAGGTATCAGACTTTTAAAGAGAGACTTTGCTTGCCCACACATACAGATATTCACATTGTCCTATTATACCGTCTTGCTTTTTCCTCTGGAAATAAGCCATCAGCAACCTGGTATCTTCCGTCAGCACGTCAGTCTTTCATTGTCGAACTCGTACTGGACTCTGAACCGCATATTGAGGTCCTCTTGTCAGAAACACCCGCTCTTACCACATACGAAAGGTTTTCCTGATTTCTGAGTTGGCAATACCTGTGAATTTGGACCCATTTTGATTTACCAGCATTCAAATATAATTTCGCCGCCTGATAGGCGAGGGAAACGGTGTTCTATTGTCGCAAAAGGTGTATTTGAAATGCTCGACCGCCCGAGGTCACTTCACTCCTCGCACATGTAAAAGCCGGCAGCCTGTAGCAGCTCACCAGCGAAAATGCACGCATCTTGGAAACCCTGGAGCGGCGAGGTATTGGCTCTCGTCGCAATTGCTGGTAATGCCGTTGCGCATCAGGACAACAATCATCATTACATTCGTCGCCTCGAAAAGGATTACCAAGTCCTTCGCGGCCGTGACAGCACGTGCACTTCAGGATGGTCACTTTGCGCCGCTTCAAACGGCGGTGGCTGCTGTCCAAACGGCTACGAATGCGCCTCAACTTATTGCTTCAAGGCGGCAGCCAGCGCGACAACCGCATGTGGTTTAGCTGGTTACGTTGCATGCGGTGTTGAGATGCCAGGTATTCAGAACACACCCGTGCAATGAGGTCGAATGTTGTCGTGCTAATGAGTATTGTAGGAGCATGCTGTCCCCAAGACTACACCTGCAGTGATGGCAAGTGTATTCCGCCTGCTGGTGAAAATGTTACTTGCAGCTCGGGTCATTACGCGTGTCCAGCATCACTTGGCGGAGGCTGCTGCCAGAGTGGGATGGGTTGTAAATTGGATGGCTGTTATTCGACAGCCTCAAGCACCTTCACCATTTCCAAAGCCGTCACTACGACAGACTCGGTTGGAAGTACCATGACTTCTTCACTCACATACACAACCACGCAAGCACCAAGTCCCGTAACCAAGGTCAGCGCCGGCCCTCTACCAGCATACACTCAGAGCACCGTGTCGAAAATGGCAGCCATTGAAACCTCTCCAAGTAGTGGAGGCCTTAATCAGGCACAACTCGGGGGAGTTATCGGTGGGGTTGTGGCCATCTTCGTGGCAGTCATTGTGGCGGCTCTCCTCGTGATACGACGCTTGAGAAAGAATGCCAGGATCATGGAGGATTCGAAGCGCGGCTCCTCTGTTGCAAATCAAACAGTAACATCGTCCAAGCGCGGCGCGCCAGTGACAACGACCGTAACAGAGGTTTGCGAAACCAACGACCTTGACCCCTTGACTTTGGAACACCACTTTGGCCGACCTGGGCATCTACGTGCGGAATCTGACTCCAGCACGGTGGGTAGGCATCAATCACCAGCCAGAAGTCCTGGATTAAGCTCTGGCCACTCGACTCCCCCAGCCTGGCCCGGTCTATATAAGCCAGTGCACAACCCCGACAACCAAGCACAACAGTCGAGCATATACTCGGGCTCTGACGGTTACGATGACGCAGAACGCCAATTCCAAACGTCTCGGGCCTCGGAAAGTCGTGCAAGCTATGATTCACAGACTTCGAACGTACGGAGTCGACACTATAGCAACGTCAGTGAAGTTAGCGGGAGTTGGGACGGCCAGCATGGTTTGTCAGAGCTGGGAGATGCCACGATGGAAGCGTCGCGGCGCCGCTCTAGCAGTGGTGCCACGACGAGACCTGTGCCAACTTACCCGCGCCGGACCAGCGACACTCACCAGCGTGGTCGAAGTGACAGCTCAGCACCGGCGCTGGCTCCACTCAGTGAGATCAATGAGGCTCTCCATGGTTACTATGGGCCTTCAGACCGTCAGGTCGGGCAAACCGCAGACAGGTTGAAGGCGGGAAACTCCCCAACAGCACCAGAGACGTAGCCCTTGACAAGTCTTTTATGGCATGGGTAGTAGGTATTCCTTGGGATCTGGCGAGACTTGAAACCACATTAGTTTTTCACAATGTACATGTTTGGACGGCATTTTGTTAATACTCATGTCTATGGATCCTTGCCATGTCGAGTTGTTCGGTTGAGGTATTGTGTATTCTGCTTCCGGGTGGGATCGATTATAACGGGCAGGACTGCCAATTTTCAACTTGGATAGAGCTTGGGGCGGCAATGTGCTTGTAATCAGCTGCTAAAGTCAATTAATTTTGTTCGGTTCTTTTCTGAGCTATGGATGGACAGGTTACAATTCGTATCGACATACTTGTAGCTGCGATCATTATCAACTGTGACGTCTACTTCTCGCTGCTTACTGATCATAGTGTGTAAAGAGCGCGGGTAACAAGTTACTTCATTCATTTGGAAATGCTTGGCAGCTTTTAATGTTCAAGTCTCTCAACTAAATTCTAGGGGAAGAAAAACAAAAAAGTTATCTAAACTAGGTACCGACTTGTTTCATGTTTTCTAAAGCACATGGGTCATTCCGGACAATCCTCTTCTCGGCTGTTTGTGCGCGCATGCATGTTTCCGCATCCTTTTGTACAGCAAACACAATGCAGCAGAAACTCGGTTAGGTAGGGCGGTTCGCTTGCGACGTTGAAAGTCTCCCCCCGCAGCCCTTGGCCTAGGTTCTCCTTCAATCTGATTAACAAGGTGAGACTCGAATCAAAATTTCACAGCCCCTCTCCAATAATATCCAGTATTAGGGCATGGTATATCTATGTGATATTCTCTAATGTTGTCTTTTTGCCGAGCGAAGCGTTGCTTCTCTTTTTCCTCCATCCTAAAGAACTCGAGCCGTTGAGACCAGGAGAAAAGAAAAATTCGTTATGCATGCATCTAGGTGGGCCAGTCAGCTGAAGTGGTCCCCGAAGGACCCCTGGAAAAAGACGGGCAGCCCTTGTGCATTCATTCTGCTTTGGAGTGCAGGTTCAGGTCAGGACAAGCGTGGGCAGGCGACACTGGCTCCGCGGTAGCTTGTTGCTGATGACTTGTACTGTGTCCATGTCCCATCGAATGACTTCACGCTTTGCTTCTGCGGGCAATCCTGTGCGCCTTGACTCACGCCAAGCGGGCACTGCCTATTGGCACGACGCAAGGCGTTGGATGAGGGAAACGTGGAGAGCACCTCTTACTGCAAAGGGATCAGACCATCAAGACACCCACGAGCAGAATACCTCTTTCTTTCTGCCTACCGGAGATGACAAGTTGAGCATGGTTTGGGGGGTCCCGCAAGTACTTCCCGTCGGACCAACAGTGTCTTTGCATCGACGATCCCGTCAGATCAGGTGCGGCAAAGAATGACTAGCAAGGTGCTGATGTTGCTGGCTGCTGGCCGCTGGCTGCTGGCTGGACAGGCAGGCGGTCCAGCAAAAAAAAAATATCAGCCCAGGCAGACATGACAGGTAAATTGGCTACGGCCACGCATCTTGCGCAACGAATGGGCATAAGAATGCGAGGGGTTTCCTTCTAGTTAAAGTTCGATTTTGGTAACCGAAGTAGGCAGGCTCGCATCTTGCATCTGTCGCGTGACATATGCTTCCCTCATCCCAAGAAAACCAATTTTGCATAATCCCTTATAGCCACCCGACATACATATCTCCATACATATAGCAGATCCTCCCGACGCAAGGAACTTGCTTGTCTTTGCACCATGGCGCCATTCCTAATGGCTACGCCGGAGCCGGAGCCGGAGCCTTCGCTGCAGGAGGAGATTCGCTCAGGAGCATCCACTCTGGACTTCACCCAATTCGACACCACCGCCCAGGTTGCACCAACGCTGAAGTTTTCGAGGCCCGACGTGTTGGCGCGGTTTCAATTGTCCCCAAAAGAATTTATTCGCCAAGGCAAACCAAAGACAGACTGCCTGGTCGCGGCAACGGTTGTCTCGCACGGCGACAAAATCCTCCTTGTGCAGCGCAGTGAACATGATTTTGGCGGTCTTTGCTGGGAGGTCCCCGGCGGCTCCTGTGATGACGACGACTTGAGCATCATGGCCGCTGCCTGTCGAGAGCTGTGGGAAGAGGCTGGACTACGCGCAACGGTCGTTGTAGACTTTATCGACGACGTCCATCTCCCGTCGACTGATGGACTTATTTGGAGAAAAATGACATTTCTGGTCGACGTGGACAGGATTGGATCACACGAGCCCTCGGTAAAGCTGGATCCTGAAGAGCACCAGGCTTTTGTTTGGGCTACCGAACAGGATCTGCTCGCCAACCGCCATGGAGACATTACGTTGACTTGGATGAGCGAAGACCAAAGACAGACCATCTTGAAGGCGTTCACCATGTTAAAAAGACCGAACGTCAAAATTTGAAAACTTTGGAGGCCATGGTCGGTTCATACACGACGCACAAAACCTGCTTCATGTGCTGTCATTGCATACCTGTCTACAATCTTTTTTTTTTTTTTTTTTTTTTCCCTCTTTCTTTACTTGAACATATTTCGGCGTCACTTTGTGCTCAGTGCTTTTGGACGTCCGTAACAGCACCAACTCCCTGCAGGGGGTGAGCATCTATCATCTCTATTATATATTTACCACCATATATTTAGCCGTCATTATTCTTTTTTTTTGTTCTTGGCTCTACGCCATGCCCTTCTTTGAACTACCATCCCAAAGAGTTGCATAGCGTCGCGCAACAAGGTACTTAACATTTGACCAAAGCCGTGACTAACCCACAACTTGTCGAGCTCGTTACTTGACACCAAGTTGCTCGTATTGTGATGGTATATATATTCTTGTCCTCGTAATCGTTTTGTGTATGTCTGTTACGCTACCCGATGTCCACAGTAGTTGTATTTTTTTCTGGTTCATGAGATATTACTCAGTGGGCCAGATAGTATGCGGTGATTGATTGTTCCATTGGGCGTGTAGAGTGTCATCGTGATGAAGACAATATACTTGCAAAAGGCATGTCTTGACAGACCGCCGATCCGTCAGTGTCTTGTCGTAATGGCCAGCACAAGTTGAAAAGTCAACCGTGGTCAAGGCCATGGGTTACCTGTAGGTCATGTGGCATGAAAATGATACATGCCAATTGACAGGCAGTTTCGCCATTGTGCCATTAAGGGCAGGGGTTGCCGGCTATAGGTTACGGCACAGGAAAATGAGCAAAAGATTCTCATTGCATGCGCGTCATTGTTTGACCAGTTCAGGACATTGAAAGTAGACAAACCTGTTTATGAAATCAAAATTATAGAGACCGTACGTCTTATTTATCGTCAAGAGCAATACTATCAGAACTTTCACTCAAAAGCTAAAGTAAAACCAAAGGATTAGGTCAGCCCATGGCTGTGCTTAAGTGTTTGCAGTGTCGCATTAAACATGCATGTTCAAAAGGATGCACCCGCCCACAGGTATGACTCAAATTTGCGACTAGAAGTGATTGGGCCAAAGTATGATAGCAAATTTATGCATTACATGTTTCAAGCAGATAACTGTAGGCATATAGCAAGGATCTCATTATATCGTAACCTGGTAAGCGGGTATACCACGAAGGAAGAATGGGACGCCGTTATTCGGATATAGATTACCCAAGGCCTCGGTACATTCCCTCGTAGGCATTGCGCATACCTAGATTCATACCTCCCTAGGTAGCTTCACCTCAATCAACTCTTGCTCTTCTCTATTTAACGTGTTCTGCCTCTGTACCCTTTTCGACGGCCTTGGTCTCCGCAATGACGCCTCCGTTCGCCGTCTCAACATCGTCTTGATGTTCCGTGAGTCCAATCTCGGTGGTTGAAAAGGCATCGGCGGGGTTTCTATAAGCCGGAATGAAATTGACAGCCAGAGCGTATGACGCGGCGGCGACAAAAAACATGAGAGGCACCACCATGGCCAGGGGTGTACCGTGACGATCGGCAGCGACGCCCGTGAGCGGCGGCACAATGGCGCCGCCCAGGACACCGGCAACGATCCAGCCAGAGCCCCTCTTGGTATGGCGACCGAGACCGCGCATGCCCAGGGCCACAATGGTTGGGAAGCAGATGGACTCAAAGAAGAGCACGACGTACAGCATCGCCATACCCGTGATGCCCCGCTGCGTGATGGACGGTGCCGTAAAGATAATGCACATGGTAAGAAAGATGAGAAAGACCCAGCGTGGCCGCACGTACTTCATGATGAAGACGCCGCCGAATCGCCCAACCGTAAAGGCAGCTTGGGCACCAGAGAGGTACTTGGATCCTAGAGAGGACTCGTCGGTGGTACCGTTTTCCGTCACGTAATTGATAAAGTAACTTTGAGACGTGTTAGCCACGAGTATTTCGCCTCTCATAAAGTATTTGCGGCAAGTGCACTTACCTTGCCACGGCAATTTGAGCACCAGTGTAGCAAAATTGAGCAAAAGCAGCATGGAACAGGCGATATTGTTTCCAAAAAGGCTTATCGTCGGCATTTGCATGCGTTTCGTCGGCTTGGAACGCCATGTCTGCATCCGTGATTTCGGGAATGGTTGAAAGGAAGAAGATTAAGCCCAGGATGAAAACAAAGATGGCAATGGCGACGTAGACCCATTGAACGTTGCGCAGGGCCTCCTCGTCACTAAAGTTGAAGAAGACATATGACCCCAGTACCGGTGCGATGACGGTCCCAATGCCGTTGAAGGCCTGGGAGAAGTTGATGCGAATCTCGGCATACTTTGGTGGTCCGCATACAGTTATGTATGGGTTCGCAGCTGTCTCGAGAGAGCCCAAGCCGTTGCCAACGATGAAGATGGAGGCGCAAAATCCGCCAAAGGATCGAGCTTGAATACAGGGAAAGGCAATCAGGGCACCGACGCCATAGAGAAAGAGGCCCCAGATGAATGTCGCACGATAGCCGTAATGTCGAAGGATCCAGTTTGCATGACCGAGAGATGCAATGGGATATGCACTGTCAGGAAGTGCTCAGAGTTAGTGCACATACTAATCTGCTATACTTGGCAATTTGCCGAGGTGAGCACATACCCAAAGTAGGCCGCTTGCAAACCGCTTGATCTCGTTTTATCAATCCCGAGAGTATTTTGAAAGTGTCTGTATACGATGTGTCAATATGTCAATTCCGTCAAAGGAAACCAGGTCGCGGATTGAGACAAACTGGACCGAGTGGAATCAGTCAGCACTTACTTGTTCAAGGTGTCCAGTAAACCATAACTAAAGCCCCACAAGAAGAACAGTACAGTCACCAGACAGATGGGATACAGGGACTGTCTCAGTGTCAACTCGGCGGCCTTGGTCCTCTTATCGTCCCTAGCGCGAAGGGAGCGATTCTTGACAAACTGGGAAAAAGCCATTGCAGCGCTGGTGGTAGTCGCTGTCTGGCAAGAGAGTATCCTAAAGCAAGACAATCGACTGAGCCCAGGGGAGTATCAACATGCAGCAGCGACACCGAGAGACAAGCAACTTGAAATCGTAAGCATGGAAGGGGATCAGTATAGTCTTGACCACTGATGAGGTGCACATCTCTGCCTTTTATGTACCTAGGCAAGAAGAGCATGCATGTAGTCATGCGCGGAGCGAACCCATGAATGAATCCGATTGTGTGTCGTTTGGTGCCAGTGTCGTCAGACTTTTCTGGGGCATCTCCGTATCATCCCTGGATGATCAAGGTTTCTCCATTGGAATCTTACCACCTCTTGTGCATACTTGCAGGTTAGATAACAAGGTCTGCGGGCGTCAAGTACCGATATTTGGAGATTGAACAATGATCAGTGCCACTGTGGGACGCGGGGAAAGATAGAATCTAGCTTGGCAAAACCTGGGGTTCCTTAGCGAGATGCGGGGGAATAGGCCAAACACGACAAGGGGAGTCCTGGTACAATTTGCTTGCTTGTCCCGGGAGTTGTTTAGACAATTTTCATGCGGCTGCCCCCCTAGAACTTAATGAGGAACGGGCAACTGCTTCTACTCAAGCGATGGGTACCATTTGTTATCATACAAGGGTCGGAAATAGGGCGCGTGGTTGAACCATTGTATTACAGCTTGGGAAACTCCTTCATGGTGTTATACAGATGAGTTGCTAATGGGTCATTACGCTCCAGACTGTGGAGCGATCTGATGAATGGGCATCGGCACCAACCAACTCGTGGCAGTGTTTGTAAGTCGTTGCTGACAATGGCAATCAGGATAACATGTATTGCATCCATGCCGTAACAAATTTCTTGTCAGTCAATCTATACCGCCTAGCTTTCATTCTGCATTCCCTAGGGCGGTCTATACCATACACGTTTTTGTCTTGTCGATTCCCATAAAAGTTGCTTCCAAGATGGTAGAGATACAATGCGGCGATGTCTCTTCAGCACTCGCAGCATGTACGCATGAGACCTGATGCGAGATTGCTATACAGTATCATGCTTCAAGCAATAACGTCGGTTGGTATACTTTATTGCAAGCTTCCAAGTCTGCGTGACTTTAAAATCAAGGAGTGTCGATGGGTTTTCCGAATTCCCATCCGATTAGAGCTTTGGTCGAAGTATGTCTATGGCGAAGAATACGCCCATCCTGACGACTGCTGTACCAACTCCAGTATATTGAGACTTGGCATGTACATTACAGCTCCTGCATCTGCTATTAGTAAATGCTTGAGCTTGTGGTTGTCTCTTCGTGGACCGGAGAGTTCTGTTGTCGTCGTCAGGGCCTTCGTGTCCCTCCATGATGCCACGCATCTGTAGGGGGGATTTCTAGATATCCTGTATCGTATACAAAATAGCCTAAAGAGAGATTGTGGATGGTTGATGAAAATTAAACTGAGCTCCTCAAGATGTAGCCTTCCAGACGACAACCAAACCACAGTGGCAGGAGTGGGCAGGAGTGTGATCATACCCGAACCCCTGGTGGATAAGATCACTTGAATCTTGACGGGGAAAGGCCAATCATTTGCCTATCTGCTTCATTAATCTCGGTCAAGCATTGGGCGGCCACACAAGTGATGAACAGGCCCAATGCACTGCCAGGCATATCATAGTATTAAGAAAAGAAATAGGCTCGCTATATAGCCTTTTTTTTTTGTACTCCTGTTAATGATGATGCGTACGTTTCTGGCTTTATGTAGCGATATAATCGAGAGTTCAGCATACATCTCTTTGTTGGCTTGGCTGATCGCAAACATGGATCGCATCTGTAATATGCTTTGTACCCATCGGCAACACTGGCATTGGCTGCAAAGATGTTCCATGCCACATCTAGTTTGTGGGTCATCCATGTAAAGAACAAGTTCTGGCCAATTGACAGTGGCATGATTCCAAGATACATCTGTGGATTACGTGGGTATCCGCAAAGATAGATTATATTTAGTGCCTCGGCAAGATGAACACTGCATAATACAGTGTTGGACATAAGGGACCAAGAAAATACGTCACTCAGCCGCAAAGAGTCAAAGCGGCCCCCATCGCCGACACCGGAAGGACGGAGGTACTGACTTTCACATGGCGAGGTCGGTATGTTGGAAGCAGATGCAGCTGAAAGAGCTGCCCCAAGTTGACCCCTTTTTGACTCATGTTGGAATTGCTCAGATCATTCGCGGAGATTCGAGGCACCCGAAGACTGCCTTTACAGTCTCAATCATACAAAATATTGCAAATTTGTTCGCGACAGATGAATGACACGCATGATACATCACTTATGGAAATGCAAGCCAGAGTCAATTAAAAGAAAAGGATAAATTGATGTGATCTAATCACCTTTGTCGCTTTGCGAAACGCCCTAATTACTAATGATGAAAATATTCATATACAGGTCTAATCACTTCCTCCATTGAGGATAAAACTCATCCACCTTTTAATAACATGTCAACTTGACCAATATCTTTGTGCTGTTAAACTCCAGAAAAGCAACTGGTATCAATTTTGCCATCGGCCGAATGAATCTGGCCAAGTGCAGCAGAAAGCATGCAGACTAGGCTCGGTGTCGTGGCGGCGTGTCAAGGAAAACCCCCCCATCACATTCTCGTCTCGGCAAGGACCTTGTATGCAAAGACGGTGTCCGCCCTTGCTTGCTGCCTGGTGGTTGATTTACTCGAGGACGTTTTCGAGGCCGAAGCGGTCGGCTGCGCTGATTTCGAGTCCGACGACAGTTTTGCCTTGACTTTGGCGAGAATCGAAGTCTTTGGTGGTGATGCGGTCTGTTGTTCGGTTTTGGCTGCTGCTATCTCGTCGTCCGATTCTAGGTTGGTAAGAGGTACAATTAGTCCAATTGTTCTGGCATCACTAAGCAAGTAGATATAAAGTCAAGGACTCACCATAGTCGTAGTCATGAGAAATTTTGGCAGGTTCCGACGTGACAGTTGCCGTCTTTGGTGATTTGGGTGATTGTGTCATTCCAACGAGTGTGGAAGAACCAGATAATTGTGCGTATTCTGAAGCAGGCATTTTAATGGTGGCTTGGTTGTTTCAGCAATCAAGTCTGAAAATACTCTGACGTGGATTGACTTTATGGAATATTGTTTCAAGAACTTGATACAGCGGTAAGTGAACTTCTGTTACAGGATATGAAGTGATCTTTCAGATAATCTCAAGATAAACAATGTCGATGACTGAGGCAAGAATAATCTCTACTTGGCAACGGGAATGCTGGAATACTTATATCCATCCAATGTCCACCTTAGCAGTCAGCTTTATAATCTCACCCGCGCAACTAGAAGAATAGCAACAATACAAACCAACATATGCGGCTTCGGCCATCCCAATTCATTCACACCATGTCAATTGCTGAGTCACTGGGATACAAAAAGTCCAGCATTTGTGTACAGTTTACGCGAGGTCTGTGACCGTTTGTCTGAACCGCGTGGCAGCTGAACTCCTGACCGCTGTGGTCCCACCAGGAGGGCGCGTTTTACAGTACTAGAGTAAACCATTATTCGGCAGGCATCCAGGCAGCCAGGGTTAAGAATTCCCAATCGAAATTGTATAGTGCAATTGACAGCGATTGTATCCAGAGTTTGGCGCCATCGCAAGCTAGGACCCCTTAAGGCTGACTCACTGCCTAAAAATGCCCCATGCTCTTTTTTCTTGCCCGGCATGGAAGCGAAGTAGCGGCTTGAGACCTTCATGCTGGTGGCTGAGTTGGTGAAAAAGTCAGACGGGCAGAGATTCGGGCGCCCGTCTGACGAAACTTGCATGCCATGTACCGAATTAGGACGCCGGTCAGAAGGCATTTAAAATGGTTCCGACAGCATAACCAGGCACTTTTGTTTTGCTTGGTGGTCGACTGCGGTTTGCGTAACCCCACAGACGTAGGAGAATGATGTGCCTGTTTTTCTATTTGGCATGGCGCAGACATCTGGCAGTCGTATCATTGCAATGACGACTGAAAAACGCGACAAATCGCGAATAAATGCCCTGATCAGACCCAGACCCGCAGCGGCATCCCCTCGGAGCCTTTCCGTGCTACCTTACCCCAGGAAACCCCAGTAACCCGATTTAGCATTGAGACAATGTTTTCGGCGTCGGCTTGTGGAGGCACTATTTCGTGACCGAATTAGTCATTCTGAGAGCACTCGCCGATTGGTTGCTGGCGAAACAAAAGCTCGGTACCGCTCCAGGGTGCTGCGGCCTGCCAGGTCAGTCACTTGAAATTTGAGCCGAAGCCGAAACTGCAACTTCGGCTCAAGGTAGCGCAAGCCGAAGTATTGCTTGCGAAACTTGAGCAATTGTCCATGATTTCATTGACCATTGCGATTTGGAAGAAAATCCTTCTTGTCAGGTGAGGACTCGTCATTCTCTATAATTAAGCATATCTTGACTCGCCATGAGTAATCCACCAACACCCGTGCTGCGACGTCTCAATGGTCGTCTTCAAGCTTGCGATCCGTGCCGAAGCCGAAAGGTGAGTATCCGACTGAGTGGATGGGCCGGCTTGGTTCGCCATTGACGACACAATGGACTAAAAGTGCAATTAGGTGGCCTGCGATCATGGCAGACCTGTATGTCTACGATGCAGAAAGAGGCAGCAAGACCGGCATTGTGTTTATACTGTTTCTTCCACCACTGTTGGTTTAGGGATTGGCACATCACGCTCGCCCTCGGTATCCGCTCCAGCAAGGGCAGCCCAAAGACGTGACGATAACGTTGTCCCAACATTGAGTCCAGGCGCAAGGAGAACGAGTGTCGTGACTAGTCCTGCAAGTACACGAGCATCGTCGTCGCGAGCGATTGGATATTTGGGCTACACAAGCTATTCGACAGTGATAGATGAGACATTGTGTATACTCAATGACATCAGAGCGGAAAATCCCCAAAGTCCCTGCATGGACGACTGTCCGATTGCCATATCCTCCAAGACCATCGCTCTTGGGGTTACTGTCCTCAGGCATATCCCTTTCCCAGAGGATGGGCAGCGTCTCTTTCGTAGAGAATTGACTGTCAAGGACTCGTGGATGCGCCTAGTAGCTCGGCATATTCTTGAGACACTTTACGATGAATGGGGCGGGCACCTTGGACGCGTTCGCTCCGTGTCAAAGTTGGAAGAAATGGCTCGTCGGATATGTGTCAATACAGCCAAGCCCATTGTGAACAGAGGTGATGGCGTAGAGTGGCTAGAACAATTTCGAGGGCCAAATCTAAGATGGGAGAGTCTAGGTATGTTGCAGCAGAAGGTGTCAATTCCATGTCATATGTATTGACGGGCTTCCAGGGGTACTTTTCCACGGATGGGATCTTGTCGATGACGCGCACAAAATTAAAATGCAGGGTGCCTCTGTGTATATCAAGCAATCTGCGCCGTCGGTACAGGAGTTCATCTCGCTCTGTCTTGAACTGTGCCAAGAGTTCTCTGACGGCAATTTCTTCACCGTCTACTTGGACTTTAAGCGGACTTTACTGGAGTCTCTCATATCGGGCGATGCCAGTATGTGCACCTGATTATCAACCACCATGGCGCTGACTGGAGCTTTGCTAATAATATTGTAGGTCGACAAACCTGCAGATACCTCGCTGACACGGTAGCCAGTTTGACATTCCTTGGCATGCACGCGGAGCCCACTGATGAATTCTATCAACCGACATTCTATGCCGAAGCCAGTCGGAGGGTACTGCTCGCAGTATTCACTGTCGACAAAGTGTAAGTTTTGATACTTGTGGTGCCTCGAAAACGCCCCAATTGCACTCCAGGAGTGGTATCGGACACGGCGCTGATTGATGCTATCATAGGCAACTTGCATTCACCGGACGGCCGCCGTTGTTGTTCAGAAAGTTTGTCACGACGCCCATGCCTTTGGATATAAGCGACCAAGACCTCTTCTTGGATCAAGCTTCTCTGCTCAAAAAGATACAAAATTCAGTTGATGACAAGGGCTGGAATACCAATGGTGAATTCTTTTCCAGCACCATTGTCCGAGCTCGATACATGGTGGCACAGATCAGAGAGCACATTGCAGAGATAGCACTCGGCAACGACTCACAGACTACAGCAGATGAACTGCAGTAAGCTTACATTTTTCTTGGGTGCTGTTACTCGGGAATATGCTCACAACTTGATAGTCGCATCAAACAAAAGCAAGATGCTGTAGTAGCAGAATTTCCCCCCAGTCTACATTGGCAAGCCGAAGACATGGCAGACCCAGAGGTGGATGCGAATATCGTATTCAACAGACTGCTGCTGAGCTTGGACAGTCTGCAAAATGACTTTTTTGTTTACCGACTCTTGGTACGGACAGGCCAAGGTCAACCTGATGAAGGTTGCCTATTGGCAACGAGCTTCCGCATGGTATCATTGGTGCTGCTGCTGTGGACGAACATGGATCGATTTCAGGTCATGAGGCCTGACTTCGGATGGCTAGTAAGTCCAAGATTGGTTCCGTTGTAGTAATTCGCAAGACTGATGGCATTTCAACCAGCTCATGGGGTACGGCGCTTCACCCGGGGGCATACTCTGCAAGTGCTTGCTGAAAGCACAGTCCAGTCAAATCCATCCCGGTGAACCCGAAATCACACGCTCTGCCATCATCCAAAAGCTGTCGCTGCTGGTTGGATTCTTGGATTGGGTCAGTCCGACCGCGCCCAATGCAGAATTGTGCAAAGATTGCAAATCAGTCATCGAACGCGTGCTTGATCAAGCACTGAACTGCATCCCGGGAAACGCGCCAGCTTTTGGGGCCAGCATCAATTGGGATCTGTCGACTCCGTTAGATTTCAACTTTGATCTGATGGACACTTACGACTGGCTGAGGTCCGATTGAGCAGTTACGCAGGCGTCTCATTCGCGGGTGGCGTGTCCGAATCGGCCGCAAAAGAGATTACTTGACAAGAACTCTACAGGCATAATGATAATTATAAAACAATATTGATATCATTTGTTACATTACTGTTCATCAAGTAAAGCAGTCATGTCTCATCTGATCTCTTCATCTGTACTTTCGGCTTTTGCCCTGTTTAGATGATTCTGGCCCGGGCTAGAGCTCATCAAGATAAGGATATCGAAAGGCATCTGCGGCACCGGTTGATCTACGCAGAGTGGTTTGATGTCTTTGCCGCCCAAAGGATAGAGATGGAGCCACTTGGCATGCGGTGCGCGGCGCCGGTACGTTGATAAGTCAACGACGGCGCTTGTCTCGCATTGAATCCGCCGTCCCGTCTATGATAGACTATGTTATAGTCGGGCCCGAATACGGAAAGGGCCGTACTTCTGTTACCGCCGCCATCCACGTCTCCAGTGCGGGTTGCAACCCTCCAATTGAGTTAAGCTTTGGGTTTTGCCCGGCTCTGGAGTCTGTCATCTCAATTGCGTCCATCACCTTAGTTTGGACCCAATTCATGGTGCACCAACCATATAGGGAACAGGGCCAGATGAACCGTGTCCGAGCGACGCAGCGCTAACGGCATTGGCGAAACGTGACAGCCCTGGGGAAATTGACAGGACACCCATGCCATCATTTTACGGCGCTCTGTTGAAACGCGCGGATCACGACAGCAAGGCTGACGATGACGAGGGTTGGGAAATCTACAACAGCCCGCCAAGTTGAGGGGATTTCCGAGACACTTGCACACACAAAAGTCCAATACCAACAGACAGTCAATATGATAAAATTCGATCTGCACAATGTCCCACAGCTCCCGGGGTTGATTAATGGTGGCTGGTGGGTTAAACCCAGGAATGCTGTTACAGGCCCCAAGAAGGACAATCTCTAGCGTGCGCCTTTAAGCAGCAGAATAATGGAAACATGCAGTGATGCTTGCTCTTCAGTGGTGTTCCTGAATGATCGTCATGAATTGTGATGGGGACTGATCAACGACTGCTCGCCTTTGGGGGTGAAATGTGATTGGTCTCATTTTGTGCGCATCGGATTACCCCGTTGCAATCCATCTTGTTGGAGTAAAGTTCTTGGGGCCGCCATCCTTGCGACTCCCAGGCAATGTTAAACTGTGGAGATATACACGATCCACCACGCCCATATACACTTCCCACTACGGCATTGACCATCGTCTCAAGGGTAGATTGAAACAATCATGGCAACGGTGGCCCTGTATGATGGAGCTGACAATTGCTTTTGCTTCGTGATGATCACTCGAGGTCTATAAAGCAAGACGTTGATCTCCAATTGCAGATCTATTCTACTTATCCATTCAATCACCATCTCTTCTTCATTCACTTCTCTTCTCAACTTCTCAATCGCTTCTTTCTTGGTTATCCAACCATTACACTCATTCATCAACAAAGACAAGAACAGGTTTTCTTCACCCCCACACTCATTCAAAATGCGTTTCTCTACCATCGCCTCGACGGCACTTCTCGCCTTCTCTCCCGCTGCCTTTGCTGCAGTCACCCCCGTCAAGAACGTGGACGTCGTTGCCAAGCGTACCGACTCTTCTTGCTCCTCCGGATCCGGTCTGTTGTCCGGTCTGCTTGGTGGTCTCTCTTCGGTCACTGGTGGCCTTGACATTACCAGCGAGCTTACCACCATCATTTCTGGCCTCACTGGAGGATCTTCCGCAGAGTAAGTCTTTATATATCTAGAAAGAAAAGACAAAGTCACATATTGACGGTATAATTAGCTCTGCCGACATCCTCAGTTCCGTCTTTACCGAAGTCGAGTCCCTGGCTGGTAGCTTGATCACTGGCATCACCACCGACGGCACCACCATCTCTGGAGTTGCTGGTGAACTCACATCCACTCTCCAGTCTCTCAACGCCACCTTTGGTGCCAGCGCCAACGCCACCGCCGCCATCTCTCTGGGCATCAACATTGTCGGTGAGGTCGAGGGTCTCCTGAACGGCTTCCTCTCGGGCAACGTCTCGGCTTCCGGTGCCGTCGACGTTGTCTCTAGCATCCTCGGCGAGGTCGAGTCCGCCGTCGGCAGCCTGGCTGGCGGTGCTGTCGGTAGCACTGATGCCTCAACCTATGCCAACACCTTGACCCAGGTCTGCTCGACCGCCAAGAGCCTCCTCTCGGGCTTTGCCAGCGGCTCTGGAAACGTTTCCGTCTCCGACACCCTGAGCGGCATCACCACTCTCTACAGCCTCTTCTCCTCCCTGGCTGGTAACCTCGGCTTCAGCGTTGGCGGAACTGGCTCCCTCGACCTTACCACCCTGCTCAGCGCTGCTGTCAGCTTCCTCGGCCAGTAAATTGCCGTGTCCAATCAGTTGACATCAGGGCACGGGATGGACGATATGGCCAAGCCAACCTCAAGCCGATCATATCCGCTATGAAATGACCGACATCCTGGTCCGGCACCATTTCCTTCTTGTCGTTTATTTCTTTGGACAGTATTTATGCTTCCTTTTCAAGCCAAGGCTTTTTTTATATCAGGTGGTGATTAGAGATAGGTGAATTGATATGACATTATGACATTGTCCACTGTGCAGTACTCGATACTGGAAGTCATCACTGTGACAACATGATCAATTGAAAATAAAGTATGGAAACTTGTGATTAACAACAGGCACTCATGCTTGATCTGGTTTAATATACATGACTGAAATGTGGACCTATTTGTTTTATGTATAAGACTTCTATAAGACTTTTAATGATATGTGACTACTTGAGACGTGAAGTATGCCCTTGATATCAACCCCCTTTGGTTCATAGAATATTCGACTGACTATACTCTTGCCCCAACCACATCGTAGCAAGTGACTCCAATATTACTCGACCCAACACACTGCCCGCTTCCGTCTCAGTATGTGTAGCTACATACCTGATTTACACTTTATCACCTTCAGGAAGATCTCCAGGGTTCTCAGCAGAGCTTTCGACAGACGCTAGGGCTGCAATTTCGAACCCAAAAGCCCACGCTTTTGCGATATCCCGAGTATTGGTTATGTTCAAAAGAGGATTCGAATTAAGCATGAGCACATCCGCGCGCTGGCCCACCGCCACGGAGCCTCTGTCTGGGACCCGGTGCCATTTGGCAGCTTCACGAGTCGCAGCATTGATGGCCTCGGCGGGCGACATTCCCACAATATTGACAAAGTTCTCCAGCTCGTAATGGAGTGTCAATCCCCATGGGACTTGAATCGAGGTACCGTTTTGAGGGAGTGTACCAACCGCGTCGGTGCCTGCGATAAGAGGTACACCGGCCTGATAGAGGAGCCGGGCATTGGTCTGCGCATGCTCAAGCGAGCGGTTGCTCCCTGGCGTGACACTAAAGTACTGCTGTAGAGCAGCTTCTCTATACGCAAACTCGAATACGTTGATGGTTGGAGTGACGAATTGGCCTTGTACTAGAATGGCATGGATTGTCGCATTGTCGAGAATGCCGTCATCGGGAACATGCTGGATGCCGTCCGTCTTGGAGGCCACCGCCTGCTGGTATGCCGCAATTGCTGATGCGTGGGTCATTGTCTGGGCCCGATACTTGGAGTGAGTTTGCTGGACCATTTCAGTCTGCTGCTCCGTCGAGGGGCCGTTGACCTCGGCAGTAATCTTCATAAAGTTGCTGCCGTTGCCGAATTGCCAGTCTGTCCATTCGACTACATTGGTGTCGGGATATATGAGAGTGTTTCTCAACCGCGTCGGATCTTGCTTTTCATGCAGACTTCCATTTCCCACTGCCGCCAGACCTGCATGAATGAAGCTAGCAAGGCCCGGCTGGTTCTTCATGGTCTCGCATTGTGTATAGTTTCGACAGTTCATATGCATGGCCGTGGTACATCCCCACGATGTAAAATTTTCGAGTGATTGTACATCTGTCAGGTGGACGTGACTGTCGATTAACCCTGGAATCAAGAACTTTCCAGTACCATCAACCGTAGCCTGGGCGTCGTCGCATTCGTCAACACTGACGATATAGCCACCATCCAGACATACTGTTGAAGGAGTCTCAAACGCCCAACCATTGAAGACCCGCACATTCTCGATGGCCGTTTTCACAACTTCATTCGGGGTAGAGCGTCTATCGTTGTTGATTGTTGGAGAATGGCCAGTGTCGGTTGAATGAAATGGACAAGCTTGGATGCTCACTATATGCTGTACCACAGCGAGTGCAGAAACGAGTCTTGTTTGCATCATGATGTAATAAACTCTTTGCAAATTGAGCTATTGATGAAGATATGAATCTGATTACCTATGTAACAGGATGATGAGTAAATATGTAAAACACGAAACCAGAAATCGAGCAAAATATATAAACATTTTCGAGTCTCTGCGAAACTGGTCTTGGCTTATACACTTGGCAGAGCCGATGCCGACATCACCGATCGGGCATCTCTATTGACCGTATTATCGTACAGTATGGCAGATCTCCAAGCGCCTTTCCCATATTGTTTTGGCGGTGCCTGATCAGCAGAGGCTATGCAAACATGGCCACAGCGAGTTGGTCATAGTATAGGGCTGCCACTAACGCCACCTGCGCACTTAGGTCCAAGTTCAGCTCGTAGCGTCGGAACCGGTCTCGCATGACGAGACGGCGCTTGCGCTGCCAGGTTTACAACTCCAGACTTTTAATGCTGTCGGATTTGGAATTTATTTTTCATCATCTGCCCGAAGCCGTTGAGTCAAACATCGGTACGACAGTCCCCGTGCACCGACAAGTCTGAATGATCGGCAGAGCTTGGTCATATACGGTTGGTCAGAGGGCGAATTGCACAACTCCTAGATTGCGTGGGAAATCGGGAAAATCACCATATTTGTGCTTTCATTCAAGAGAATCATTACAGAGAACTATTCACTGCCTAATTTGTGGGTCTCGGCCTATGGACCACTGTGAATGTCGTTGCGTTGCAGCATGAAATTATAAAAAAGAAAATCGAAAAAAAAAAAGGAGAGGAAGAAAAGGATTCAATACCTAATACTCGTTCTTGTTTACCAAGTCGCGGCTTTCACAAACCAATAATTGCCGAGTTGCAGAAGGATCTTGCATTAGGAGTTTGCTCCACGTAGAAAATACCAGATAGCACGAGTCATTATACATCACTCAACAATAGCATTGTGACAAACATTGCTGGTTTGTTGTGCATTTTCTTTGGTGCAAGTACACTAAGACATCGTCCGCGAACGGCATTCCATAGTCCCGCCATACTACTCTGGAATGCCATTAAGATGAAGCAAACAAACCTCGGAGCAACCATTGCCCAAACTTTCTGGATTCAACAATCTTACTGACACTTCCACCTATTTCCACCTAGTTGTGCCATGTCAAATCATCATGTCGAGATCAGGAAGTTATAGTTCGGGTTCACGCACACCAAGCTACTCTCGAGGCTCATCGGCTCGATATCCGCCGGGTACGCCAGATTTCGATAGATATTCGCGTTCATCTTACTCTCGATCAGGCGCCGAGTCTCCAGACTATGATCAGTACTCGGCGTCGTCGTCTGTGTCAAATGGGAGATATACCGCATCAGAGTCCATTAGGTCATCATATAGCAGACGTTCAAGTAGATATGGGAATGAGTCGCCCCTCCATTCATCGGTCAGAGGCGACGAGCGATCCGAATCCGGCTCTCTTCGTCAAAGCAGACGCTTGAGCGAGAAGAATGGACCCTTGACGAGCAAGTCGGTCAGCTTTGACCCTGATCAAGTTTCGCCGGCAAGCGAAGACGAGGATTATGAAGCAATCTCACCTCGGTCTAAAGAAGTATCAGTGTCACGTCGTGAGAGTGCAGCGAGCAATGTCGCGTCTACGCTTGGGCGAGCATCGAGTTCCGTCATGGAAAAGGTCGAGCAAGTGCGGGACTTTTGGAAGATGTTCTACATTAAATGGGGCACTCCCACTTTAGTAGTACTCATACTCATACCAGCCCTGTACTATGGTCGCGAAACGGTATTCGACATGATGGATCTCGTTCGTGGCGCCAGGAGGCAGTTGAATTCAAAACTTGACGACATCAAGTATGATGCCGAAATCCAAGCCGGGATTCCTCAACCATTCAACTTGACTGCTCATCTTGAGCCAATTTGGCAACAGTATTCCGATATCCTGGATAACAAGGACTACGAGACGTGGTTTTTTAATGCACGGGATGCCGAGGATGCAATTCTGGCCATGTGGAATGCTCTTCCTACAAGCAACAACAAGACAGTCGATGAGATACAGCAGGACATAAAAATGAAAGGATTCATCGACTATCGCATGGCGCTGCGAAAGAGATCCGAGGTTAATCTGGAAAACTTTCTTCTTTCCCGGAGCCGAGTATTGGGAGAAATGCTTCAACTGACCAACTCGTGGGGTCGGTATGTGCACAATACACTGAGTTTGAACAGCTCGAATGCTGTAATCTTGGAACCAAAAGAGAAAGAACGATTCGCAGCATATGGATTTACGGAGAACAGCACTACTGGAAACGATCAGGTCGAAAACAAGACTGCTTACGTTTTGGATCATGCAGCAGAGCGTCTTCTCAACAACATGATTAAACTACATGATGGTCTCGTTATTACTCGCGAGGCGCACTGGCCAATGGAGAAGGCGAATGCAGACTGGAGCGACACGCCGACGAAAAACTCGTCTGCAGAGGAAATCGACGAGTGGATGCTGAAGTCGTTTGCATTACATGACATCAAGCACGCCCGTGAGCTCGAGGCCAGATTCATTGACAGTCTCGTCAAGCAGAGTCCATACGCAGAATTGTGGGACAATGGGAGAAGTCACTCCACCAGTCTGCAGACACTCGAAGAAAAGTTGGCATCATTGCAATTTCACTTGTACGAACTCAGGCAAAAGATTGTGGCAGCCCTGGGTCAATTGTCGATTGAATCTGTCATCCAGATACCCGACCAGGAGCCTAGGATCATTCCCTTACATTTCTGGGCACAGAATGTAGATGAAATACTGGCTACGTGTGGTAAAACTCTCCAAAAACCAAGCCAGTCCTTGACACGTGCAGAAATTCATTATGGTACACTAAAGGCCAACATGGCACAATTTCGTGGACGACAACAGCTGATACGTTGGCGGCGCGAGAACTGTGGTGACACGACATGCTTTGATCTTGCGCCTGGTGGTGCCTGGGGGCGGTTCGTTGGTGCTGCTCAGCAGGGCTTGAGTCTGATGAGTCCAGGGCAGCCAAGGAAGCCATTTGCTCGGCGGCCCCCGAAGATGGTAGGGTTGGAGAGACAGGATGGAGAAAAGACGGAAGCAGTCAAGGCTGGTCAATACGAAAAGAGGTGCTGTGGATGGTCTGGAGAAAACTTGTGGTTGGATTATCTGCGATTCGGTGCAAAAGAGCTCGTATACTTGGATCCATACAGAATCGATTCTCCTCGAGAACAGGTGGTGGAGACGGAGCAGGATACTGAGAGCTGATGCTGAATATCAAAAAGGATTAGACCACAAAGACTTTATTGGTAACTGAAATCAAAGATAGGACATTTTTTGCGTCTGGGAAACCAAAATCAAAACAAACTTGACACAATCCATCCTCAAGAGCATTCCATCAGTCCGAAAATGCCTGCCAAACACTCCAAGCTTCCTCAAAGAGTAGTCATCCTGCCCTTGTTGCCATGTTTCTGTGAGTTCTTGCGAACTGGATTGGGGGTGCTTGCGGACCTGTGGGCATGGAATCCAAAAGGAATGGGCTTGGGCCGCTCCCTATCGCGAGGCTTCTCCGACTTCTTGTGTGTAAATTTTGTTCTTTCATGGCCCTCCTCGACTGTTGTAATCTCAAGTTGCATAGCATTGCAGCGCAGCTTTGTAATATCGAGAAACAAGTCCACACTCATCTGTTCGCCATCCATGCGCGACCGAGCCGTGAGAATGGTACCAGATCCCTTGGGCGTCAACGCTGTCTTTAAATCTTCAATGCGGGCCGACTCGGGGGCGATAGCCATGTAAAAGTGAGGCCACGGTGTGTTGGCCGGCCAGCGGTTTTCACTGTAGTCGACAACTGGAAAGCTGATGTGGGCAGCAGTTCGGGGCCACACAAAGAGCTGGGGGTAGTGGGCTGTGAATGCAGTGTCAAGCTCGTGATGTTCCTGAAATGCAGCTCCCGTCGAGTCAAAACCAAAGGATATATCAGGAGACAAGAACTGCTGTGGGGATCTAGCAATGGGGTTGTAGTGTGGAAATCGACCATCCCCGGCCATGGTTCCAGAGGACGTGCTTCTGTTGCTCTCTTCTTCTTCTGACGTCTCTGAAGAGATTCTCGAATTGCGACAGTAATGACATTGGCAATCTCCAGTGGTACGGCGCTGGGGAATAGCGCCTCTCATCATGGTGGGCGAATTCGCAAAGCCTTGAGCGTCTTGCATCTTGACGATTTGAATCTCCAGCGACGATGGAGGAGTGGGTGGTGGATTTGATGATCCGTAAATGTTGCGAGGACCAGAGACGAGAATGATCTTCTTGTCAGGACTGATCTGATTGACTGGAGACTTTGTTTTCGGCTTCCTAGAGCGACCATGATTCTTATAGGACCTCATCCCCGTTGCTGCCCTACCTCGCCCATGCCTGAGGCAAGACAAGGGGAGGCACATCGCATCAAGAATGGCTTAAAGGAGCCTCAGTCATTTTTGCGATTTGTGTCTGAGGCAGTTGATTCTTTGCTTTTCAGCAAGAATTACAGTATGCAGTGTCAAGAATCGAACAAGAGATGCAAAACATGGACTATAATGCCTTCATACATGTCAAAGCAGCGGAAATTTTCAACCTGACATGCATTGGCGGCGTCTTTATCTCCGGTATATGCCAAGGGTTTCCACAAGGAGGCAAACACAATCAAGCTCACGATCTATTGAGTTCACATTGCTGCAAATGCCAAACCTATGTGTATCAGCCTACATGTGGCAAACAATTTGGGCGAGATCGGTTGTGACCAAGCTTTGAGATTGTGCCTTCTGTCATGCTCAAGCCAGAAGTGGCCTACATCAACTATTTGGACATACTCAGGATCTTTAATGGCTGTAGATTCATGGCCTTCAAATGATGCGAACAAGGAAATACTCGTCTTGGTATTTGACAATCGAAAAGGGGGCGGTATTTGCTAATTGTAGCTAAATGGCACCAATCCTCATTACCTTGGCGCGATGACGGCCGCTCGGTGTGAGACTGGGAAAACTGTAGATAAAAGAGACATCTTTCAGAGACACATTTTGTGTAATTGTCTGATACAAGAAGCTATCCCTGTACTCTTGCAATCATTGCCAGGTCCATTGTCAATAGGTGGATTTGGTAGTAAACCAAGGTAGAGGCTACTTACTACCTTGATCTAGATAGCACCCGATTGCACATTGGCGACCGTGTTCATTTGCTGGCCGATGTGCGGCGAGTCCCTGCGGCTTGTGCCGATTGGCCCACCTGTCCGCCAATTGGCTCCAGGCCGCCGCATTTTACGCAATCTTTCCAGCGCAGCGATTGCAAATTTCCCCTGCTCGGCTTCTATCTTTCTCCATTGCCTTCCTGTCGCGAATCCAAAAAATCCCACGCCTCCCATAATAAATCGCAGCTTGTGTCGCGACAACTTCTCAGCTCCTCTGCTGCTTTTGCAACCTGTCCACCCCCTCTCCTTCACGCCGTTCACACGAAACAATCGCAACAATGGCCGGCCTCAGCCCCCAAGTGTAAGTACAGTCCAACACGCACTCTCGTCAACTACGTTTCTAGCATACTCACGTGGTTCTTGTCGTGTGTGCATCCATCCAAGCTGACCCGAGATGTGCTTCATAGTACCAACATTGTCATCATTCTTGGAATGATGCAAGTGTCCAAGAGAATCCCTTTCGAGGACCCCGACACCCTCAACATTGTTCGCGCGCTGTACATTGCCAGCAACCTGATTATCGCCTCCATCTACCTGTATACTCAGATCCAGATCAACAAGAAGAAGGGTATGTCGACCCCTTGACACAATAAAGGCGCAGGATCTTTGCGCGATGTCTAACTCGAGGACGGAGAGACTAATTTGCTTCAACAGATCTGACGACCCTCAAGTATGTCGAGCCGGCGCCCATGGGATCGACTGAGGAGGGCAAGCTCGTGACCACCACCATCCACGCCTACGACTCCCAGCAGGTCAAGCAGCTCTTCCGCTCCCAGCTCATGGGTGTTGGTATGATGGCTTTCATGCACCTCTACCTCAAGTACACCAACCCGCTCCTGATCCAGTCCATCATTCCCCTCAAGAGCGCTCTCGAGTCCAACTTGGTCAAGATCCACGTCTTTGGCCAGCCCGCCGCAGGTGACCTCAAGCGCCCGTTCAAGCAGGCCGCTGGCTTCATGCAGGGACTCCAGAGCGGCCCCGCCCAGAGCGACAAGAAGGCCGTCGAGGCTGCCGAGAGAGCTGGCCGTGGTGGCGCCAAGGAGGAGTAATGCTCTCCTGCTCAGACTGAACTCTGGACACATTGGAATATCTGCCATGAAATCTTGTGGGTTACCTAGCAGCCATTCTGGCTGGGGTAGCATCCACATCAGAATCAGAGGCTCGTAATAATACTATCAATGTTCAATGGAGCTGTTTTGCCCTTGCCAACTGTTGTGCATGTCTTTGTTGTCAGATGTAATTACAAGTGATTTTGGAGAGCGTTGGCCTCCGCTGCAAGATCTTGTTTTATCGGAAAACAGCATTCCCAGCAAGACTGGCCAGTTCTACATATCTACCCAGCAAGATCTTGTCGTTGTCGTAACAATCGGTATGGCTCTGCCCGAATTCAATAGAATGATTCATGGTGGCGTTCCTGGTCTACTTTCAGGGTCTAACATTAATCGCGTCCAGTACCCCAGAACCGGAGTTTAGATAGCTCAAAGCTCCGACGTCACCATCTATTATCACTTACAACCCAACATGATCCATTTAACCTTCTATTTTTGATTTCTTTGTCGCAAGGCGTGATCAACTTGTGTATTTCTGCAAATCCTTGCTCCAGGTGTCCTCTCATTCATATTGTTCCATCAGGTCAAATCTTTTCCCTCCAAAGCTACTCTGCCAGGCATGCCGCGTCCTTCGACGCCGCCAAAAACGGCGCCCCCCACCAAGGCAGCCGTCTCGCCTCCCACACCCGAAGTTACTCGTCGCATCGTGAGTGTCACCAACTTTTCTGAGCACCATCAATGACCTAACACACAAGAAGGAGGAGAATCGGCTGAAAGCCAAGGCACGGCGCGCTCAGCACGATGCCGAATTGAAAGCTGCTGGAACCCCTTCGCTACCACGCACCTCTTCTGGCTTTGTGGCCACTGACGACATTCACATTCCAAACACGCGCAAACGGACACACGATGAGATAGCGTCGATTCGCAATACTCCATCAGTAAGCCGTGATGGGCGCATCAACGGCGCATCTCCAGCAAAGACAGGTGCATCACAGTCAGAAAATCCAGACTCGGGAGCGATACAGCCTGCGAAGAAGTTCACCAAGTTTGTAGACTACGACTTTGACAAGATTACAGATACAAAAGGTGGATTCCTGAGTGCCGAAGATGACCCTTGGAACAAGGCAATGAGCGGCGGCCCGGCAAAAGGTGGAAAGCCCGGGCAACCTGCGGACGGAGGCGAAGAGAAGCCAAAGGGCATGACAGAGGCGGAATGGGAGCGGCTGCAAATTCTCCGGAAATTGCGCCGTCAAAAGGCTGGACCCTACGAGCCAGGTCTCAGTGTCATCACCGCAGCAGATCGCAAGAAATGCCGTGAATGCAACAGCATGGAGATTGACTTTGTCTGGGATGAGGTCTTTGGCATATCCGTGTGTAACAAATGCAAGGAAGCGGCACCAGAGAAATACAGCTTGTTGACCAAGACGGAGGCCAAGGAGGACTATCTACTTACGGACCCAGAACTACGCGACGAGGAACTCCTGCCCCACCTCAGCCGACCAAACCCTCACAAAAGTCACTGGCACGACATGATGCTGTTTCTGCGATGCCAGGTTGAGGAGTATGCTTTTTCAGACAAGAAATGGGGCAGCGCAGAGGCCTTGGATGCCGAATTCGAAAAGAGAGAAGCTGAAAAGAAGAGAAGAAAAGAAGAAAAATTCAAATCCAAGTTGCTGGACCTGAAGAAGCGGACCCGGACCGATGCATATCGGAGAGAGCACGGCAAGCTTGGGTCCGGCGCAGGGATTGGTAAAAGGACGGATGGTGAGAAGGCCAAGTTTGGAGACAATGTGCCAAATATGGGACGGCACGTACATGAATGGGGCAGAGAAATAGAGAACGAAGAGGGCATGACTGTCAGGACTTGCACGTCATGTGGCATGGAAGTTGAAGAGTTGGAGTTTTGATGAGCCTGACCTGCATGTAGACCGGATGGAAAGTGTCTTGATACCCAATGAAATTTACAACAGAGTACATCTAATGCTGTAATGACCTTGCTCTGCTTTGACTCGTTCTGTTGTTGAAACACTGATTTTTGGTGAAGCACCTGAGAGCCCAAGGGGGAGAGAGAAAAGACATACCAAAAAAAAAAGAAGAAAAAAGCATACCCTGATTCTTTGTTCACACATTTGTTACACTCCCAATAATCCTTGGCCTAGTCACGGTTTAGATAATGCAAGTCTAGAGAATTTATCAAAGAGCACAGTTTAGTTTGAAAATGGGACCCTCAAGGAAACGACAAGACTTGTCAAGAGTCAGGCTTCCAGGGACTTCGCTCGATGTAAATTGCAATCTTTGTTTTCGATGACAAATTTGTCGTGTGTTGCAACCAAACATCAAGCCTCAAGTACCTGTTTATGCCAAGCACGGCCCATGTTCACCACTTATTCGATGCTCTGTGTAATCATGGACATGTACCGAGTATGTGAGCTGGCCCCAAATAAGTCACTAAGGTTAGTACAGTTGGATTTCTGGATTGGATCTCATTGGTCTTGTGCTTTGGCTTTACATACCCGGCAGATCAATTGATACATGTAGACCTACCTTAATTTTTCTTTCTTGCTGTCTTGCAAATACTAGTGTCAGTGCCATGTGTATACCTCTGTAGGTAGACTTACATTCCCGAGGTGGAGAAATTAACAGCACTTGAGGTCTCCATTTTTATCTTGTTCTGAATTGGTACGACTAGCAAAGATTCCGGTCATGCCTGAGGTTTGCTGACAAGTCATAGGCATCAACACCTAGGCAGGCACTCAGGTAGGCACAGTAGCTACATCTGCACGAACTACAAAATCTGCCAAAACATAATAAATGGAAAGACAAGGGAAACCATTAAATCTGAGATATGCTGACCAGCAAGTTTCATGCCTACTAGGTAGGTCTTGAAAGCGAGTAATAAGGTCTGGTACCCAGCAACCCAGGTAGGTCCTGCATGTTGATCCCCCGGCTTAGTCGGATGCGGTGCTCCGTTCAGTGACCAAGATTGACGCCCCGGCTATTCATCCACCCATGTCCTGCTATCTGTCCATTTCACAAACAAAAAAAGTCCGTGCACACTGGTCGCCACACACGATTCGAACGCAAGCCACATAAAAAGGTACATCTGCTCTCAAAACACTTCTATCCACGATAACTTTAGCAAATAAAATGGGAAAAATACGCAGATACGTTAGGATTAGTTATTAGGGTTAGTTAGATTAGTTAGTTAGTGGTTCGGGTTATTTAGGGTTAGCCGGGAGTCCGAGGGGCGGTGTGAGCCCTTCGCTATCTGGTATATGGTAATTAAGATATTTGCGTGTGTACTTTGTAGATGGGTGGACAGATAGCAGAAAGTGGGTGGATGAATAGCCGGGGCGAAGATTGACGTGCCTGGCCAACAGCGGATAAGGCTGTGACACGCTACTACACAAGGTCACTAGTAACTACCTGGCGCCTAGGCATTTTGAATGGGGAACAAGAGCGGGCTCATGGATGTTACTTGACGCGCCGTCTTCCCTACTACCAGCGGCTGCCTGGTACATTTAGTAGGTGGTTACTTACCTAAGGTAACTAGCACTAAGGCATGTACCGTGGGGTCGCTCAGCATTGAAATATCTCAGCAGTTGCAAGGTTCAGTGTTAGGCCACAATAAATTTTTGACGCCGTTTGGCACCTGCAATTGGCCAAAGCTTCCCCATCAAAGCAACCTCTGGTGAAGTCACACTGGAGCAAGCAGCAACCTTTAGCTCTCCATCAGACTCTCTCACCACTTCCTCCGTTTGATTTCTTCACCACCCCCAATAATCACAACCTCTCCGTCATCCACGAGACGCCGTGACGGACACACCTGCACAATACCCGATCTTCACCAGGCGACACTCTCGAATTTTTCTCAGACGCGAATCCTCAAGCAACAGAACCAAACAAGACCCCGCGGCAACCTGCACAACTGCCTCGGGAGCCTTGAGACGGACCTCTGAAGCTTCGGTTTTCGCTTGTTGAATTTCGTACAGGCCGCCCGGTCAGCACCCAACGCACACCCACCAACTTTTACACCTCCAGACATCCTCTTCTCTCCCGCAAACTCCTTTTGATACCCAACACCTCCATTTGCGACTAAAGGTTGAGAACTTTGTACCACTACTCGGCGCCCAGTAGTGCATAACTGTCGTCATAACATTTCGCAAGGCTGACAAACAGGTGACGACAAGGCTCCACGCCGTGCCTCTTTCTACCTTTCTTCCGTCTTCCGCGCCCGCCTTTTCTACTTTCGACATTAGTTCTCCTCACAAAGTCAAACAAGGGAGTCGTCCATCTATTCGGGCGCTCCGGGCACAAAGTCAAGCTGTCACCAACAGCTGTTAGACCGTCGGTAGTGGAGGGGGAGCTCGTTCTTGAATTTATGCGGCTCTGCCGCCCCCAGTCTTCACCATGGGCAAGATAACGAAGACCCTCCAACAGAAACACAAGGAGTCCAATGTATGTCCTCTCTTTCCTACACCTACCGTTCTCATCGGAAGTGAAACTAACAGTCTCGCGCAGACTCCTTGGCTTCAAGATTTCGTCCAAAACGCATCTACCATTGCCCTACCACAACTTCCGGGCTTCCTCGACAGCTTCCCCACACGATGGCCCTTTCCTCGAGGTGACCTTTATCACTGGATCCCTTTGCTTAATAAGTTCGATACAGTTCTGGAATCCTTTGTAGCGACATACCAGTTGAGCGATGGCACTCAGACGCGCAACTTTGGATCTGAAGTCATGCTCCAGCTCAGCGCTGGCGAGCCAGTCGGCCAAGAGAAGACAATCGATGCGAGCTATCTGGGAAGTTTGGGATACGGCGATGCCGCAGATACAAAGCTCGTCTTGGCGATTCTCCAGTTCACAGAGATGTTGCTGCATCACTGTGGAAACCGGAGCATCTACGCCAGCAGCGCCCATCTCAACGACTTGCTCAACAGCACAGATCTCGACATTGTCAGTGCCACATTGCGCGTTGGCGTTGAGCTTGCGAAGCGCTACCAGGCCTCTGTGAAACGCCTGAGGAACTCCAGCGTGTCTGTAACATCAGCTTTGTTGTTGAATCATTACAACATTGATCTGTACAAGGTTCAACAGATTGCCAAGCCTTTCGTGAAGACACCGATCATCAAGCCTACAGCAGAGCAGCACAGCCTGTCAACTCCAACAGCGACGAGCAAGGGCAGATCTCATGGCGCCAAGACCGTCACGTCGATGTATGCCAATGATCTTGTCGCAACCGCCAGAGATGGCTCTTCTGATGAGTCCCGTTGGCACGGCTGGGGTGACGTGCGTGTCTCTTACTATCCGACATCTAGCACCTCGGATCCAAAGGAACGACAGCCTGCTCCAGAACGTCCAACGACCTCATCTACACCGTCGACGCCTACTCCCCTGCGCCGCGCCAATTCCGCCAATGTCACTCAGACCACCCAGACCCCGCGTTCCTCTAGGCAGAACGTTTCAGATGACAGCCCATCACCTAGCTTTCGCTCCGCGACATTCACAGGTGGTGATGGAACTGGATTTGTGCAGAAATCTGTTGATATTCCTCAATCAGCTCTTGTTTCTTCCCCGGTGTACAAGCTGCTCGAACGCGCGCCGACAGACCTGCCCAAGGAAAACCGTTACGAGTTTTTGAACCGCGTTCGTGTTGCCAAAGCACTGACGGGAAATGCAGCATCCAGACAGGACGCCTTGAAGGCACGACTTCTCGCCATTGAGAACCTGGCCTACATTCACCAAGAGAGTGCATTCATTGACAAGGCACTGAAGCAGGACAATGATGAACCTCGCCGGTTCCAGCTGATATACCAATTAGCAGAACTAATTCGTCCCTCGTCCGACGGCTCCAGCGAAGTGCCTCTCGACGTGCAGGCCAGGGCTCTATCGCTACTAGATGTCCTCACCACAAACATCCACAGCAAGATTCCTGACATCTCTTCGGCTCTAAATGCAACCGTCAACCACGGAGTATTGCTCTACGTTATTCGGAAAGCAGTTGCAGAGATGAAGGAGGATGATGAGGGTGAAATGCAAACCGTTCAGGATGAGTGGCGAGACAATCTCTTCTCTCTTACACACCATGTCACACTGGCGCTGGCCAATAGCTCAACACGGTCTACTCCTGAAATCATTTCCGCAGGCTTGCTGGACATAATGGTCGAAATCCTCGCAATCAGATCCAACATTGCAGAACGAATGTACTCAACCTTGCTCTCCAATCTGGACAGTCTAATCGCATACGTGCAGACATCATCTCTCACCATTATCAATGCTGAGGGATTGGATGCCATCACTGATCTCATCACCCACGAGGTCGACCTTGCACGACGACTAGTTACAGAGGGCCGAGGCACACCGCAGAGCTGGCGGTCTCAGATTGTGGACTATGATATTCCGTTTTGGCAACAGCAAAACTTGAAATTCCTTCTCAAGTTCATTCACCATCTCATGACCAACGCATTTGCCTTTGGCGGAAATACCGACAGACTACTGAGAAACCTGGTTGACAAATCCGCCTTGCTGCGCAGCCTTCGTGAGATCATTACCAATGGTGACATTTTTGGCTCGCTGGTGTGGACCAGTACCGCCAACAGCCTTGGTGATTTCCTGAATAACGATCCGACAAGTTTCGCGGCTATCTCGGAGGCTGGCCTAGTACAGAGCTTCCTGGAATCTATCACGGGACGCCCAGTACCTGTGGAATACACGCCAGGCTCTGTCGACGGTAGTCAGGAAAGCCCATCTTCCGTCGTAGACGCAGACGACAGGCCACATCCACCAACTAAAGAGACACTTGAAGCCCCTCGGTCCATGCCCTTGGCTCGTGGTATTAGACCCACCACTGAAGCCATAACCGCTGTACCTTTGGTCCTCAATGCCATCTCTTTGAACAACCAGGGTA